TTCATGATCATTTGTCGATCTAATAGGCAAGTAGATCAGCCTCCTGTGCCTGACACACGCCGTCGACTTTTTGGGTCTAAAGCAAGCCGCTTTCCTCACGATGTTTTCCTCCGCCTACAAAGGACTTTTACGAGGGCTTACATTTCGTAATTATCAAGTTAAAAGTATCCATAAACAGCAGGCATGGTGAATGTCATGAAAGTTGATGAAGCAAAGTGTGCCAGTACCGTAGCAAGAGATTAATAGGTGAACGGAGACGTGACATCTGAATCCGTTCGATTTGTAAACAATTTTTGTTTCGCCAAGAATCAAACCCCGAAGGAGGTTCGGGTATGGCAAGTTAGGTAAAAGGGTATATTGAATAAAACCAGTCTTATTTAGGTACATTTTTAAAATTACAATAAATTACACATTCACATATAACAATCAATAGAATTAGCTCTTAATATTTTATAAATACAATCTCAATTTTTTGCAGCTGTATGCAATATGTTTTCATAGATTTTAAATGCTATTTCATGTAAATTTCTCGTTTTTCTATAACTCAGAGGAGTCAACAAGCTGAAATGTGATTTATGACCGTTTCAAAACAGACTCTATCACATACTAAAAAACTGGATTTGGTTAAACACCACCCTTGTCTTCAGGAGACTGAAACATTTTCAGGCTGTTTCAGAGCAAGTTTCTAGTTATCAGGTACAATATTCAAGAAACCCGATTTTAGGCGTCAGGACTGGTAGTATCCCTTTGGTTAAAATAAGATTCTAGGGTGAGATTTCTTGGTGTAGGACAAGGACGGAATGATGCGCAAGAGGGGAAGAAGCTTCATGAAGCCAGACTGAACATGGAATGTAGAATATATAATGCGGAAATGTTGGAGAGACTGGGGCTGCGTGTGCCAAATAACCACACTCGACGTGGAAAGCGGTCTGAATTGCTTGCAGTGCCACGAGCATGTACAAATTTACTCAGGAAAGCGCAATTTCCGCGTGTCTTGCGCACCCTCAATATTATTGCACGGATATATTTAGTTGCACACTGTTTTGTTTATATTATGTTTTTAGTTTAATTTTTATATTTATAAATTTTCTTAATAGTATCAACTTAAAATAGGAAATAAAATAAATAAAAGAACGCCGTAGTCGTTCTAAATCCTTATGACCCCCTAGCTCTTATCATACACGATAGATTTAAACTCAATGAAACTACCCACAGTACAATAAAATTATTCTATAGAAAAATTTGTGCATACAATGCTTTTGTCATGCCAACGTAAACGTAACTAAGCCGATAACTACTACCGTAAAATACATATAATTCACGAAAGGGCGGATCTAGGACATGGATAACCTGGTCCTGGCGCCTGGACACGGCCTCGCTGTATCGCAAATGTTTAATGAATATTATTACAAAATATATTTTCTTTCGAAATCCGATAATTTTTATATTACATTATATAAACATAATTCAATTACACACGCGCTTGATACGTACCCTTTGTACGGTAGGTCCGTTCAGATATACTCAATAGCCTCAATGAAAATTGGGGCTGTGGTCACAAGGGCTGCCCGAGTGTCCTGAATGAGGCAAATACACTGCGCACAATTATATATTCATAATTTTGTGTGCGTGTTAAGAAATGTTGACTAATAAGAAATTATCGACTGTATGACCCCCCAACGCCAATTTTAAATCCGCCCTTGCAGTACAATACACGATATGATTATTTTCCTTCGTATCAATGACGCTTGTGTCTTAGAATAAAGTAACTTAGCAGCGCGCATTAAAATCAGAGATTAGTAATTATTAACATATTACTAATTTAATTCACAACACATAATAAACGGTTATATAAATATAGGCCGTACTAAACACAATTATAAATTTTAGTAAAACACTTAATAAACTCACGCTCATAAAGTATCAAAATTGGCAAGACAAAATTAACTTTATTTACAGCGTGGACATTTGGTACTTTATGAACAAACTTACAAATTATTCTAATGAGATCTTAAAATCTGTATAAAAAATAAATGCTTAATAATAGGATCCCACCACTCCAATCTCTACTAGTTTTTGTTGAAATTAATTTTATATGAATGTTGCGGGAGTGTCAATGGATAGCGATAGGTAGCCTATAGAACGTACTAGCAATTAATATAATTAATTAGTTAATTAATAAAAATGCATGCCTCATAAATACGAATTTAAAAAAATGGTTGTCTGTAAAGTCGGTTTACGGACGATAGTTTAACGTGACAACTTCATAACAAAATATTGATGAAATGATTGCATACTTTTATGAATAAAATTGAATCATTTATAATGAATTATCACTGTTTTGTATGGATACAAACGGGTGAATCCTCGGACTCTTAGGCCAATTGAGTGGAAGAGATAGATGCGGCGCAAGCGTACAATGAGCGCAACGGGACAATAAGTGTAACGGGACAATGAGTCATGTTTGTTCGTGCGTGCAGCCGGCGTTCATCGATTAATAAGACGTCACGTCAAAAATAATAGACTACAGTACTAGTTTAGTTTGGTTAAATAGGCATCTCCTGGACAAGCGTGCCCTCCAGTCGGCCGCATCTCACTCACAGGTGGATTGGGGCCAAACGTCTGTCCAGTTTTGTATGAAAAAAAAGTTGTTGAAGCACGTAGCAATCCGTTCTTTTATTTTGCGTGAGCGTTTGCTTTTACCTGCATCGGGAATCGTTTATAGCAACCAATATTTAACTGGCAACCATGGATTATTAATTTTATAAAAACATATTAATAAATTAACAAAATTATACTCTGTTTACACCTGGTAACCCTAACTTTTTTTACGAAGAAATGTTTTCATATTTAGACATGAACTTAACATACATAAGTGTAATTGTTTTTATAATCAGCTTACAAAACTGATCCTTTGAGAGACGACATTTTTAAGAAAGACACCCGAGGTCATAAACAGCCGTCTCGCCTTTGTTATTGTTAAATGCATTTACACGTGTGGCATTATTCTTAGATTACATTGCCTGTAGGAAATTTTGGTCTCAGTTACATTGTCACCTATCTATTTTTTACATATAAATTATTGTAGTTGGTTAAATTTGGTGTTCTTTCTCTTCCCTCCCTATAACAAAAAAAATGCTCGGTCCCTTGAAATTCGTTATAAAGTTATACTGTATCAGCAAATTATACAAAAATTAATTGCGGCTTATTTTCTATAGGCCTATAGCTAATCCATTGATACCTTAACATACATTTAACATTAATTTCATTAAAAAAAACAGCTTATAAAGTGGTGGGATCTTAATCCATAACATAGTTTGTACGATATAATTACTACTCCAAAATACAAATACAAAATAATTAATATACGAAAAGACATTTCTATATTTATTTTGGAACGCGACTAATGTTAAGTTCGTAACTACGTCCCGAGATGTACTTTTTTGTTTAATCTCATATTAAATTGTATTCACCAAATATTGCTTTACATCATCCACTCATGTACGTACATGTACGTATAATAGTTTCTTTATTTGAATTCGATTACAATCCTATTTCCTTTGTGTTATGGTCTATTTTTCAATGTCTCAGATCTACAGTAATTTGTCTTTAAAAATTTTATTGGGTGCGTAAAGGTCGCCCCATCATCATAAAAATCTGTGATAAAAGAAGAGCTGTTTAGATTGGTCATGATGCCACCAATAACCCACTTTTTGAAAACTTACAGGCCCGTCACGTAATATAAATTAAAAACAAATACATGAGTGGCGTTACAACCTTTTTAGGTCTGGGCCTCAGATTACTGTATCTGTTTTATTTCATTTGTTAATATAATAGGCAATTAGATCAGCTTCCTTTGCCTGACACACGTCGTCGACTTTTTGGGGCTAGGGTCAGCCGGTTTCCTCACGGTTTTTTTCTTCACCATTCGAGCGAATGTTAATGCGCACAAATTCATCGAAGCCACTAGGCTAAGACTGCTCACGTGATATTAAAGTCTATTATAGAGAAACCGTTTAGATTCCAATATACAGTTTGATAAATGACCGAGTCACGTGATCTGTGGTCAAAGGCATTTAAATCAAAGCATTTGCTCCATTCGTGGTGGTGGTGGAGCGTTCAGCGTGCGACTCGCATGCCTGAGGTCGTAGGTTCGACCCCCGGCTGTGCGCCAATGGACTTTCTTTTTATGTGCGCATTTAATATTTCCTCGAACGGTGAAGGAAAACATCGTGAGGAAACCGACATGTCTTAGACCCAAAAAGTCGACGGCGTGTGTCAGGCACTGGAGGCAGATCAATTACTTGTCTATTAGATTTAATAACGATCATAAAACAGATTCAGAAATCTGAGGCCAAGACCTAAAGAGGTTGTAGCGCCACTGATTTTTGTGTATTTTTTTTTTGTGTTGTTATAAAATTAAACTAAATAACTGTATTAAATTCGAGTTCCAAGTTTTTGAAATGCTAAAAACATGATTTTCTTATAACGCGATCCGGGATGTTTTAAATAGCACAAGAAAGAGCTCTGTCTGCTGATTTAATGTCAATATTACCGTCTAAACCGAAACTTAGGTAGGAAATAATAAAGTCTATTGAATATTATTTTGTACGGTGCTCTGCGATGCTTGCGTTCAGGCCATTTAGGAGTCGTGTCCTCATTCTGGAATACATAAAACGCTTAACATATTTTCTATTTTGACATTGACATAAGTGCCAAGTCTAAGTGTGACATCCATATGTCAAAAATGAATTGGAATTTGACATACAAATCTCGTTTCTGCATTCCATCCATATTCTAATTTCAAGTTACAATATCGTTTTGAGCGCTGTCATTTGTCAAACTTAATACAGAAAAATGGTTTGACAGCTTGAAACTAGATTTAAGTTCGATGGACATTCTAGCGGACCTATGAGTATCCGACGATTGTCTCTTAATAAATACGTACTGCATATTTTTTTTTATTACGTAATAATAATAAAAAATCTTACTTGTGAATGCTAGGGTTCTTGACCTGGACAGTAGATGGTCGAAGGTCTAAGTCCACCTGTAAAACATTTAATCCTACTCAGGAAAGGGTAAAGTATAGTATTTACGGCATTTTTTCCGTGCACCACCACTACGTGGAACCAGCTGCCCACTGAAGTATTTCCGAACCAATTCACCTTAGGGTCCTTCAAGAAAAGAGCGTACCGATTCTTAAAAGGCTGACAACGCAATTCTTCTGGCACTCCACTTCCATGAGCGGCTCTTGCCCATTTGCCCTTTGTTCTATAATTTTTTTTTATGTTACAGGAGGCAAACGGGCAGGATGCTCATCTGTTGTTAAGTGAACACTCTCAAAGCCAGAGGGCTCGCGAGTGCGTTGCCGGCCTTTTAAGAATAAAAAACTCTAACTATTCAAATAAATTTAAACCACCTCAGTAATTACGTGGAAATCCCACTTGGGAATATTACCCGGAGCTCCCCGGATCGATTCTGTGTATATATTTAATATACTTGCATATTTTTTATAAAAATAATTATAAATATTGTTAAGACCAATAGTAAAATTATTTCATAATTACCGTGTAAACATCTTTCGGTGTCTGCTCGGTCAGGGTCAGGCGGCGGTGTCCTCACGCGGGGTTCATCTCCCGGAAGACAAGTCTCAACCATCGCCTCTAAGCAGTTCACGAACAGCTCGCTACTTTCCGCTGTGCATTGGTTCTGAAATATTATTTAAAGTATAAAACATTTTGTACTAAAAAATAGCTGATAGTAGAGAAATTATTGTTTAAAGAAAAAACTTTTTAACCGGATTAAAGTTATGTATTATTATAAATTTACAATTATTTAACATAATTTTAAATTTATCCGACGTTTCGCGTGCTTTACAGCGTGCGTGGTCACGGTGACTGAAGACAAAAGATGTTGGATGTCAAAAAGTATCACAGCTGTAGAGAAAGTTGCATTATCTGTATTTATTTCCCCGGAGTTGGTATCGACTAAAGGAGGGTTTTGACAAAAATGGCTCACGGTGTCCTCTATTTTCGCGGATTGTTTTTCTTTTTGAGATTTTAATTTGGATATTATTGGATATTATTTAACATTATTAAAATTATGTTAAATAATTGTACATTTATAATAATACATAACTTTAATCCGGTTAAAAAGTTTTTTCTTTAAATGTGTAAAGGTTATGTCAATCAAAGAAATTATTGTTATTTTTAATCAAACTCCGTACTGTTGTATCGGCCTTTGGGCAATAACATGGAAAGTTCGTGGTTGTTTTTATTTATTTCGTAATCCTACATCTAACATAATATATATATATATAACAAAAACAATTTTACTAAAGATATAGCAAAATATGGAATACATAATATTTACAAAAACGTTCCAACTAAATGTTGGAAAAAATCAATAAAAAATATTAAATAAATTTAATTAACTAAGTAATATCTAATTCGGCTGTGTTTCGGTTTGGTGTAAAAGTTTTAACAATAATTGAAAATGGAATGACATTTTTTTTTTTAATTTTCATGATTATTTATATAGTTACTGATGTTTTCGTCTGTTGACTTCTTATTTTTTTAATTGCTTTTAAGTATATCACATTATGTAATTTTTTGTTTATATACCAGAGGGCAAACGGGCAGGAGGCTCATCTGTTGTTAAGTGACCCATGGACACTCAATGTCAGAGGGCTCGCGAGTGCGTTAACGGCCTTTTAGGAATTGGTGCAATCCAATTGGTTGGGAAAAACTAAATGTTGACTGTTAGTTGGTATTTTGGTTTGCGTGTTATTAAATGCGTATATTCGATAAATAAAGAGTCGAATCAATAAATAATGATAAGGTACAAAAAATTCAAATAGGTATTATAAATCACCTTGAAAAATCAATCTAATTAATTTCATCCAAATTTCCTCACCTTAGTAAAAGGCCCGGCAAATCTCCAAAGACCGCCGAAGCCACAACTCTGCATATAATGCAACTGCTGCTGACTTGCGTCTTCAGACGCTATCATGTTCTGCAATAATTAAATAGAAATAACATGTCACAAAGCTAACAGTTAAAAAGAGACATAAAAACGTTTGTTGATAATCCAATCAGGGAGCTCCTTAGCGTACACGTACCAACTTCAACGACCTTAATACGAACTTTACGTACGTTTCAAGTAATCGTCAATACGCTAATTTCTGACAGCTCAAAAGTATTGATTTAACAATTTGATTACTACTAGTGTAGAACACCAGGACGTCAGATTTAAATAATTTACTTTTATACTAAGACCAATTTATATTATATTATAACCATTATATTGCGTGAAAAACGTCACAAATTCATTCAAAACATCGACGCTTGAATACGACATTCGAATACAGAATGCCTAATTAATATAATCTGTTGATATGCATAATTTCTTATTATTTGAGTTATGTAGTGATTTTTTAATTTAAAGATATATTTTTTTATTCTGGAGACACTGCCAGAGGACTTGCAAGTGCGTTGCCGGCCTTTTAAGTCGTTCCATCCAGCACATCGTCGTCAGCTTATAAATGAATTAAAAAGTCTCACCTGAATGATACATTGTACTGCGCTCAATATGACTTGATCACTGCAGTGCATGAGGACATGATTGATCTTCATATCCAACAGGCTATGACTGAAATTAGGGGTACAGGAGATTTCTAAGTGTTTTCTGAAGGAAAAACAGTTCTTCATGGTAAAAGAGTGGCGGAAAGTTTCTCGTTCAACTTCAAATCAAACAAAACAAACATCAAACACAAATCCAGTAAACTCGAACGGGTCAAGTTTTTCACGTGTAATATTCTTAAATTACACAAATAACATTATTTTCGATCAAAAACAGTCTCCGACGTGAAAACATAATTTATAATCAATATTATAAAAAATATTATTTTACTTTATAAAGCTTTTTAAACAGATTACTCTCAATAAAACTTAAGTTTGTATATAATGAAATAGTCTATTAGTGAAGAATTAAGTATAATTAAAATTTGACTTAAGTTCAGACTTACATAACAGGAAACACTTTCGGAAACACAATGGAGCCTTCAGCTAAGTATTGGTACAGGATTCTTATCTCATCTTCCTCTGTAAAGAACAAACGAATCACCAAACTTATACATAATCCTAGTGACTTTAGCGTGCAACTTGAGTGTACGACCAACAAGGCTCCAAAAGAAAAACAACTCCTAATATGGAAATTGTATCAAAAAGAAAGCTCTCGTCAACGTAAATTAATCAATAAAGCTTTTTATAGATTTGACGAATATTTAAATGATCCTAATATTTGTGATTGATTTGCTCCAGTTCAAAGAATTTGTATGACTCAAAACTTGGCGATTAAAAAGAGTGGCGGAGAGTTTCTTGCCAGTTCTTCTTGGTCTAAGATCCCGCTATCTTCCTATATCCAACATAGACAACCTTCACCGAGATGCTTATTTAATGAAACTTGATTTTATATATAATTTAATATGTCAATAAATATAATCCATATGGTTTTTGTAATCCAGCAAATTTCAGTCCAGAGTATGTTTAATTAATTTTAAAAAAATATTTTTTTAAACATTTCACCGGTATGATTAATAGATAAATTCTATACCAATCGAACGTATGAAGCCCATAGAATATGCAAACGTTAGGTTGTTTTTTAATCAATTAATTATTTATGTGTATATTTTTTATGTGACACTAAAGTATATATACATCTTTAGTATAAAAGAAGGTTATAGTGATACATATATAATACTACCCTGATTAAAAATATTGATTGAAAAAAGTTCAAAAAATTTACTACATGCAAATTATAAAAAAAAAATTTTTTTTAATATTAATTAAACATACTCTGGACTGAAATTTTGCTAGGCAACCCATATGGATTATATTTATTGACATATTAAATTAAACATAAAATAAGTTTCATTAAATAAGCATCTCGGTGAAGGTCGTTGTATAGCGGGATCTTATACTATCTTGCCCGCTCTACGCCCTTGACTTACGAACTGGTAGTAAATGTAAATTTACAATTAACTTCTTTTTTGACGTTCATAAGTGTATTAGTTTACCTATATGAATAAAGTTATTTTGAGTTTGAACTCTCATCCCTGAGGTCGTAGGTACGAACCCCGGCTGTGCACCAATGGACTTTCTGTCTATGTACGAATTTTATATTCGCTCGAACGGTGAAGGAAAACATCGTGAGAAAACCGACATGTCTTAGACCCAAAAAGTCGAAGGCGTGTGTCAGGCACCGGAAGCCGATCACCTACTTGTCTATTAGATTGACAAATCATAAAACAGATATATAAATCAGAGGCCCAGACCTAAAAAGTTGGTAGCACCACTGGTTTCTTTTATTTATTTATTTTTACTCTTTAATAAATATTACCTGACGTATATTTAACTAATGTAGCGAGAACTGTCAGAACCAACGCTTGCGTAGTGAAGTCTGACAGCACGGAAGGATCCAGAAGACTGTTGTACTCTGTTCCGTTCTTTTCTGTAGATGATTGCTGTAAGAGGCAAAATTATTTGGTTTAGTATTAAAATCATGTTGTCCACTATTTCAATATTATACACCGAATTTCCCACCTTTTCATCTGTGGGAAAGCTGTCCCCAGATTTGGTAGAGGCAGGTCGTTCAGATCCATCTAAGCTACCCTGAGATTCACGCCCATCTTCATCAACCTGTAGCATCCGCCACAATCACATTAAAAAACTACATAGACAAAGCTACTAATTTTTTAAAGAAAATCCTATATTCATTTACAACGTAAAATTAGTAATTTATCCAAAACCCAGCATAAATTTTATGTACTTTTACAATTAGTACTTACCTACATTTAATTGGAATTTATTTATAAATACAAACTTTTACCTAAACTGACAATTTATTCTTTGACTCAAATCGGGACATTAGTTTAATTGAACTATATATAATAACAACTAAAACACACAATCACTTATTAGTTTAATTTAGGTCAAATAATAAGTGGTCAAAAAAAAAATTATTAAGTTATTTATTTAGAAAAAGTTAGTTGGCATAAAAGTTACGAATCACAAAATATAGGTACCCAAAATGTTAAGTTATATTTATATTTACCAGAAGAACAACTATGTTTTAATATAGCTGGTGACCATTTCAAATAAGAATGAAACTCTTGGAACGTTTGTTATATTCTGCTGCTTAAATTTGTGTACCACAGTTCAAATGGGTCAGTCCCGTTCACAACGGGACGTCTGGTCATGTTGCCCATGCCCCACAATAGAAACTCACGTCTGGTGTATCATCCGTGCTCTCTCTGGCCGCATCGCCCGTAGCTCCGTGTTGAACGCTATGCGCCCGGCCTTCACTATCCTGAAATTATATTTTTATTTAATTAAATCTAAATTGAGTTCCATGGAAGGTTTTCTATAGGATTTGCACATTCGGGTCTCTACAACTATAGGGGGGGGTTTCGTGGTGCTACGGGGTTCGTCTAGTCAAATTGGACCTGCAATGTCGCATGCTTAATGGAAAATTTAGATATAATTTAAATGTTGAGCGGTCTTCGGGAAGAAAGGGTACTAAAGTCGACGCATTTTAAACTGAGTCGTCGGGCAATAAATGTCACTGACAGTGCGTGCACGCAATGCAACCCATTATCGATTTTTACCTACCTGCGCACGCGGGGTCGATGCGTCTAAGTATTTTAAGAGATCAAGCACCACCTCTGATAATTAACCTACAGGAAGATACGTATGAGGATTTTTGCAGAACTAAGAAATATTCCTAGAAAATATAAAAACGGCCCTTTTAAGGGCCACATAATATCATTAAAGAAAAAAAATGAAAAAAAAAGAAAAATCAGAAAACATTTTATCTTAAAAATTAAAAACATTTATTTTCAGATAGCGAAGCCTTACTCTTATTAATACTTAACATAATTTAGCATATCGATCATACTTATCTCGCTATCGATATATATTATATAAACCTCTACAATTCTTACGCACATCACTTCACCTGTAAGAGCGAGCGAGACAGATAGATTTATGGCCCGAAGCCTCAGTTCAGAATGCGTCGACTATAATTGGTTATTTATAAATCTATTGAATGCGTTCTTTGAACACGTCAATCGAGTCATGAAAACCAAAAGATCTGAAGCACAAAATCGCGATAGTTTAGTCTTTTCTTTCTGTTGTCTTCGAACAGCAATAAAGCATAGATTTTCTGGAAAAATGTCACTCGAAATGGACCACTAAACACTAAGTTATGAATCATTGGGGTTTCTGTACAAAGAGGACTTATTATTTTGTCTGTAAAAGGTATTTTAGGATATAATATTTACAGCAATTTCAAGGAACACTTTTGAACTGGGTTTCAATACAAATTATTTAAAATAAACATCAATTTAGGACATCTATACATTTAAATTCAAATAAATGTGGATTTATAAGCTATAAGCACCCTAGGCGGTTTGATGGTCTCTTTAGCTGTAGGCACCGAGAACGATCTTTGCGTTTTGAAGCGCATTCTAGCTGACTACATGTGGAAGCAAAATATCCGTTTAATAACAGTTATTGAATGTGAAATAGCAGTTATTCAGTGATATCGTTAAAATAACAGTTACGACGAACAGCAGCAACGTAAATGATTGCATACAAACGATACAGATCGATCCAAGTCGCATGAAAAGACAATGTATAGAAGAATGATTAGAAATATAGATAATAGTTTTATGACAAATGGTTATTTTATTTTACTTTAGCAGGACTTAGAGTCGTCAAAGATTCTGTCGTAACATTAGCGATGATTTAATTTATTTTTATAAACTTTGACGTGACAACGTCTAATAAATCGATGAACGCCGGCTGCACGCACGAAAAAGCATGACTCATTGTCCCGTTACGCTCATTGTACGCGTGCGCCGCATCTATGTCTCTTCCACTCGTTTAGCCTATGCATCTTCTTTGTAATAATGCTTCTGACTTAGCATCAAATGTTCATTATCAACGCACCATTTGTCATAAATAGAAATACACAATCATACCACTAACTACAAAACAAATCAGAATATTCCTCAACAAAATACACCTTTACAGAAATCATTTTAAATATTAAATAATTCAAGACACCACAGACTATACCACAGCCACGCTTAGCAGTTTGCTGATTACAGATATCATATAAAAAATCACTTGTGATTTATAGCACCTGCTATTATTTCGAGATAATAATTGATACACCTGGTAACTAAGATTTGGTATTTGTACTAATAAGGTTCATCTTCAAGAAGTAGTAGTTTTAGTCATGGGGCTAAAGTGGATTAGCGTGGATCTGGTATTCAGAATAGATGGTTTATGGTAGCTGAAATTAAAGTAATTGTCTATAGCATTTTTAAATATATTTTAAAAAACATTACCTGATGCGATATATTTGATGGGTGTGGACTTTGGCCACCATTACTGGATGAGGCCACTGTTGGTGATTTGCCTAAAATATAAACAACCTTCTTCATAAAAACGAAATCGATATCATTGCACTCTTTCTCTCAAAGCGTGGTTACGCTGTGATGAAAAGGGAGAGTAGAAGTATGAGTACTGCAATTAGACTTTCATAAAGCACAAAGACCGGTTTTCAATGGGTATCTTAGCCTCCGCATGAAAAGTTGTCAAACTGAAAATTAAAAAATCTTTAGATTTAATTTATGTGATGTTAGTTCATGTGACGAAAAAAAGTCAGGTACATCGTTTTAACTCAAGTACTCTTTCGTCTCTTTCTGTCAAATTGTGTTTACGCTGCGTTGAAATGAGATAGACGTTTACTTTTTTAAAATATTGCATATAGACTGTTTCTGACTTGAAAGGAAAGAGTTGGTTTGCATTCCATGACCAAATCTGAAACGAAAATAATGACTAATAGGGAAACTATTAACATTGAAATCGAATATGTATCACTACGTATATCTAGGGCAAATAATATCATGTAAAGACCAAACAGATCTTGAGGTAGAACCTAGATTGTCTTGCGCCTTGTGTCACATAAGGCTGCCAGATTTGGGCATTATCTCAGAAACATCTTTTAAAGTTGGGAACATACCAAAGAGGAATGGAAAGATGCAGAAGAGATAAGTAGAGGACATCATAAAGAAAATAAGGTAATTGAACCGGACAGAAGAGGATGGCGAAAGAAACGGGAGGTCTTCTAAGTTTTTTTTTAGGTAGAGCAAACGAGCCGGGGCCCTCCCTACGGGACTCTCAGGGAAGACCCCCTCTCAGGGAAGACCCCACCACCGGGAGTCGATTCCAGTTTGCAAAAGAAAGTGCCTTCTGAAACGGACAGCGGAAGACTTCCAGCCATCAAGGTGATACGATGAATGCATACTTAAAATTATAATTCATATACTTTTATTTCAAATTACTTAACAAATAATTAACTTTTATTTTTAACAATATATTATCTAAAATATTAAATTCTCGTGTCACAGTTTTCGTTGCCATAGTCCTCCAAAACGGCTTGACCGATTCTCATGAAATTTTGTGTGCATATTGGGTATTTCTGAGAATCGGACAACATCTATTTTTCATCCCCCTAAATGTTAAGGGTAGTCCACCCCTAAATTTTTTTTTTATTTTTAGATATTTTTTTATTTTTTTATTTTTTTATGATACAGCATTAAAAAATACATACAAACCCCTAACTTTCACCCCTCTACGATCAACCCCTATTTTTTTATTATAAATGATATATATGGCAAAACGACGTTTGCCCGGTCAGCTAGTATTATCTAAAATTGATGCAATAAAGACATTAATTATATTCAGAAAAGCAAAAACATTATAAGGATAATTTATTCTTAAGAATTAAAATAAATCAATAATTGTAATTGAAAACAAAAAAAAATGTTATGGAATTAATTATTAAGTGTGTTATGAAAGAGCTGGGAGCCTTGACACAGGTATTTTTTAAAAGGGTTCCCAAATTTTACACATTATAATGCAGTGTTATAATTACTAAACACATTTTTATTTATTTTATAAAATACATACCGCCATAAGCAATCGTTTGTTCCAACATATCCCAGGATTTCTGACGTCGGCTATGGCTGGACGACGACGAACCCCGACCTTGTGTTAATATCGACGACTGCAATTAGAAATACATATTTATGAAACGAATCCTCAGTAATTTTTTTTAAATGGATATTATTTTGTTGATAATTTAAACGCCTCATCTCTAGAAAAGTAAAAGAAAACATCGTTAAATGCGCATTTTTTCACTTATAGAATTTAAAAAAAAAACCTTTTTTAGAATTTTTTTACCGAGATCCTAAGATCGACTAAGTGTATACGGGTGAAACCGGAAAAATTAAAAATCTTACAATTTATTAGATTTTTTGTCGTTGAATATATTAAAAATCTATTTCAACATTTTAGATTTTTCTATTGTTAGTTTCGTTTTTTCTACAATCGTAGCTAAACGTAACGTAGTTCAAAAATTTTATAAAAATTTAATTAAATTTTTGAAAAGATTTTCATCTTGTTACGCCAAAGAAGTATAACTTCTAACGCGTGTACATAAGTACACACACGTTTTTTTAAATATCCTAACACGAACTGTTTTAAATTTAAAGTTTTTCACTTTGCTAATTTGTTAATACTAAAGCTGTATTGGGTTGTAAGCAATCCAAGTAGTGTAATATTGACGTTATAGGACGTTTGACGTTCTCATACCTGGCAATGATCAGCGGCCGGGCAATAATGGTCGCAGTTGTCAGGCAGCCATTGTGGTAACGAGTGCTTCACTGGGCATCGAGATCGGACCTCTTCGCTTACACAGACCAGAGCTAGATAGAACATTTCATGTATACATGCTGAGACCAGCGCCTGTATTCTGTAACCTCTATTAGCGATCCCGCATGAACAGTTTTGAACTACTTCGAGCTCTTTACCATAGCGTCAATAGTGAAGTTGGGATAGCGACTTTAGCTTACTAATAAAGAAATATCAAAAACACTTTTCTACTAAAGATTTCACTGTCATCTTTTTTTATAACTGGACAAACATTTGGCCACAATAGCACCTGATGTTAAGAGAGATGCGGCCTATCGGAGGGCAAGTCTGTCTGGGAGATGCCTATTTAATCACCGCTGAAATGAACCCACATTATACTGTTTAGGGAAAGAGGGAAGGGGTAAGGAGTTTCACTCCTTTGCTGTTTTTATACGATACAAATCGTGCAGTGCGGAGTAATTATCAGTCGCCGTAAAACCACTTTTAATGAGCACCGCACTTAATAAAATGGATACATTAACTAACAATAAAATGTATGTATAGACTATAGACTCCTATGTTCAGACTCGTATTGGAATAAAAAGTTTTGCCCGGGCCAAAAGGTTTGCCATCACTGACATGTCACAAAATGATAGCTGTCAGAATTCTACGGAATTAAAAATCAGAGTATAGTGATGTCCACAACAAAGGGTTGAAACTCCAGCGTGCTTCTAGAATGTTCTTAGAATTTGTTAGAAGTTTATTTTTTATCAATTCCCCTCTACAGAAAAATAAAATTTAAAAATATATAAATACATACAACATATCTACCAGCTGCCCACTGAAGTATTACCGAACCAATTGGAATTGGGGTACTTCAAAAAAAGAGTGTACCAATTCTTAAAAACCGGCAACGCACTTTCGAGCCTTCTGACAATGTGAGTGTCCATGGTCGGCAGTATCACTTAACATTTGGTGAGCCTCCTGCCCGTTTGCCTCCTTATAAAAAAATAACACATTTATATTAAAAATATAAAATTATTTCTCCTGACCTGTGAGATATGCCACAGTATGCTGCGTAGCCTTGAACTTATCCCTGTCAGGTTTCGCAGCCAACGCCAGCAATGCACACAGAACCCTCGCGGTACGAGATACAGTGGCTGGTGCGGGATGACGGTACCCCTTCACCAGGTGACCCACGAGGGCGAAATGGAAATTGGACCGGAAACTAAAGAAATAAATCCAGGTAATATGTACACTTGAAACGTCAATATTTAAAAAAACTTTATTACATTACAAATCAAGGGCGTAGAGCAGGCGAGAATAACTAACAAAGATCTCCACAAATTTTTTAAGTCGCCAAGTTTTTGGTTTACAAGGAACTGTAACCATTACCACCATGCTTATTGGTAAGCCCCATACTTCTTATTATATTAGGTACTTAAAATTATGAATTAAATGGATTACATTTAACATTTTACGCTTCTCTATACAAGATGGCCCTATAACGCACCATGCTTGTAAGCACAGCAAGATTTTTACGTGTTAATTATCATTATTATAACAAACATATATAAATATATATATATATATACTTGCTGACCCGGCCCGTATATATAAAGAGATACCACCTATAAAGAAAGAGAAGGAGAGTTTAAAATTAGTATTTCTTCCGATTTCTTACCTCAAACCGACGGCATGGTCTAATTGTTTGAAATGCCACTCGAGGGGCTCTCGTGTCTCCATCAGCACTTGTTGTAGCGTCTGCAAATTTAAGATTTTTACTGGCGGTTTTACACGATTTTATACCTAATTCAAATGTCATGCTGTGGGAATTTGATAATATTTGAGTATCTTTCAAACATGTGTACTAAATTTCGTAAGTTTGTCCATAAATATTAGCAGAAATCCTATCAAGATAATCTTCTGGGAACAGTCTAGCTACATCAAAATCTGTTTCGGTTTTTGCGATTAGGATTGACAGGTATCGCTCTGTTAAATATGTCAAAATTATCTTGAAAGTAACTTTACTCTGATTTTTAATTCCGTAGAATTCTGACAGCTATAATTTTTTGACATGTCAGTGATGGCAAACCTTTTCGATTTATTGTTCGTGATATTGAAATATTTGATATTTTTATATTACTTCAGTAAACTTCACTTCAGTAAGTGAATATTTAGATTTACCATTAGCATTTTTTTATTGCTCTCAAATAAGACAAATTGTCTCTTTTTCGGTGGAGATTTTTTTTAGTAGCAACACTTATGAAAAGTCAGAATTCAACGGAAACATCAGAGTATAGTTACTTTCAAGATAATTTCCACATATCGATAGCCATTGTACAGGAATAATTTGAAACCCTAAAGTTCTTATTTATACAAACAGGAATATTATTATAACCTGGAGATATTTATAACAGTGTTGGCCTAATGGCTTCTGCGTGCGACTCTCATCCCTGGGGTGGTAGATTCGATCCCATCCCATCACATCTAACACTCGCTCGTAGGGGAAAGCAAAAGCATCGTGAGATAACCGGCATGCCGTAGACCCAAAACGTCGACGGTGTGTCAGGCACAAACGGTTGATCACCTACTTGGCTATTAAAAATGATCACGGAACAGATACAGAAATCTCAGGGTCAGAGCTGAAAGGTTATACGGCCATTGGAATAACTCAAACTCAAAATATCTTTATTCATATAGGTAAACAAGTACACTTATGAACGTCAAAAAAACAAGTTAAATTAATTCTAAATTTACATTTACTACCAGTTCGCAAGTCAAGGGCGTAGAGCGGGCCAGAAGAACTGGCAAGAAACATTCCGCCACTCTTTTTAATCGCCAAGTTTTGAGTCATACAAATTGTTTGACTTGAACTAACCTGGAGGTCACAAGTTTGGTGCGGTAGTAATATATGAATACCGCTAGAATGTACATCCCCATTGCTGAAAATACCTAACCATAAAGTTATAAAATACTCTATTATTATTCACCTTAATCTCGAAATGACCTTGCGAGTCCAATGTATGCAAATTCTGCTCGAGCAAGGACAGTCCCGCTGCGTACAAAGTCGGCTCATCCAATTGTAGAACAGACACGGACACCCAGAAGAGAGCTTTGTGGATGGGAGATTCCTGCAATTTATTTAGTTCCTTCACAATCACAATGTCACACGTCTTTATTAGAATATTCCCCCGCATTAATTTGGTCACGTGATCGTATATAAACTTTTTTTTTTTCATTCTAAAAATATCTGGTATCAAATAAAAGGACTATATTGTCGATATATTAAAAATCTCACACACTCTTCTATTTCATTAATTCACTCGCTAAACGCGATTTAAAAACATGAACTTTTCGATTTATTTTAATTTAAAAAACGTCGAAGTCTCTCCCTCTCTCTCGAGAAATTACTCAATATTTTCCTTTACGAATACTTACGTAAATCTTTCCGTTATCTTAGTAAACAAATGAGCATTATAGAGTTGCTAGACTCCTCAACTGTTGGCTTAAAAATCGGCGGACCGAAGGACCAGGAATTGGAATAAATCCGAAAAGCTAGTCAGAGAGAGTTCGCAATGGTGGATGGTGGAATGTTCCAAAAGATGATAACACATTTATCTCACCGAATCCAACAGCGGTTGTAGTCTCGTCAGGCACATGATAATCGCCTCCAGAAGCGCCATATCGTTGAACGACTCCAAAGCTTTTACTAGAATACGCAGGAGTTGCTTCATATCGTCGTCTGTTACGTGTTTACCTGGATATTATATTTATATTTTTACTAGTTACTAAGTAACATAGAAAAGTAGCTAAAAAATAATAAACCTAACAAGTCGATTCGATATAGTTTATATTCTTTTGCTTTTATAACATCTTTTTATTGGAACCAGACGTTTCACTCAAGTAATTTGAAGGTTATATTAACCGTTCATACATATAGAAAATCATAGAAAGAAAACATTTACAGATACAACTTACTTATGCAGCCGAAAACTATGAGCGCTCTTGGCTGTAGTGCTGGATTGAAGCAGAACGCAAAACTTCTCGCCAGGGAGGTCCTAGAATTGGAAATTTTTGCTATATAAAAAGTACTATTGCAGAAAGTTGAATGTTACTAATTTTCTTCTAAACTTTCAACTATGCATTGATATTTTAGGTCATCATAGCTGGTCAGTAAACATTATTATCCTTAGCTCATTTATCACACATAATATTGTTACAGTCATATACACCTTGTATTGTCTTTTATTGACATAACCTTTACACATTTAAAGAAAATATTTTTTAACCGGATTAAAGTTATGGATTATTATAAATTTACAATTATTTAACATAATTTTAATAATGTTAAATAATATCCAATAATATCCAAATTAAAATCTCAAAAAGAAAAACAATCCGCGAAAATAGAGGACACCGTGAGCCATTTTTGCAAAAACCCTCCATTAGTTGATACCAACTCCGGGGAAATAAATACAGATAATGCAACTTTCTCTACAGCTGTGATACTTTTTGACATCCAACACCTTTTGTCTTCAGTCACCGTGACCACGCACGCTGTAAAGCACGCGAAACGTCGGATAAATTTAAAATTATGTTAAATAATTGTAAATTTATAATAATACATAACTTTAATCCGGTTAAAAAGTTTTTTCTTTAAATATACACCTTTTTAACTAAGCGAAGGGGGCGATTAAAAATATTAATTTTGGCTTGAATTTTTAACATAGTTTAAATCCGAACATTATTTGTCTTAGCGAAGGTGGGGTTCAATAAATTAGAAACAAGACAGGACTTAAAGGACTGTTATGTTTGTATTAGGTCACTTGAGTAAGTAAATATTTAGTTTCACCTTTTTGTAGGTAAAACGTAAACAATATGTAGCATTTTACTTTATTACCCTAAAATGGGTCAAATTTGTCCCTTTTTCGGTGGACAACTTTGTTAGAAACATTAATGAAATGTCAGAATTCTACGGAATTAAAAATCAGAGTCTTGCTCCCGATAGTGAGCAACTCAAGTGTTCTCCAAGAACTCGGTTTCTTTGTAGCTATACTATGTGCGCTGTAGCATGGTGTGGGTGACAGTTTCAGTAACGTTTCCTTTCACTCTTGAAAGTTTTCGACATTATCGTATTGACTTAGTACAGTAAGGATAGTATTTTTGTGAAAAAATAAAAGATATAAAACATGTACCATAAAGCATAGAAAAAATAGAAGTGGAGTGGAAATATTATACAGAAACTAATAATACCCACCAAGTTTTCAACCAATCACAACCAGGTATATCTCGCATACAAGCCTCCATTATTTCGAGTAAGGCATCGGTGATGGTTTCTAAAGACTGAAGTGGTAATCTCTCTCTGTCAGTCACCGATGTCACCATAATTGGACCCATGATGCATGAAGATTGGCTGCAGCCGTATGAGTGTTCGGAATACCTGGATTACAATTATTGAATGAATAGTGTGAGCCAATTTCTTTTGATATGGTTATTATAAATTTTAAAAATGTTCAACATAATTGATAAACTTTTAAGATTTACGCCGGCACGAATTTAAGATTGCTACTGAGACATTTCATTTATTATACTGAAAACTCTTAGTTTATTTTTCGAAAAAAATTATATATGTCGAATTCGTAAACCTCAATTTTTGGGGTTTTTAAAGACGCTTAAAATTTGTCTTTTCTATATATACTTGAATTTATTGTTTTCGTACATCTACAGCAAACTACTAGCAAAAGATGTAATACATAGTACATATATACAAAAAGGTTCAAACATTTACGAAACTAAGGAAATAAAAAAATTAATAAAAATAGATAAATTTACAGTTTAAAAGCTAGTTAAGGCCCATCCTTTGTACTATACTCACCAATCACCAGTGTGACGATGATATGGGCTCCTAAAAGCGGTGACGGCGGCGGATTTCACTTTTGATATTCCAAACATTTTATAGAACTTTGGAAGCGCAAACTCATCCAGTGACAGCATAAGGAGACGTTGGGTCTCCTCTAAAAATGACAGGACGTGAATAGATTGCTTGTATAATAATATTTTTGGAATTAGATATCTAAGCCTTCAAAGCTCGTGAACTAAATTCCGTAATAGTATGTTTTTCCACAATTTTTTCCAACATTCCATTATAACACCAATATATCATTTTAAAGGCCGGCAACGCACTCGCGAGCCCTCTGGCATTGAGAGTGTGCATGGGCGGCGGTATCACTTAACATCAGGTGAGCCTCCTGCCGTTTGTTCTATAAAAACAAACAAAATCCATTCGGTGTTGTTTTTGAAATTTATCCACACATTTCTGGAAGATACAGGAAGAAGACCCAGGGTCGCTGCAACGTTCTAGGTCTGGGTTTCGGGACGCCGTCGAATTCTTGGGTATTAAGCGGTTTCCTAACGATGTTTTCCTTCACCGTACGAGCCAATAGACCACGCCGATCACAAGGCAACACTACTCTGTATTGTATATTTAATAAGCAACCTAAGTAATATAATAATAATAATTTATTTATTGCACGAATATGGTATAAAAATGTGTAAGGTGGTACAATCGTAAGTTCGCATATTCTGCCACACACAGTGGCGCGCAAATTTGTCTTTAAAGGAATTTTACATTTTACATTATTAGTCAAATGAATTGGTCAATTCTTACATTATTTGTATCGTACATACTCGTATCATATCATACTTTATTAAAAATTGTATCAACTTCAGTGTCCCACGCAAATAATCATTTATTGAATAGTAAATTTTTTCCAAAAGTAATACACCGAGTCGCTTTTTAAAGACTCTAGTCGGTAGATCTTTTAATTCTTTTGGTAATTTATTGTAAACCTTAAATGTCGTACAAAATATAAAGACACACACACATTAGAACACAAAAATAATTCTTTAAATACCTGAAAAAGTAGGAGACTGACAGGTGCATAGAGAATGTATAATATTGATAACAAGTCCGTGAGTGGCTGCTCGCATTGACACGGTCCCAGAACACACGAGGAAGGTCACCGTGTGGAACAAGTAGGGCAAGTGTCGGGCTACGTCCAGGCAGTTGTTGAAGGAGAGCATCAACTGCAATACAATTGAAAAAACATTAGGAAACCGTGTTCGTCTTCTATTGAAGTATGAAGGACTTTGCAGTAACCATATATATCGTAAACAGACGAGTTTTATTTCTCCGTCATTTGTCATGTATTAAAAAGAGCCAATACATTTGAAGAAATGTACCGACAGCGTATAGTAATTATAAGGTAATCTAATCATACTGACGCTAGTTACACTTAGGGATAATTTTAGTGTTCTAGATGATCAGATACAACAATGGTGGAATGGTGGAACAATTAATGATTAAACAAAATGTTAAATTATGACTAAATTTGTCGTTTGATATGTTCATATTAAGTGTTTTTTTAACTTGTCGAGATTTAAATTGAAATTGTGAGCCAAATATTTTTGTTAAATAAAGAAAATTATTTTAACCCTAATTTTGTCTTATTTTTCTAAAAGGCCGGCAACGTACTTGCGATCCGAGCCTTCTAGCAATGTGAGTGTCCATGAGCGGCGGTATCACTTATCCTTCGCATGTTATATTAAAATATATGCACCAAATATCACTTCGTCCACAAAAGATAATACTTACCAAATACCTCGCTAGGATTGCAATATCGTCCCACATCATGTGCTGTTCCAACATTGCAGTCGGCGAATGACATGTTTTGTCTACGACCTGGGAAGGATTTTAATATTTGGTCAGGTATATTTTGACAAAGAGACAAGTTAATGAGATATCTAGATATCTCTTTTAATTCTGGTTTGGTTCTTCCTGAAGCCTCAATATTTAGATAAATTTTTCTCACGTAATTACGTGATAGTAATAATTAGGGATGCATCCGATACTGATTCCGATATCGATATATCGGCGATACTTTGGGTTTGCCGATATATCGGCATCGGCGATATTTTTATTGCCGATACAACGATACTTTTCAAATTGAGACCGATTGAGAGAGAGTGAGAAGGGCGAATTACCTCATAGAAATTCTATTTTTAAAATTAAAATTTCGTAAAGAGAATTTATGAAATATTAATATTTTATGCAAAATAATTTATTGAAATCTCAAATGACAACTTTAACCAAACTTGATATATTTTACCTTAATTTAATTTAACCAATAAGCGTAGGTATCGGTATCGAAGATATTTCTATAAGAGTATTGGCATCGGTATCGTATCGACAAAAAGGTATCGTATCATATCGATGCATCCCTAGTAATAATAAACAATATTTTGTAAAACATTTCTAGAAAACTGAATAAGAAAATTGTTAATCAAGAAAAAATATGGTTATGTTAACTAATATTTTAAATTAAAAAAACAAACTTACAGTGGCAGGAGTGATTGGACCCAATATATTATTTGGTAGTTTCGTTAAAGCCTGCAGAAAATTAAAAAAAATAAAAAGCAAAATAAAATTTGCCACTGCAAAAACAAAACAAAAATGTATTTCGATAAGTTTTACACATTTAACTTACCCTACACATTCGCCCAATAACTTTCTTCGAGACGAGCTGAACATTGGCGGAGGCCAACGCGACAGCTGTGTCTGCCATTATCTCTATCATGGGTGATCCAAGACCTGGGTGATATCAATTATGAATTGTTATTATAGATCCTACGCAGAGGAATCAGTCACCCACGTAGTCCTGGAATGCGAGGCTGTGACTAAACAATCCTCGGAACCTGTGAAGCCTGTGAAGTGCCCAGGAGACTTCAGGCTGAGCCAGCCCAGCTCCTTCCAGAAGCAGGACTTAGCCAGGACTTAACGCACAACGGAACAATTATGTGTCTAAGTGCCTATAACCTATATTATAGATCCTACAAGTACCAATTTGCTTACAAACATATTAAAACCTTTCGATTATATACTTTTTTAAATACCAAAAAAAACCAATGTCGCTATAACCCTTGGTTACAAAACTCAGATTTCTGTATCAGGTCCTGATCATGAATTTATTTTACTTTTTTTTAAGTTACAGCTAATTTTTGATTAAACAATAACTATATATACATAATTATAATAATTTTTATGTTTGTATTTTATTATTAATTTATAATAAATATTCATAAACTGTGCAGTGTTGGCCTAGTGGCTTCAGCGTGTGACTCTCATCTCTGAGATCGCAGGTTCGATCCCCGGCTGTGCACCAATGGACTTTCTTTCTATGCGCGCATTTAATATTCGCTCGAACGGTGAAGAAAAACCATCATGAGGAAACCGGAATGCCTTAGACCCAAAAAGGCGACTGCGTGTGTCAGGCTCTGGAGGCTGATCACCTACTTGCCTATTAGATTGAAAAATGATCATGAAACAGATTCAGAAATCTGAGGCCCAGACCTAAAGAGGTTGTAGCGCTGCTGGTTTATTTTTTTTATTAATTTATAAACTGTTATCTACTGTAATGTAAATACCATTTTTTTTAAATTATCAATAAAAACACAACAACCTACTTTATGCCTCCCGTAAAATTATATCATAGTGGTATGTTATGTAAGCGTGTAATTTTATTTTACGATACAAAATTTCTAAGCTAAGATTACAGACACCAATGAATTACCTGAGTCCACACTCCTCTGTATGAAGCTATCCAGGACCATATCTATAAGTTCTGGCACATGTCCAATTGAGCCCCATATTTTCGCCTGAACAGATGGATACATTTCAGTTTCTTCTATTGTAAGTTCTATCAATTTTTCCAAAATTTGGGCCACTTGCTTCTGACGTCTCGACTCTTCAGTGGGTTTGCAGAATCTGGAATATCGAAACATTAATACATAGTATATACAACATTTTATTTAACTTTAAATATATAAAAACTAGCTGCCCCCGCCAGCTTCGTTTCTCCTTTATGTGAATTTAATTAGCCTACCTTTTTAGTACATACTAACATGGAACATTTCGCTATGCTACTAGAGACTGTTTGGTTTTTCGGAATGAAAACTTTTAGGTTTTTCTGAGATTTTTCTCTATATAAACCTCAGAGTTCAAGTTATAAGTTCTTAACTAAATAAAAATTAGGGGATAATCGTAGAGGGTAGATGGAAATTAAAGGTTGTATGTATTTTTGTATGATGTAACATAAAAAATAAAAACAAAAATTTTGTCGAAAAAATTAAAATATTTTTTTTGGATTGGACACCCCTTATCACTTAGGGGTTTGAAAGATAGATAGTAGCCGATTCACAGACTTACAGCATACGCATAAAAAATTTCATAAGAATCGGTCGAGCCGTTTCGAAAGAGTATGGGAACAAACATTGTGACACGATAATTCTATATAAATATAGATAGAAGGTAACACTTACTTGACTAAATTAGCAAGCCACGGGGTCATATACTCAAGACATAAATGCTTCAGTTCTATTGTCGAGCCACGGAATCCCTAAAAAAATTCACTTTTAATATATAATAATTGATTTATTATATATTATCACACATGTTGCTTTCTGTAATCTAATTATTAATTAATTAGAGGCCCTTTTGTTTTTTTTTTCAATCATTTTTAAACTTTATTAAAAGAACAATATTATTTTGATTGATAATTAATTATTATTCTACCTGAATACACTCTTCTAGAAACTCCAGCGTCAAATGAGGCTCATTATGTGCTAATTTCTCACTCACAGACTTAATGAAGATAGTGTTATTTGATGGTATACATAATCCTAAAAAAATATAAGAATTAAGTCTTAAGACATGATGATTAATAAAATAGACAGAATTCAAAAATGCTTATTGAATTGAATACAAATTGCTTGTACAAATTCGTATTCATTGATTTTTTATAGAAAAATGGGCCAATTTTTTAACAAAAAATTTTTCCCCCTTTTAAAAATGAACTTCAAAAGACCTCGTCACAATCACAAAACCCAAACATATCTAATAATTCTCTTCAACCTTAAAGCTTCAAGCTTTTTAATTTATAATTTCTGCTACACAGCGGTAAGTGAGAAGAAGTGTCTTCCCTTTAATAGAGACTGTAAGTAGTGTTATTGGACACTTTCTTATGTTAAATATCCTTATTAGTAAATTAGGTTAGACTTGAAATTCAAAATCATTTATTAGTATAGGTAGCACAATGTACATTTATGAACGTCATAAAAGAAATATACATTAAATTCTTGTAATTTTACAATTACTGCCAGATCTCAAATGAAGGGAACGGACGAGAAGAACTGGCAATAAACTCTCCGCCACTCTTTTTAATCGCCGAGTTTTTTTGTTTACAAAATGTTTGTAAGGCAACAATTACACCATGTTCCACATGACATCTTAAGTAACTAAATTAACTTAAATTAGTCTTAAGTTAAGCTAGATTGTAAAGTTAAATTGTGTCTATAAAAGAAATGTACCTGATGTCTCCAACAACTGTCCCTCGATTTTAAGATGAAATGTTGCGGTCAACGCACACAGCTGATTGTACGCAGCGGTGCGTAGGTTCGGATCACACGACCCTAAGTTCAATAAGGCCATATTTAATAAGGTCCCAGGCACATCTTTGGGCCGTATTTTCTGATGTACCGTCACCGAATCTTGCTGGAAACGTAATCAGAAATAAATCATTCATATAGTTCTATTGATATTTCAGACATTTAAATTTAATCATCGGACGTCAAGGCAGAAAACTAAATTTCACCCGTATCACCTCGACGTCAGACGTTTTTTAAGGCAGTTTTTGCTGCGCAATGTGCAAATCTATTTTTAAAATTCATAGTAAATACATCAGTGTAATTGCATTTTTTAACTTAGAACACAGTATTTCCACGCGAAACCACAATTCGGAAGAAAGAGACAAAAACTACATTTTTTTTAAAGTTTAACATCGACTCACCGGTTGACTAAGCTCCCATCTATTCCGTATATGGATGATGGACTGTACGATATTATCACAATCGTTGTGTATGAAGCTGAGTGGAGTGGCTTCGTTTACTATTGATAATGAAAATTGGTTATCATCCACCAAGCATACCTAAAATTGTTTATAGAAAATATTAAAAAATGTGTGCGTGTACTAGGTGTACACACGTAAGAAGTGAAACTTCTTTATGACCTTATTAGAAACTATTTCTTTAAACACAGTAAATTTTGATACACTGCCTAGCATACAATTTACAAATTAATTGCTGCAAATTGCGATTAGCAAATTTCAAGTCGAAAATGTAATCCGTTGTCAAACTTCAAAGTCAAAAACATACTATACCTATGTCATATTTTAACGCCGATAAAGAAGTTTGACAACGGATTACATTTTCGAAGTCAAACTTCAAAGTCAAAAACATACTATATGTCATATTTTAACGCCGATAAAGAAGTTTGACTTCAAAAAGCAACATGGCGCGTAACGGAAAAATGTGACGCGTAACGCAAAAATGTTACACTAAATTTTTTTCCAACCCCGATAAAGAAGTTTCACTTCAAAAATTTAAACAAATACCACTAAGCCATAGTCATGAGTTGAATGACAGAGAAATTTCTATGTACCAAAGTACATAAGAAATTATTTTTTTATTACCTATTTTTTATTAAAGAGAAGAGCGGCCCTCAAAGGCAGTTACTTTCAGGCAACGCGAACGTAAAATAAAAATGCTTAAAACAAAACTTTTAACATTCAAACAATATATTATCACTTATTTGTTATGGCTCAAAGCTTTTTTTATAAGCTTTGAGTCATTGCAAATAAGTGATATTTCACACATACAAACAACTTGTTTGTAAAAATATTTTTAATAAAGTCATTAATATTTATTACGGCAGGCAAAAAAACAAAATATTTAGAACTAATTTAATTAAAAAAAACATTACAGCTAAACCAACCGTAAGGAATTTGACTGCAAAGACAATAAATAAAATTAGAATCCACGGGGTAATATGTGCTGACACAGCGAAGAACGTGAAATTCTTGTCAATTACAAAATTTTCGCTAGGCTGCAGCTCCATGCATATACGTTAATCTAAATAAATAAGTGTAAACATACCTCATCAATTTCTGACGCATAGTAGACATCATTCAATAACACTTGAAATCCTAACACCTTGGTCTTCTCCACTGATGTTATTTGCAAAGCTGTGGGCCCGACCTAGAATATATTTGATATAATAACCACCATTTTCAAATTAATTAATTTAATGTTTTAAGGATTACGAAATAATATATAAAGTTATAATATAAAAAATGCATATGGGCATCCAACAATAAGTCACAAAGGGCACTGGCGCACGCACTACTCCCAGGTAGCGTACACGCACACATACGAGCGAACAAGCAAGACCTGTTTTGTGCTTACGTGCGAGTGGCGATCAAGTTTGAATAAAAATAAATTGAAAATGTAAATATGAGAATTTTAAGTAATGAATATTATGTGGAATTAATAATATGTATACTATCAAATCGAGTTTACTCTGAGATAAGATAGATGATTATTTCAGTTAAGACGGCGATTGTTTTTATGAATATGGGTTACAAATATCTTCCTTCTCCTTCCTTCCCTGCCTACTAAGCTCGTAATCGTGTTTTGTTTCACATCGTCACAATCGTTGTTTGTTCAAAAAACTCAGTTTTGTATCCCGCAGCCCGGACATACAACTACCAATATTTCAGCCTTGACTTGTTTAAGCTATTGCGGAATATGGTTAAAAGGAGTATTAAGAATATCCATAGCACAAAATCACCTGCATCATAAGCATACCCCACATACACACCTTCACGTACTTACCCTCACTTTTACACCATGACACAACACAGCCAAATCAGGTACCACTAGGTAGTACTAGTTAAATATATTGAATAATATTTATTTGTTTGTTTCCTTTTGTAAATTTTTGAACCTTTTTGTAGTTAAATGTATCATGTATTCCATCACTAGCTATATTTTCAGTGTAACTGTTTGTTATTATATACATATATAATTTATGTTAGCTGAAGGATTACGAAATAATATAATGATGAGTTGCATTCCACAGAGAGTTAAATAAATGTATAAAATTTAAAAAGTGAACGATACAACTCTTGTTTTATCTTGAAAAGATTTATTATATTTTTTTCTGAAATACCTTAATAGCGACTTTAGTGTCCTTATGCGATAGCTTGAGGGCATTATTAAACACTTTGAGGTCCTCCTCAAGGGCCAAAGTCGCTCCGGGAAGTTTTTGCTGTTCCGAGTCAATGTAGTCGCATAGACGAGCGTGGTTGTCTATGAATAAAAGTTTTCGGTTACCCTGAAATAAATGAATTCTAAGTAATAGTAATAGGTTGTGGGTTGTTAGACATTTGATACCCATGAAGAAACCTATCCTTTACGTAGCCCTCCAGCTGTTTTTACATTTTTATTAATTATTAAAATAAATACCGGCGTCTCCGAGTAGGTGTTATTTATAAATAATTCCTACCCGCAAAATCTAAACTAATAATAATATTATAAAGAGGAAAGATTTGTATACAAGTATGTTTGTAACGAAATGGCTCAAAAAGTACTGGACCGATTTTAAACATTCTTGCACCATTTGAATGGTACATTATCGCTGATTAATATAGGCTATTTTAATTACAAGAAAAAAAAAGGGTGCGTGTACTTATGTACGCGCGTAAGAAGTTATACTTCTTTGGCATTATTAAAAATAGTTTTTGATTGCATGCAAATAATTAATTACAATTAAATAATCAAAGACTGGAAAAGGAGTCATTATAGTCAATAAAGTTCAGTTTACATTTGAAAAATTAAATAAATAAATATTTATTATTATTCTCTTACATTAAGTGTAACATAAATTCAATTATTATTCGAATGTTGTTTTTAAATTATGTCCAATGCCGTAGCATCTTCCGTGGGCAACTTCATTCTGTTAAATTAGTGTCACGGTGCGCGCGCATTGTAAAATTTCACTCTCATAAATTTTTCATAACGCGCCTAAAGAAGTATAACTTCAAAAATACTAAAACTAAACTACAATAAAGTTACCCAAGGTGTAAAAAAATGACTATAAAATGTCTTTCACAGCATGCGCTGCGAAAACTATTGATGATAGAACAATCAAAACGTTTCACAATATTAAAGAACACATTAATAACTATAAAAAATGTTTAAAAAATAAATGTCCCCCGTGCGATACCGGGACGGGCCGCTAGTAATAAAATAATATAAAATTGCTGTATCAAGTAACTCTCGATATATTTAAATATTCAAACGATACATTTTTAGATCATTTCAAGTAAGAGCCACTGAGTTGGACACAGTACGAAAGTTGGGTATTTTTTTAAAAATGTCTTACCCTAAGTGGCGCCAAAATAGTTTCATGGAACTTGGTATACTCCCGAACCCAGCTGTTACAGTTGTATATATAGCACGCCTGTATATTCGTGTAGGCTACTTCTGGGAGCACCGTAAACCACTTTTGGAGGAAATCCGTTCTGAAATATTGTATGGGTTAGAAGAAAATAAGTTACACGAGTTACCAAGCATATTAGTTACAAGCCTACGTAAATATTATTATTATAAATATTCTTTTCAAACTTTATTTGATCAAATGCATTTTCTTTGTAACCGACTTTAAAAACTTTGATTTTATATAGTCTTTAATTTTTATTTGTTATCTTTTTTATATAACAGAAGTCAATCCAAAGGCACACCTGAGGTTAAGTAATACCCCCCCTGGACACAATAGCCCAGGGGGCTTATTATATCCCCCCCAAATCAAACAAACACGTCTGCACAAGCAGTCTCCAGATCAAACAACCTATTGGTTAGACACTAATCTCCGTTAACATACAAACCTGAACCTGTTATCGGAGTTGGTGTGAGTGAAGTCGATGATCAGCTCGAAGGGTTGTTGGCAGAACCGCTTCAGGGTCAAAATCACGTGGTAGATCAGAAGATCCGCGTTCACTTCTCCGATCCTGGCGAAATAATATTTTCGTTGTACTTATATTTAATCATCGAAAGAGAGCCATAGACAGAGTCAGTTGGAAAAAGCTGGAGGAGGCCTTTACCTGTGAAGGGGTTCCGATCGACGGTACTGAAGGAAGCTAGAATATAGAATAACAAGCAAAAGAAAAAAATTTATAAAAATGTAAAATAAGCTATGTATTATAACTTGTTTTTGTCATGATTGGAAATAAAACGGGCTTTATTATTATTACTAGCCGTTTCGCGCCCGCTTTGCTGGACGAATTAAAATAAATTTTATGTTTCATTATTTTATTTTTTTTCATATTTTTATTATTCTTCTTTTTAACTTCCCGCTAAGAAAATTGAAATATTTCGAAAATCGAGTTTTTAACAGATGTTGACGTTTAGAGGTTCTAGGAAGCCTCCCCGAATGTTTCCGCGGTGAAGTCCGTATGGATAAATTTTCATAAAAGTAAAACAGCAATAAAAAAATGAAGGAACGTTGGAATTTAATAAATAAATAGCCATAAACCATCTAGGAAAAATTTCGCATCGAATGGTGGTAGTTTCATGTCGATACGATCAGTGGTGAAGGAGCCTCAAACGAAGACCTTTTTCATTATATATAGTATATAGATTATTATATTTAATTATTACCTTCTTGTTCTTCGTATGTAAATAGTTTTAAATATTCATATATCTTTGAAATAAATGAGATAGCGGAGAAAGATTGGAAAATAGTAGCGAAGTAGAGACAAATGGAAGGATTTGGAGGTACCCTTCACTCCGTCGCAGGTCGTGTACTAATATTAAATATAATAACATAAACTTAATGTAATCCTTATTAGTACTGGAAGACAGGCTATTTTATTTTACATTTTATATATCTTTTTAATTATTTAGTGACTTTTTCTTTAGTCATCTGTCTGTTGAATTTACCAAAATTGTGTGTGATCTGTTTTGTTTATTTATTTATATGTATATCTACTTATGTGTAAAATAAAATAAATACTGCGCATGATACCTCAATATCCCAAGATATGAATAAGTAAAAAGATACAACATAACTACTGGTACAGTACAAAAATAACAGACAACGCAATAGCGTTGACATACGAATTGTTTTTATGTGATTTCTAACACTAGTCTGAAATAAACTTTCTCAGATTTTTCTTACTATTTAACGGCAACTCCTTGTAACGTCAAAATAGGCAGAGTCCTTTGAGTGTCGTTATATAGAGTTGACACTGTAATATGATTTGTAGTTAGCCCTAACCTTCAAAAGTATAATATATATAATATATAAAAGTATAATATGTATAAATTTGAGTTTGTGAGATTTTGAGTGAAGGAACTTTTGTTTGCATAATAAAATGGATAAAAGGAGTTCTAAAGCATTGCTTTTTAAACGAAATTAAAAACGATTGAAGCCAAAGCTTGGCTAGATAAACATTGTTCGGACTCTGCACCAGGAAAATCAACCGGTAAAAAGTGGTTTGCAAAGTTTAACGAGGCGATATTAGCACCGAGGACGATCCACGCAGTAAAATAATTTTGGATAACAGAAAACTCATCATTCCAATTAAGCTAAGTGAAGTCTAAATCTTTGTTTATTTGATGTTAAATAAACCATTTATTAAGAACAAGATAATACGCTACCAACAAATTATCGCGAGAACCACGGGGTATAACTAATTAAAATATAGAATTAATTACTTGTATCTTCTAGAAATAAAATAGAAGACTGGATTGCCCAATTTGCTGGTGCCGGCTTGGTAGAAGATATTCAAACTTTTGATACTTTTGAACTCTTCTTTTTGGTGCATGTTATGTTTCACAATGAACTCTTCGAAGTTGGTGGAAGACATATCAATTGAAGACCAGCGAGCGTAGGAAGAGAAAAGAAGACTTGATGTGCTGGAATAAAGAACAATAAACTAATTAATATACTAAAAAGTGAAAGATTTATTCGCCATAAAATACTTGATCGCTTTTTAGCTATAAGGTTTCTTATTTTGTTCTTGATGCATATAAAATCTCAGCTTTGCTAGCAAATACTTACGATTCAACAGGTTTATGTTCCGGCGGACCTAAATAAGCTAGCAGTGTCGCCATCTGTAAGCAGTATTCAGAGTATTCAATTATAATTTATATTAAGTCGGTATATTCATTTTATTATACATAAAAATATTGCTACATTAATTTACTAAGTTTTTTTAAAAGAGTTTTTGTTTATTTATTAAATTTTACCTCACTATACATAATGCTATATCTACAGTATATTACATAAACATAAATGTTACAAGGAAAAAAAATAAAAGTAAAATAAAAACACATTTCCAGCTTTAGATTTGACTAGTAAAACAGCGGATTAGGTATCACATATTTAAAAAAAAAAGCATTAACACTTAACAATGCTTTTTGTTTAATTGGTTCAGTATCAGTGGTTATTCTGTTAGGTCAGGGTCTAAGGTTCGGTAGAACTTGAACGCTAACATACCTTATCAAACGGCCGCCGTCCAACCGCCTTATGATCTCTGCTACTGGACAAATAATCTCCAATCCTCTCTTGGTGGTTCCACAATAACCTATGTAACGCCAACACATTCGCGTCACTTATAAACGATAAACTATGAGCCGCTTGCTCCACGCTCTCACAGTCGGAGGCTATTTGTATGAAAAACCTGTAAAATTCAATTTATTTATTGCGTAACATAAATATCTTATCTACTCGCTTATTAAGGGAAAACTTTGCCAAACATATATCTCTGTTTGTCTATAAATGATCTATACGGACTTCGAGAAAGCTTTCGATCGGGTCGATCATGTCATTCTCCTACTATTAGCGCTAGGAATCCGTGGGGATCCATATAGATGGATAAAATCATATTATGTAACTAATAGAAGGCAGGCGGGTAACGGGTGGACCTAAGAGAACATTTATAAATTTGACATCCGGTGTACCTCAAGGGTCTATACTGGGTCCTTTGTTGTTAAATGCTTATCTATATGATATAATATATTGCTTCAAGTATTCAAAATATCTTATGTTTACAGATGACAATTTTATTTTTGTAATAACTAAGTCTTTAGATAACTGCGTTCAACTTCAACAGGATCTTAATAGCAACCCAAGTGTTATCCAAGAACTTGGTTTCTTTGTACCTAGCAGATGTGTGCGACGGCGAAGGCTATTTGCAATATCAGCCAGTCTGATATGTGCAATATTAGAAATGGCGATTCTTCCCGAAAAGTATCGCTTTTTAAATCGATTCGAATCGTTAGCTGATCCATTTACAAATAGTCGTGTTCTAAAAAAATTGATTTTTCCAAGTTTGCATTTATTAAGTAAATATAAATCCATGTAATGAAAAAAACTAAACTTATCAGTAAATAGTTTTTTTCAGTAAAAAGTTCAGGGCATTGGGTAATGACATTATTTTTTATTACCAAAATATAATTGATAGTATATTATTAATTCGATAGAATTCAAAAGGTAAATTTAGAATTCCACGATCCTTTTAGTTTAGAATCCTACGAAAGTTTATGAACTTTCGGATTTTGTTACATTCCGTTGACATATATACTTTATTAATTATAATTTTTTTAGATGTTATCGTATTGGATTAGTATATATTTTTAGTAAGGATAGTGTATATATTTTTGTGAATAAAAAAATAGATACTAAAAAACTTTGGATCAAAACGCGTCTGTTAACAAAGTTTTTGAAATTAATACCGGCTTACGTTACGTGTACGTTTCACATGCTAGATATAATAGAATAAAACCAAATCTAATAATGATAGCATATGTATAATACTCACTTGCGTCCCGTCTCGAAGTGTGCTCTTAGGAAATCGTTAAATGGCAACATATGTTGTTCCTTTGAGAATTCCACGTGATTCGCAATATTCTGCAGTATTTTGGACATTAGCATCAGGCCACGCTTGATTTGCAAAGGTATGGGGCGAAAGACTATGCCCATTTCTTGAGGTGATACTAAAATTAGTTAGGTCAAATTATAAACGTATTGTACTCATCACCAAAAATATGACAAATAATTCTTGATACTGTCAAGCGGAAAAATATTTAAGAAAGAAAAGAAAAAGCTTTATTATACACAATATACAGGATATTTAGGTAAAGTAACTGGCCCCACTAGGATTCCCTGTTGTGGGCAGCCAGTCTTCCTTTTGACATGTAAACTATACTTAACTTTATGATTTCTACATAACACAAATTTATATTGAAAATATTTTTGCACAATAAGAATATTTACTGTATCAGCATAGGACAGGTTGACAAGATATTGTTTGAGGTTTTAAGTAAGTGAGTTTTGAAATGTTAGTGATAATTTTGTTTTTAAGGAAGAAAAGGAAATTTTGTTTTTAAAAGAGCGAGAGAAACATGAGAAATGTGGGTTAAAAGGGGACGTAGTGACAAGGATAGGAATGAGAATGCTTACGTGGCTTGGCCATGGAGAACGGATGAATCGGAAGCGGTTAACAAGTAGGATATACAAAGCAATCGTGGATCGTGAAATCGGGTTGGGTAGGTCTTGTCAACTTGGACCAAATCAGGAGGTACTAGAAAAAGGACCAGTTAAAACCCATAAAAAACGAGCATGCATGGTAATATCATGAAAGTGGAAGCGAGAGAGGTATGTCTGTCTGTAGCAAGTGGAGATCCGTGGTCTCTGCCCACCCTTTCGGGAAAAAGGCGTGATAATATTAATTTTTTAAGTCAATGACAAAAGTCAAAAATCACTTATTCATATAGGTAACACAATGTACACTTATGAACGTCAAAAAAAAAAATACACTATATGCATCTAAATTTACATCTACTGCCAGTTCTCAAATCAAAGGCGTAGAACGCAAGAGAAGAACTGGCAATAAACTCTGCGCCACTCTTTTTCTTCGCCAAGTTTTTTGTTTTACACAACGTTTGTTAGGAGCTGCAACAATTACACCATGTTTCACATGACATCTTAAGTAATAAATAATAATAAAATAAATTAAAAACAAAGATTTATCCTCAATGCAGGAGGCATGGTGAAATAGGAGCACGCACTTACATTCTCGTGGGAACAACACGCAAATACATGTGTTTTTAAGACATCATGGAAAATTACGATCAAGCCTAGCTTCGTAAGTCTTCTTAAGTCTAACCTAATTTACTTAAAATATTTAACATAAGAAAGTGTCCAACACTATTTTCAGACTCTATTAAGAAAACACTCTGTTCTTGTGTACATTTTTTCACTTACCACTTTTTTTTGCACTTAGCATTTAAGTGCACTAACACTAATTCACTAGTTCAAATGGTTTAGTTACAGTCTTCTCACCCGTGGTGTCAAGAAGTTGGTAGCCTCGACATTAGAATAGCGTGGTAATATAAATAAAAAAAATTGTATTGTCTTACCAATTGCGGGGTTGATAAATCTCAGGAACAGAACAGTACCGACGGCACCGACACTCGTGTGGGGGAATTGTGAGAATCGCTTATTTAGAACCTGTTAAAACATTTATGGTTCTATATTATTATTTTTTAAATAAATCTAACTTAATTTTTTTTTAAACTTATATATATACTAATATTAAGGAATGTAAATGAACCAATTGTTGTATGGATTAATAAAGCTTTATTAATAATAATAATATTTTTTCCTACAATAAAGATTACCAAAAAGACTGCGACTTTACAATCTAGTCTATACAATAATTATGGCTTAGTAATAGTTGACTTAAATTTCTACTCTCTTCGGTCGGCAGCTCATGTCTGATCGTGGTCAGCAAGGATACATCTGGAGCGCCTTTTAAAGAAACCTTTTGAGTTATAAAACCTAGTGCAGTAAATATAAGTGCAAGCGCGGTATCTCGGACACACGAACATAGTGTCAAAACTTTATAGAACACTAAGACTGTTGATGAACATTACCTTAAAGATATTCACTAGTATAGTAGAAAATTAAGTCAAAATAACATTACTAAGCCATAATTATTGTATAGGCTAGATTGTAATTCATATAAAGTAGCCTTCTTTTTGTGAAAAAAAAAACAATCCTACCTGGTACAAACAATGACACATGCTCCTAAGTTGTGGCGGGAACATATCCGCACAGTTCACGATTTGTTCAAAAACCTCTTTTGTCAATTCTATTAAATTGGCTCGATTAACGTCTATATCTTCGCTTGGATCTAATCTGTAATTTACCCAAACACTTAATCTTAATATATATAAATTACGAGTCACGTTGTTTGTCCGCTATGGACTCATAAACTACCGAACCGATATCAATCAAATTTGCACACCGTGTGTAGTTTGGTCCAACTTAAAAGATAGGATAGCTTACATCTCAATTTATACCCGCAATATTATTTTATTGCAAAATATTTGTTTATTATTTGATAGTCACAATTCTAACAGATAGCGCTGTGTCGAAAGTACCAACGCCATTAAATTGTAGCTTATGTGCTATACATATACAGTGTATACTCTTTATAACGAATTTCAAGGGACCGAGTTTTTATTCGTTATATAGAGTTGTCGTTATAGGGAAGGAACATAAAAAATACTAAATTTAACCAATTACAGTAATTTATATATATTTAATAGATAGGTGACAATGGTGTGTTTAGTAACTGAGATTCAATTAACAATAACAAAGGCGAGAAGGCTGTTTATGACCTCAGGTGTCTTTCTGAGTAATTTCGGCACCTCAATAGCTTAGTTGTAATCAGATTATAAAAACAATTACACTTAAGTATGTTGTTGATATCTAAATATGTAAATATTTCTTCGTAATAGAGGGTATATGTTGCGTTATAAAGAGAGAGTTAAAGTATGGGTTTTGTCTTGTATGTACAATGTACAAATGTAGCTCATTTACGTTATAGAGAGTATTTCCTTAAAAGGAATAACGTTATAAAGAGTTAGCACTGTATATAGATATCCATATCTCAAAAACTACTGAGGCGATTTTGATGAAACTTAGACTGTTCTTAAATGTTGACATATACAGTCAAACCTGAGTAAGTGACAATTGGGTAAGTGAGAAAACTTTATTAATGAGATTATTACCGGGTGTGACTCTTCTCTAATATTCTTAAATTTAAGAAACATCAAACCTGTATAAGTGACAGTCATTCACGCGGGAAACTTTTTAAGGGGGGGGAAATTTTGGGGTTTTCTTTAAAGGGGGGTAAAAAGAATTTTTAACCGAGGGGGGGGGGGGGGGGGGGGGGGGAGGGGGGGGGGAAAAAGGGGGGGGGGGGGGGGGAAAGAAAGGGGGGGGGGGGTGGTGCGGGGGGGGGGGGGGGGGGAAGGAAGGGGGGGGGGGGGGGGGGGGAAAAAAAAAAAAAAAAAGAGAGAGAGGGAGGTGGGGGGAGGGGGGATAGAAAAGAAAAAGGTGGATGGGGGTTATAAATAAAAAAAAAAAAAAAAAATTTAGGGTTTGTTGGGGCTAAAAAAAAAAAAAAAAAAAAAAAAAAAAAAAAAAAAAAAAAAAAAAAGACGGACTCTTATTTATTTCAAACCAAATGTGCATCTGTTATTGGTTTCTAAAGTTTTATAGACCTCTATATGTGAGACAGACTCTGTAACCCTGTAAGCTAGAAACTTGGGTAGTGAGAAACCTCTATAAGAGAAAATGAGATCGCGGTCCCTTGAGTTCTCACTTATCCAGGTTTGACTGTATCTGATAAAAATCAGATATGACCTTTCGATTTCGAGAAATTGTGAACTATATTTCACATACTTACGAACTTCTAGCATTCGTGATTGGAAGCCTGAAAGAAACAATGGTCAAAACCATCTTTTTTGGAATCCATTAAATAACTAACGAACGGTGTTACTATTATCTAAGTCTTACCTTGCTGGGTCCACTTCAAAACTCAACTCAGGCTGTTTCAACAATGAACTAATGATAGGCTCCAATAAATTATGTAGGTATGTATGTCCGTATATCTTAAAGCAAAAAGCCATAATCTTGCTGCCAAGAGAATTTCCTCGGAAGAGTGTTTGCATACAATCCGATACCTAAAAGACAAATTCATTATTCGATAAACTATAGTTTATTTTAATATTCATATGCAAATAGTTTTCTAAAGAAATTTTGCTGTATCCGCGTTTACGCTTCGTAGCCTATTTCGAAAGTCATTGTCAAAATCACGTCGCAATACAACTATAACACTTATTGCCACATTACTTAGGCAAGTTGGCAAGGAAGTCACCAGTTAAGTTGGCAGGGAAGTGCAAAGGGAAGCGCAAAGGGAAATGGGCAGGGAAGTTAGCAGGAAAGTGGACAGGGAAGTGGGCAGGGAAGCGCAAAGGGAAATGGGCAGGGAAGTTATCAGGAAAGTGGGCAGGGAAGTTAGCAGGAAAGTGGGCAGGGAAGTGCAAAAGGAAGTTGGCAGGAATGTTGGCATGAATGTTGGCAGGGAAGTAGGTAGCGTGATCATGTTAATAGGCACTCACTTTGCCACTATTTCCATATTTGAAAGTTAAATGGAAGAATAATCAAAGGCGACCTGCAGCAATTTAGGGCAATACTTCCGTCAGTGGCAAAGGCTTGTAGATGTGGCATATGATTTCGAACGCTTGAACTTGAGCTTTTAAATTTTTATAACCGAATAAAAAAAATATTTAAAAATAGTCTCTTGTCGTCCATCAGGTTTTTAAAGAACGAAAACGCAGTAGGTACCCACGATTGTTGGCGTATACGCACAGTTAACCACTAAAATACTACTTACCTCAACTTCCCGATAGAATATATTCCACAGCAAAGGCGCGAGGAGGTGTTTAGCGTCAAACAAAGTTACGAACACCTTGGCTAATTCATCCATTTGCGACGTACTGACGACACTGGCCAGCGCCATGGCTATTGGTAGTTCACCCTGAAACATTTTGTTCATATAAAATCTAAAAAAAAACAGGTGATGGATATGTTACGGTCACCTAGTCGGTCGCGGCGAGAAAGAACGGCGCTACCAAAACATTTGTCATTTTGCTACCAAATGCTACCATATGTACCAAAACTGTTGCAATACAAAATGATTATCAATAACCACACATTTTATATTGCAACACAAAGTTTTGTATTACAAGTATAATTAAAGGTAAATCAAAAGTAAGTGGTTTCAGCGTACGACTCTCATCCCTGAGGTCGTAGGTTCAATCGGCTGTGCACCAATGGAATTTCTTTCAATGTGCGCATTTAAAATTTGCTCGTTAGGTGAAGGAAAACATCGCGAGGAAACCGGCTTGCCTTACACCCAAAAAGTCGACGACATGTGTCAGGCACAGGAGGGTGATAGTTGCCTATTAGATTGACAAATGAGCATGAAACAGATACAGAAATTTGAGGCCCAGACCTAAATAGTTTGTAGCGCCACTGATTTTAATAATACTAATTTATGTTATTTTTATTATACTAAGTTTTCCCTTGGACCACCCGAATCTATTCGTTGCCCGTTATATTTTAAATTTCGTCATCCCATCCTTTTAAATAACTTGCGAATAAACACTACCAAAAAATATATACTTATAAATATAGATTTTTTTACAACGTCACTAAAAAAGCTTGAAAATTGTGTTGCGTACGCATGTACGGATTTTTTTAAATCATGAATGTTTAATTAAAATTTTAAAGCCGTATTAAGAGAATGAAAAAGAATAATTTGTATAGGTTCTGTTGTCACTAAAATGGTTTTTAAAACCTTCTCAAACTATAATAATAAATTAATTATTTTTCTTTAATTTATATGGTCTACCATAATGCGTTAATCCTACAAAATCTTTTTGACAAATTACCTTATCTGATATCATAGTGACGAGCTGCACCAACTGTTCAAATCTATCAGCTAATACTGTTTCCGCCAATGTATCGAACTCCGTACCCTGCTGGAGTATCTTCGTAAGTACTTCCATGAACGCTGCTCGTGTCTGCAAGTCACGATGGTAGCCAAGATCTGGAAAAAGAGATTATGTATTAAATTATTATTATATTAATTATTTACGTTTACTAAGACATGGCTAGTTCAATCAAAACGTATTCTATTCACTTATAGGCCAAAGCCCCGTACCGCTCAGCTATCGCTGGATCAAAATAGTGACCTGCTGCAGATGACAGCCAGTAACTGGCGCAGGATATGGAGTAGCTATCCGTTTTGCCAGAGCCAGCGGACTGAGTAACGAAAAAGTTGGGAAGGTACTAGTTATACTGTAATCTGCTTTGCGAACTTAAAATTTAGTGTAATAAACAGGTATAAGTGACAAAAAGTGCGTATACAAAAGACCTTTGTTAGCTTTTAATATTTATTTAATTAAATTCTAAAAAAATTTTATGAAACATATTCTTAAGAATCTTGCTACAAGTGCGCATGTGCTATAGTTGCTCATTTGACTCGTTCGGTTGTTTACGAATTAACTCAAACATCTCCCCGAAGTGGGATGGTGGAGTCGGAGTAGGGAATAGATTATAAAACAGGGGTTGTGACAAATGCGCACAGGCAATCCCTTTGTTCAAGTTTGAAGTTATACAGTTTATGTAAAATCAGTGAAGTGAATTATAGTGAATCAAGTTATCATTGGGGTGTTTAATTTCCTACCCTAAGAACTAGATCAACTAGCCCTTACACCTTTAATATGTATTTTTTAAATATATATTTAAAATTTCAGAAGGAATTTAAGACAGGGATTTTCCTTAATTAAACTAGCCGATGTTTTATAAGCGGAAGCGTATGGGTATGCTTAAAATATATTGAATAGACCGCATACGAAATACAACCGGACAGAATGCAGAAGAACAAAGTAGTGAAATAAATAAAAAAATAAAATATGTTTATTATGGAACATAAGATACATGTATCACTTATTCCACGTCATTAAATTTGAAGGCATCCCTACTCATCGGCAAAGAAGACAGAGGGTGTAGGCCGAGAGAAAAAGCCGGCGTAAAAAACACTCGGTACTCTTTTAAAACAGCAAATCATCAAACAACACTTATTTAAAACAAATATCGCAAATTAATTAGAAGTAGCCTGTCTAGCACTAGTCCCAGGCCCTTTTATCAACTAGATAATCGTTGACTTTATAGTAAGCCTTTTTACACAGCTTTTCTTTAATACATTTCTTAAATTTATTGAAAGGCAGTGATAAAAGAGCCTTTGGGATTTTATTAAAGAAGAGTATCCCTTTTCCCAAAAAGAATTACTAACTTTAGATAGTCTAGTACGGGGGAAATTGCAGCCTGCGTTTGTTCCGTGTATTAACATTGTGCGTATGTTCTATTCTAGTAAACTTATCACTATTTTTGTATACATACATAATATTTTCATAAATATATTGCGAGGGAAAGGTAAGTATATTAATTTCCTTGAATTTATCTCTAAGAGATTCCCTACATTTTAAATTATAGATTGCACGAATAGCCCTCTTCTGCAGGATGAAAATAGTTTCGACATCAGCAGCATGACCCCATAATAATAAGCCATAAGTCATTAAGTGCTAATGATGGTTAAGAAAAGGAAACTTCAATATTTCGGACAACCAAAAAATACAAGCTCCTTCAACGAATACAAGGCAAAGTGGCAGGTAGAAGGAGACCTAGCCGCAGACACGTCTTGGTAAAAACCTAACACAAGGTCAAAGCACCAACTCATTGTTTAGAAGCGCGGCATCCAAAATTAAACTAGTCATGATGATCGCCAACCTTCGGAAGGAGATGTTACTGTCAACGTAAAATTGTAAAAACCGTTAGATTGCATGTCTACTATAAAGCCGACCAATCAGCGCGCGAGGTGCGTACCGTTTCACAATTTGACGATTTCACTTCGATAGATTATAATCTACCGAATAATTATACGTTAAATTGTAAGCAGTAAGTTGAGTTCACAATCTTTCGACAGTTTATAATCTCGCGAGATAGATTAAAATCTAACGGTATTTACAATTTTACGTTAACATTACTATACGAAGATGTTTTATAAGGTACAGCAGGGAGAAATAATCTAAACAAGAGAACTATGAACACAAAGTAATTCTCACCAATACTATGCATCAGCCCCGAATCAATGTTAGCGCTGAGTAAATTGGACATCGCTTGAATCGTCGCTTTCCTTAAAGTGTCCAGTCGACCGGGACCCTCCGTTATCTCCACTTCATTGCAGTCGTTTAGTAGGTTCATAAATAGGGTGAAATATCTGTTAACATATTCTAAAGTTAATTAGGGAATGTATGTATGTGAGATGAAATTACAATGTTGATTGGACAATAAACAACTAACTATGTATATCAATAATTTGCACAGTTATAGTAAAATGTTTAAAAAAAAATATTTTTAAGACAAGACGATGTAATCTACTGACTTTAGCCTGACCGAGAAGTCAAATAAAAAAAATCTTCAATTAAACATCTTACTTTTGACAACGCTGTCAATGAATCGTCAATGCTGACACTGGTTTAAAAATATTGTTTATTCATAATTATTTAAATACCATATGCATTTTGCATTTTTTGCAAGTCCTGCACTTTTGAAATAACTTCATTTTAAAGTATGAAAATAGACATTCGTAAGACGTAACACTGTTAGAAAATATATTCAAAAATCTAACTCAAAACTCAAACTTTACCCATATAAGTAACCAAGTACACTTATGAACGTCAACAGAAAAGATGTTCACAAATCAGAAATTCACTCTAAATTTACATTTACTACTAGTTCGCACGTCAAGGGCGTAAAGCGGGCAAGAAGAACTGGCAAGAAACTCTGCGCCACTCATTTTAATCGCCAAGTTTTGAGTCATACAAATTGTTTGAACTGGAGCAAATCAATCACAAATATTAGTATCATTTAAATAATCGTCAAATTTATAAAAAGTTTTATGAATTAATTTATTATATTTAATTTCATAATTTGGAGTATGGAACTTTACTACAATATTGAGTTCTACTCTCATACTATTGAATTAGAAAAAACGCTTTCTAATATGCATTCGTTCTACCATATTCCATCATGCATTAGTAATCATATTTTTATACTAAAATCTTATGTTACTAAACCGTTTAAACGTACGTATATGGTCTGTAAGGGTATGTCAAAATGCATATGTAAAAGACGTATTTCATTTTGACATTCGTTTGAAGTGACAATAACACTCATAACGATTTATAAATAAAAATTGACCTTATGTTTTACGATTACAAAATATATATAAAGAGTTAAGAGGGCATCCAACAATAAGTCACAAAGCTCACGAACTACTTCCACATTATATAGGCGCACGCACACGTACGCACGGAACGAGCACGACCAGTTTTTGTGGTTGCGTACAAGTCGATAAAGTTTCCATAAAATTAAATTTGAAAAGTTAATATGTGACTGTATTCAATTTAAAATATTGTATGAAATTAATAAAACATATGTATATGTTACCATCCTAAGGATGTATGCACAATTGTTACTTAAATTAATCTATAAAAACCATTGTGAAATAACTTACTTGAGAAACAGCTGACTTTTGGCTTCCATGAGGTCACCTCTGTCGGACTCCTCGGGCTGCAGAGGCAGGCCTTTGAGCAAGGCAGCCACAGCCTCCATACAGGCCTGGTCCAGCTCTCTGGGACACATCACATGCCTGTTACACAACGTTACGTCTCACTTTACACTAACTAATGTATGAAAAGATGATCTATAGATTACCTTTTTTCAACTCCTTGTAATAGTTTTTATCATTTTTAATTTTTTAACTCTTTATATGTTCGTCGAGTGACATCACAGTAGCGATAATGTGTATATTATGTATTTAACATTATATATTCCGTATATCGACATTGTCGTATCGGCTTAGTACTGTTAGGATAGTGTTTTTTTATAGAACAGGGCAAACGGGCAGGAGGCGCATCTGATGTTTAGTGATACCAGCCATGGACACTCTCAATCCCAAAGAGCTTGGAAATATCGTGAAGGTTCAACATAGTGGTGGTGCGCGGCAAAAACTGCCTTAAGAAACGCTCAGTTGTGAAACGACTTACGTCGAGGTGATAGTGGAATTTCACATTCGTCAACGTCTGATGATGAAACTCGAATAATATTAATCGGAACAACTCTGAACACTCTCCGTAATAAATGCGGTAGAAAATATAAAGTGTATGTATTTTTATGAATAAACAAAATTCTAACCTCAAAACTACTTCATAAACAAAAACATTTGACAACAGGCAATATTTTTTAATTAACTCAGAAGTGTACCTTGTAATAGACGAAGCATCAGCCCTCAAAGGTGGTGCAATCTGATGGCTCGTTCCCAAAACCCAATCAGTCACGTACTCCACCATTTTGTTACGAAATTTCATTTCCTATAAAAAACGTTATTCTTTATATATTTACTAGCTGACCCGGCAAACATTGTTTTGCCATGTATATTATTTTCAGGAAACATTTTTTACTTCAATAAAAATTACTATTTACAATAATAAAAAAATAGGGGTTGATCATAGAGGGATGAAAATTAGGGGTTGTATGTATTTTAGTATGTTGTATCATAAAAAAATAAAAACAAAAAATTCTAAAAAAATAAAAATTGGGGTGGTATCACTTAGGGGTTTGAAAGATAGATAGTAGCCGATTCTCAGATTTACGGAATATGCATAAACAATTTCATAAGAATCGGTCGAGCCGTTTCGGAGGAGTATGGGAACGAACATTGTGACACGAGAATTTTATATATATAGAGATTAATTGATCTTTGTGACATTAGAATATACTACTAACCTGTCTGAATGATAAGTCATCTCGCCTCTTCATCATGGCTTCGACAACTTGGCACAGCTTCGTCTTTATATGCACCGAGAGGACTGTCATGTCCAAGTGACGGACGTACCTGCAGGATAATATTTATCAGTATTTTATAATACAACTAACAACTAAAGATAATGGTTACCATGGTAACGTTTCTTTCATGTCAAAATATTGTTATTATATTTAAGTGCTCCCCCCTATAGTGCTTACGTAATACTTAAGGCCCCATGGCGGTTTTAGTATGTTAATATGGGTTACCAAAAATGCTATAATATTTAAGTCTCGGTCTACAGTACTCTGGGACAAGTATGTCCAATTTGTTTGGACCACAACATTAGAACAAACACACGATACAAACAAACAAATTGACGTACATACAAAAATATGTAAAGCTGTCCCTACAACATGCGGACACGACCAGCGAAATCAAGTAGTTACAAAAAACGTGATATGTATTATCAATTACTATTACTATCAACAATGATCATCAACAATAAAATAAAAAAAAACATAAAAATAATTAAATTCGAAAACTGATTTTAAATATAGACAAATTTAAAGTGTATACACAAGCGTGTCGTATTGACATATTTGATACTTGCTTAATCCTGGACTTCTGTCAGAGTCCTCTAAGAGAAAAATGAACATTTTATTACCTGACAATGGCCAGCATTAATCCCTCAATAGACGTACTACTGAGATGCTCAGGCTGCCCCACCCCCTTGCTACCATTGTTATTATCGAGAATACTCTTCATTATAAATATCGTATGCTCCACGAATTGGGTGTTCATTTCTGTTAAAACCACCTAAAACCAAACAGTTCATGTATTTTTTAAATACAATAAGTCATTATTGACGTACAACAAATGTGTACGTCATGTGTTTTAAATTTATTTTATTATTATTTACTACTTAAGATGTCATTTGGAACATTGTGTAATGGTTGCAGCTCCTTACAAACGTTGTGTAAAATAAATTGTGCGTGTACTAGGTGTACACACGTAAGAAGTGAAACTTCTTTATGATCTTATTTTTCGAAAAATGATCTACTATAGGTATGCAACTTTACAGAAATTCGTTAAATTAGATAAAGTTTAACAAAAGGCTTTTATTATCATAGACATGAATACAAATATTTCATTTTACCTTATTACTACGAAGATTATTATAGAATTTCATCAATTGTAATAGAATTATTACGTATCGAAAAATTGAAAAACGTGACGATTTGCTACAAAATTTCTCCCATACGTCGATAAAGAAGTTTCATTCCAACGCCGATAAAGAAGTTTGACTTCAAAAAGCAACATGGCGCAACCGAAACATGTGATGCGTAACGAAAAAATGTTACACTAAATTTTTTTCCAACCTCGATAAAGAAGTTTCACTTCAAAAACTTAGCGATTAAAAAGAGTTGCGAAGAGTTTATTGCCAGTCTTATCTTCCGTTCTACGCCCTTGATTTGAGAAGACAGTAAATGTAAAATTAGAAGCATTTAATGTATATTTCTTGACGATCATAAGTGTACATTGTGTTACCTAAATGAATAAATGATTTTTGACTTTGACTTTCGTCCTTAAAGTCGTAGCGAACCTCATCTTTGCAATGAAGGATTTCCTATTTCTATATCTGAATGCAAGACCGAGGCTTGTTTTTTTTTAATTTTAGGGCCTGATAACGAGACCTTTAGCCAAGTCTTATTTTCGGGCACTATTTTTCTACATGTTATTCTAAAATCATTTTTTTTTAAATCTTCCCCACGGTATTTTTCACGTATTTATATAATGCACTATAATACTTTTTGTATTTGAGTAAATCACACAACTGGCGGCGGGAGGGATCACCAATTTACATTACTTCACTTGCCAATTGAAGTCTATTAAAAATGAAAATTTGGTTTTGGCATTACAAAAGATATTGTTCATATCTGCGATCTCGTTATTACAATAAGAGCAAACATTGTTATCTATAATATTTAGTTTAGGGAGGTTTGCGGGTGCAGTGTTGTATCCAAATCGCAATCTATTACCGAGGCTTGTAAGGGTTTTTGGGGGTTGTATTCAAATATCTAAGAAGCAAAGTTAAAACATATTTATTTATTATAATTATTCAACAGCTTCTCTAGACCAATGATATGCACTGATAAAATTTACTCACAAATTTGAATACCCAAAACTTAAATGCGGTATTAATTTGTTCTAATAATAATGAGTTATAAATTATTTATTTTCAAAGAAAGTGGACATTTTAATATATAAACTGTGTTCTTAAAGTTAGTTAGTTATCTTGTGATGAAGGGCCGACATAACAGTTAATTATAGTAAATATTAAATATATAGCTAAACGTTTCAAGTATCAAATAAATTTATATCGGTAACTATGTACACTTTTGAACGTCAATATTAAAAATTGGAAGGTCATAAATTTTCATTTACTACTCCCAAACAAGCTCCGAAATGATAGTTATTTCGACTATGTATTTGCGTTTCATATATGTATATAGATATTTTTGACGTTCATAAGTGTACATTGCGTTACCTATATAAATAAACGATTTTGACTTTTGTTCTCCGCTGTCGAATAAGAAACTAATATACGAATAATAATCTTAAAAATAGGTTCATTTATAAATACTTACGCGAAATATTTAAACGAACTAACCTGTTGTTGTTGATCGAAAAACTTATCAACAATTGCCTTAATTTGATCAAATAGTATGGGATACAGGGCTGGAGACATTTCTTTCCCAACCAGTTCTTTTACGTGGCATTGTATGTGAGCTGCGAAGCGTTCGTTATTGCACAGTAGGAGACGGAGAAGTTGGCCAATAAATCTGAAATGGTAAAACATCTATTACCAAGGTGTCATGAAGTTAATGGAAAATTATTTTAAAAAGATTTTTTACTCTGTTCTCAACTTAGTATTAAATTTGTTCGATTCCTGACCTTCGGAACAGCTATAAGGTTAAATATATTTGTTTCATGTAACATGAGGCAAACGGGCAGGAGGCTCATCTGATGTTAAGTGAAACCCTCCACTCACATCGCCAGAAGGCTCGCAAGTGCGTTGCCGTCCTTTTGAGAATTGGTTCGCTCTTTTCTTGCCTAAGTCGAATTGATTCGGAAATACTTCAGTGGGTAGGTTCAACATAGTGGTGGTGCCAACGGCGGATCCAGGGGGGGGGGTCATGACCCGGGCATGGTCTGAGCAGGACTTAGGTGGACCACTAATTGAACATAATGATTTTATATATAAATTTGTAACCATACAGATTATATGTAACTACATACCTTCAATATTTAATTAATTTAATATAATATAATAACTTTGTATGATGGCAAACGTTTGGGAATGAACGCATCGAAAATTTGAATTTTCCGCGCCACACTTGCGCGCGCTTGTCGCTATGAAACGTCTAGCTAGACCTTACCTCAATCGGAATCGGAACGACTAAACTTCAACATATCATAACATAGTCTTATTTTAAAGTGTGACATCAATATGTATCCTAATATAGGAAAATTGGATATACTACCCTGTCAGCGAAGCGACAGCAGAAAGGTCTTTCTCTACGTTGCGCAGAATTAAATCGTGGCTCAGATCTTCAATGGTTGAAGATCGCCTAACCGGACTGGCACTTCTCCACGTTCATAAAAACGTACCCGTTGACGTAAATGACGTAATAACGCGTTTCGGGAAAACACGTTAAAGAAAAATTTATTTAGTTATTAAAATATATGTATTTTGTCTGTTTCTATTTTGTTTGATGGAATCCCTTGTCGTACCATCTCTTCACTTTTGCGAAGTTTAGCGTAATACCCCTCGACATACCTCTAGCTGTTATGACAAATCATTCACCACGGTTATGTAATATAAATAGGCTGCCTCATTCCGTACGTGATAGTCAGGCCGAGCTAAGCTCGCCAAAACAGCCCGAGCTGAGCTGTAAAGGCCCTAAAGGCCAACAGCGAGATTCCACTTCAAAAAAAAAATACGTGATAATGTTTCTCTGGTTGTCTTCAAGAGAAGATGGTAATATGTACGTGTATACAGGTTGGTCCAACTAGTGACGTCAATAACTTTTTTTTAGATTCCTCACACCTGGGGGATACGAAAATGTTCCATGCATGTTCCGCGATTTTTTGTAGTTTCGAGTTAAACATTTTTTTGTGTTTTTTGAATGTTTTCTGCCAGCGAGGTTTCAAAAATTCATATCTTTTTTGTTGTAGGTATTTTGCAGTTTTTTTTTCTGTTAAATGATTGTCTTAAATGTTGTTCAAATAAAAAAAATCTCAGCTTCCTATAATTAGTTAAAGCTACTCAAAAAAGGTTTTAAAGTTAGAAGTTTAGTTTTTAGCTGGATTTGTCCAAACATTCGACTTCAATTTAAAAATACAAAAAGAAGTTTCCATAGGTTCTGGCTAAGTTTAAAAACTCCTCAGGGTTCTAAGCTACCAAAATCATAGAAAAAAATGGTATTTAATTGGTATTTTATTGTTGTAATCGGCCTTTAAGGTGGATAGGCTAAAAATCATTGAAGCATTAATAATGTTTTTTTTTTTCGACTTTTATTATTCTTATAGTAAATTAAACTTTATAATGTGATTTTAATACCCATTAAAAAAACCACCCAATTAAAAAAACTACCCAGGTGTGAGGAATCTAAAAAAAATTTATTGACGTCACTAGTTGGACCAACCTGTATGTACTAAGTTACACAATATTATGTGTTAAGTTTTTCAAGTGTACAATAAACAATAAATATTTTTAATTGCAATACTTACGTACATTAATAAAATACCTACTTTTTACTTGTATCTATTGTTATCAAAATTAAATTATAAGTTCTTGACTTGACCACGACTATGTGACCCCCTCCTGGCGCCAAAGCTGAATCCGCCCTTGGGTGGTGCACGGCAAAAACTGCCTTAAGAAACGCTCAGTTGTGGAACGACGGAAGTCGAGGTGATACCGATGGTATTTATGTAAATAAATACTAAATGAAAAGTACAAACAGTACGTTCTCGCCTTACGAATATATATTATTTATATGTCAAGTATCAAAAAGCATAGTACTTGATAAGTAGGCAATAATACATATACAACACAAGTATGAATCGATGTATTTTTTTTCTTTTCGTGTTTGTTGTTTTCCTATGAGTGATTGTCAAATTAAATCTATTTTATTTTTCTTAAGTACCAGTGTGTGCTGAGCGTTGGCTAGCGTTTGTAAATAAATAAATAAATATATAAAACTTACTGAGTGACAGGACAGTATTGTACTTCTTGTGTACTATTTGCTAATACATGATATTTTCTTGAATCTGAAAAAAATAATTAATGAATGTATATATATTATAAAAACGTGGACTATAAGTAGCTATTAAATAAGATTGGAGTATACTAAAGGTTCTATTATTCGGTTGAAAATAAAAGACCAAATATAAAACTGTGTAAAAATAAGACGTGGTAATACTCAAAAAAATTAAAGTGGAAATGGGCCGGTCACAATTCCCGTGTTTGTGGTGATGGATCAAAAAGATGACCTTGAATGGCCCAATGGGAATAAAAATCCAACCAGAAACCTGGGCAGATGAAATAAAAGAGATAGAAAGATTGGAAAATGGAGGAGGTCTACACTCCGTCGGAGGCCGTGTATTAAATACAATAATAACATAAACTTAATGTAATCGTCATAATATTCGAATATAGGGTATAGTTATGATACATAAATTCTCTCCATCATACCTATTACAATACTGCATAAGTTTAATTTTAGATCAAGGCAAATATGTATAGTAAAATTTACCTTGACCAAGTGCCCATACAGTAGTAGGTTTTCGTTGTAAGCACACGCCACCCAAGGCGCACAAAAATGACGTTATATTTGCCCACTCCTGTATTTGCATCTAAAAGTTAAATCGTAGTATGAAAGTTATAGAATCTAGAGTGCACTTGTAAACACCATAATATACACTCGGTATGTATTGTGGTGTATAATATCTACTTGGTATATATTATGGCGTATAATATCTACTTGGTGTATATTGTGGCGTATAGTATCTACTTGGTATATATTGTGGCCTATAATATCTACTTGGTATATATTGTGGCGTATAATATCCACTAAGTATATATTGTGGCGTATAATATCCACTCGGTATATATTGTGGCGTATTATATCTACTTGGTATATATTGTGGTCTATAATATCTACTTGGTATATATTGTGGCGTATAATATCTACTTGGTATATTACTTGGTAAAGCGCAATGGGCGAGTCCGAATGGGTATACTTTCCATCTTCACTGTGTATTACAATTCTAATACTGTTAGCCATGTCGCTTAATACAAATGAACAAAGCTGCTACTAGAAACTTGACATGTGAATTTAAAAGTTTATTTCTAGCGAAGATACTAGATTGATAAATAATTACCATAAAAATTCTAAGATTGCCAAATAAAGACTGATGCGACTTTAATTTTGTGTAAGTTTTAAAATACAGTTTAATGCAAGAGATTCGCCATTGATAAGAAATCAAAATTAAAAACGAATCAAACGCTATATTACCTCGAAGTCATGTTCCGCGCTCGTGTGATGTGAAACGCGCCTTTTGGCTCTATGGAGTGGTTCGGTTCCATCCTCCATCATCCCAAACCCTTTGGGATACTTCTGGAGTAACTTGCACAGGGAATCCCTGATGGATGTACAGTTATTTATACATCAATACTTATTATCTTTGTATAAACTTTTTCGAGTATATCACCAACTTACGAATTACGTAGAAAACAAACATCATAAAATTTCATCCTAGTAACAATTTTTTCTTTACAGGACAAACGGGCAGGTGTCTAACTTAATACCGCCGCTCATGGACACTTATACTGTCAGAAGGCTCGCAAGTGCGTTGCCGGTCTTAAAGGATATTAAAATCATGTACATATAACACTGAATCGTTTACAACTTGCACCACGAGAGTAATAAAAAAGTCTGTTGTGTTAATAAGTGCAAAGTAAAATTTAATCTTACCAACATCGAAACGTTTCCTCCCAAACAGGTTGTATACCGTTCACGCAGTGTTCAATTTTCCTTAGCAGCGCCATTATCCTTTTTTGAAGGGAGGCTGTACCTGAGCATTCGATAGAATTGTGAATTCTGAAGAAAATCTTTTATCAAAATAGATTTTTTTTAAAGTGAGTTGGACAAAATCATATATCATGAGTGGTGTCTTTGGAAAACGTTTTGAAATATTAAAATTCTGTGTTTATTAACTTACTATATATATTATTGGGATAACGAGTTCCGGTATCCTTAGACGCTGCTTGCACAAAATTATGAAATTAAAATATATACATATATATAGCAATAAATATATATATAGTGAAAGTACAAAACCGATTTTTCTTCAGAAAATATTTTTTAATGTCTTTTTAATCATTTTTTGTTAACACATGTAAAGATAAAAATAATAATTCTCTTTATAGAACAGTGGCCCAACTGAAATGAGGCTCACCTAATGTTAAGTGATACCGCCGCCCTTGGACACTCACTCTGCTAAAAGACTCGCAAGTGCGTTGCCGGCCTTTTAAATATTAGACCGCTTTTAATGAATATCAAAATCGTGTATATCAACACTGAATCGTTTACAATTTTCTACGTGTAAGTAATAAAAAAAAATCCGTTGTTTTAATTTTTAGTTTAAAATATTTTTAGTTTCTATTAAATCAAATTTAGCTCAACTCACATGTCGTCAAAACCGTAGAGGTCTGAGCTATCTCCTGGAAGACTGTGTAATTGGGCAGCAGGCAGTGCGTGGACAAGTCATCTGCGCCACACCTTATATCCGCTTCACGACAGAGCAAGGCGAAACAGGACATCGCTACTAGAACCGCTTCCGAGTCGATGGACCAGAGACACATGAGAAATACCACCTACAATGAAAAAAAACTTAAACGATATTTCGATATTCTATTTATTACTAGTCATCAATTGCTTGAAAACACATATGAATCAAAAAATGTCTTCCGTATCGAAGGACCAGAGTTTGTTTGTAATTTTTTGTGAAACAAAAATAAATTTTGGTAAGGTTTATTGTCTGTTTTCTATTCAATATTTTTTTTTCATTTAAAATATTTAACTGTTTTTTGTTCAATTACAAATGCAATTAAATCATATAACAATAACAATAATTTAATGTAATTTCAATTTACTCTTTGACCAAATTGTATTGCTATTATTATAAGAACTAGGAATACTATTGATTATATAAATAAAAAAAGGACATTTAGTAAGAAATCCTGTGTATTGACAGATACAATGTCCTGTAATAGGTAGAGTGCATGTGCCATGGTAAATCTCTAGAGGTGGTAATAAATACAAATTGATGAATGGATAAAATTCACCACTAAAATCGCTGGTTTGCAGTCTGTCATCAAATGTCGAAAAAACAGTTACTTCCGGCTCGAAGGACCAAAACTTGAATTCTCACCTCCAACTTAATATGCGCCTGTTTGCAAATTGGAATCTGAGATCCAACATTGGCGTACTCTTTGTGCTTAGATAAAAACTCGTTTCTGCAGATGAGTACGTCCCGAAGCCAACGCAACACTTCTCTGTAATTGCTTATTTGACGTTGTATGAGCTTTTGACTAATACTGTAGACTACTTGAGAGCTGAAAAATTATTTTTTCTTCTTACATTGTATAAATCCTCAAACATTCTAAGTCTATCCGGTTTTCTTTCATATTTTCTGATTTAAGGTTAAATAATTGTGTATAAAAAACGTTTATAGAACTTTATTTCTCATTACAAAAAAAATATGTTTTTTGAAGTGAAAACTTATTTAGCGGCGTTGTGTTTTGGAATAGGTAAAAATGTAATGTAAAGGATTATGAACCTTCGTTTTAATTCATTTCTCTTTCCTCAGATACATTGATGCATGTGGAAGTGGACCTTAATTCAATACATCAAGTTTTATTTTGCGAAACGTCTGAAGCGTCCTAATTGAATTATTTAATGTAATATAAATTGTCATGTTTGTGTACGATAGCGCAAGTAGTATTGTATTCTACCACATAAATAATAGTACTTTTATACTGATAATTAAAGCAATTTGTGCAAAATTAATCCTTAACCATTCCAAAATATCAAAAATGCACAACGATAACAATCAAGTTTTCACTTCTGCCGGCACTCCCGGAGTGCAACCCGTTGTTTTTTTTTTACATGAGAAACATAATAAGAACGAGCTACACTTCGCCATCACACAATCGTCCTAATTTTGGTATTTCTAGGCTTATTATGCCCTATGTTTTATGGCCCTTTTAAATTGGTTAAACACTTAGACGGTAATGTATTAACAGCACAGCCTCATAATCAATAGACTCTTACAACCTTTTTTATTAAGATACAGGTGCTATAAACAAAATTGTTTCATTGTCAAAATTTTTGTTTTTTTATAGATTTTATTAGTCTGTTAACTTTATTTATCTTAACAGTTTTATTCATTTAATAAATATAACTAAACTATACACAATTCATTTTAACAATATCACATACATTAATGGTTCACACATATATATTTTTAAAGCAGTCGCGAAATACTGTAGGCAAAGATATTGCATAGCCATTTAGGATTTTATGAAGGGTTATATTGCACAAGAGACAAAACTTACCTTATATCCCAAAAAGTATTGAGGGGTGCTTCAGGGTTCCACATCGTTACCATATCAGGTTTATGCAGTGACAGTAAAGCATCCATAGCTTCCTGCGATATTTCCCCCATGTCGGTGTGATGTACTAATGATACTAAACCGTTAATAAGCTCCGTGGTCGCTGACTGTATCTCTACACCTGAACGTCCCGGGTTCTACAAAACAGGTTGTAATGTAAAAATAAAACAACTAAGTTTGAAAATCTTTCGTTTCATGATACTTAATTAACGTCCTCATAATTATAAAAGCGAAAGAATACGTTACAATAACTCTTGTGTATGGGGAATAAAATAAAATATACTACATATTAATATTATTATTCTTTTTCAAATGAAGTACTAAAAGAAGTTATTATTTTATAGATCTTAAGTGATAACATAGACACTTAAATTGCCAGATGGTTCGCAAGTGCGTTGCCGGCCTTTTAAGAATTGGAAAGCTCTTTTCTTGAAAGACCTACTTGTCTTCACGTATATTTAGTTTTTGGCTATAAGCTTTAAAAAAATCAGTGGCGCTACAACCATTTTAGGTCTGCAATTATGTATCTGTTTCATGATCATTTGTGACTCCAACAGAAAAGTAGGTAATCAGCCTTTTGTGACTGACACACGCTGTTGACTTTTCGGGTCTAAGGCAAGCCGGTTTTCACGATGTTTTCTTACACCGTTCAAACGAATGATAAATGCACACATAGAAAGAAAGCCCATTGGTGCACAGCCGGGGATCGAACCTACGACCTCCGGGATAAGAGTCCCTGTCCCTCTGTTTAAAAACTAAGGTTATAATAAATCTATATGGGTGATGGATGATGTGATTAAGTTTAGTTTTCCACTCACACTCAGCATCAGCATCGGATCTGCGTGTATCAGCTTCACCAAATACAATAACAATGTCTTGTACATTGGTATTTCTTCTATTTTACTCTCTTTCGGCTTCAATGACAATGATATCATACGTAATGGCGTATGTGCAATATATCCCTAAAATATATTAAAATTAATGAAATAGCTAATTGCAACAAGCTATTTTTTATAGAACACCGCGCAAACGGGCAGGAGACTCATCTAAAGACTCACGAGTGCGTTGCCGGACTTTTAAGAATTGGTATCTTTTCTGGAAGGACCCAAAGTCGAATTGGTTCGGAAATATTTGGAACCCTAAATCAGGGTAAATAACATAGATTTTGGATGATGTCAAAGTGTCAGTCAAAGTGTTTGAACGCACGACGCGTTTTTGTGACATGACATAGATTGAGATTCAAGACTTGGCACTAAGCATAACGTATGTCAAAACAGATTGGACATACAGGGCTGATGACTTTATTTAACCAATTTCTGTAATGTTGCATATAGTAGATCATTTTTCGAAAAATAGGTCATAAAGAAGTTTCACTTCTTACGTGTGTACACCTAGTACACGCACACATTTTTTTTTTACGTATTTGCGTTCATACCCACTAGAGGCATGATTAACTCGAAAATAAACTAAATTCCATACGAAAGATTGATATGAGGCAAAAATGAAAAGATATAGTTAATAAAAATGTACCTGTGTTGCCTTATTCAAGGTATCCGTGAACATTGTACGCAACTCCGCAGCGCGAGGATATAGCAACTCTATTTGGGGCCACCATGGTAGGCGTGGCTGGTTTATTATCCTATAAAAGTATGCGTAATAACTAAGGTTAATCATAAAGTATTTAATAAACAACGCTGAAAAATAATTAAAACTTGAAGAAAAAAACAACTTTTGCAAATGTATCTATGTAAAAACTTGGCGATTAAAAAGATTGGCGGAGAGTTTATTGCCAGATCTTCTCTTCCGTTCTACGCCCTTGATTTGAGAACTGGCAGTAAATGTAAAATATTAGAAGCATTTAATGTATATTTCATTTTTGACGTAGATAAGTGTACATTGTGTTATCTATATGAATAAATGATTTTGACTTATTTTTAAAGTCGTAATTAACTGAACGACGACAAGAAAAAATATGTGCAGATGGGCTAAAGTAGGGAAGGCCTACGTCAGAGGACAATCTGACCATTAAACTGGTTACTAAAAAGTTATCAATTGTTTCTTCTTACCAATTATTTGTTTGTAACCAACGGTCAGAGAATAAAGCCTTTTTATTTATTATAGCAAAATTACCACTGCCCTTGTTGTAAAAAAAATATAAATCAGTTGTCACTACAACCTTTTTAGGTCTGGGCCTCAGATTTCTGTATCTGTTTCATGATCTTTGTCAATCAAATAGTCAAATATCAGCCTCCTGTGCCTGACGCCGTCGACTTTTTAGGTATAAGGCAAGCCGGTTTCCTCACGATGTTGTCCTTCATCCTTCGAGCGAATTTTGGATGCGCACATAACAGCCGGGGATCGAACCTACGACCTCAGATATGAAGCCTACGAGGCCCACTTGATGTGAAGTGACAGTGAAGATAAGTCCTCATACAGACATAATGTGAACTAATAATTTTTTTTAATTATATTTGTGAATAAATAAAATGAAGTGACCAAATAATTAACATAAAACTGATAAACAATAAACTATAAGCTACCTCCTTATCAGAATGCCAAATCATAAAATAACTGCTTCACAACTGATTTGAGAGCGACCGCCGATGCGAAAACCGCTGTGTGAGTTCGAAAAGTGAGTTACAGAATCGCAAGGCTGTTCACATAACTTCCACGCCGCTCAAAAATATGGATATATAATGGAAAATGGAAAAACGAAAATAACCATACAGAACCTACCTCAACAGCGAGTTGACGATAACCGAATGGTAGAAACTATTGCTGTTCAAATTTAGGCAGACTTTCATTGCGTCATTTGTATGCGGCATAATTCGGAACAGCGAGACAAAGCAATCCGTCATTAGGTCTAAATCCGAATAACTCGTGTTGTAATTGCTTCGGAAGAAGGCTTTCGAGGGGTTGAACAGTAGCGTCTGGAATTAATTTGACAATTAGTATGCAATGTTTTTTTTAAATATTCAATAATAAATCGTTTATTTGCAAAGATACATTCAGATTGACTCATTATAAAAAACGCGCAATCAACTATATAAAAATAAAAAACTTAATCAGTGGTGCTACCAACTTTTTAGGTCTGGGCCTCAGATTTCTGAATCTGTTTCATGATAATCTTTCAATCTAATAAGCAAGTAGGTGATCAGCCTCCTGTGCCTGACACACACCGTCGACTTTTTGGGTCTAAGACATGTCGGTTTCGTTACGATGTTTTCCTTCACCGTTCGATCGAATGTTAAATGCGCACATAGAAAGATAATCCATTGGTGCACAGCCGGGGATCAAATCGGGGATCGAGTAAACGGACAAAAATATACCTTCAGGTCATTGATGACAGATTTCACAAGTACAAAAGTGACATTCCCAGAGTCCGATATATTAATGTAAGTGGAAGCTTTGCAAAGTTTGACACAAGTAAGAACGGCTGCTTCCGTCATCTGTTTTGAGTTGTTCTGTGGACCTAGAAATTACGTAATAAATAAATGATAAAGTAACAACGCCAGAAAAATATGAAACTTCTATGAAAAAACTCATAATACATGATAATTCAGTAGAATAAACGTAGAGAATTTTAAGTTCAATGATCAGCCATTTTCTATTACCCACTCCTGTCTATCTTGTGTGTCTTGATAATCCCTCTGACAGGTCAGGTGATGGATGATCCACTACACTCCACTTTTTATTTTCCACTATTAATTATTATGAGAAACGTACCTTCGCTATAGTAAGTGATAATTCTCATAGAAATATCAAAAATACATGTTCTTTTTTATACAGTCGTGTTTAAAATTATTAATGTAATTTATGCTAATATTTATACAAAAAACGATTCTTCGTAGCAACAACATGATTTACTCTTTTTCTTCATAAAATATCGTGTAGTATTGAATTATTGATATAAAAACTTACTCAATCCCCGTTTGACAGCATCAATAAAGTGTTTCTTCTTAGAGTGCCGTGGACTGCAGGGGGCGCCACTATCCGCATTCACGATTTCCTCTAAAACTTTCTGTAAAAAAACTTATGTTTAAAATACTATATACCCTTTCTCTTTATGACATATCTATGATATCCAGCGATAATTACTGTTTCGAGTAGTCACAATAGGTTGGAAAAACTCATCGAAACCTATAGAAATGTGTCCAGCCAATACCAACCTGTCTTTCATACGAAATATACTCTTATTTGAAACAAGTATTTATAAATTCATTTGCATTCAATAAAACAATTTAAAAAAATACCGTAATTAATGAAATATTATACATTAACTAGATGACCCGGCAAACGTTGTTTTGCCATGTTTATTATTTCTAGTAAACATTATTTAGTTCAATAAAATTATCTATCTACTATAATAAAAAATAGGGGTTGACGTAGAGGGGTGAAAACTTGGGGTTGTATGTATTTTTGTATGCTGTATCTTAAAAATTGCCTAAAAAATAAAAATAAATTGGGGTGTCCCCTAATCACTTAGTGGTTTGAAAGATAGATAGTAGCCGATTCTCATAATTTAAAAATTTCATAAGAATAGGTCGAGCCGTTTCGGAGGAGTAAGGGAGTATTGTGACACGAGAATTTTATATATTAGATTGTGTACGATTTCGCAATTATATAGACATTTAAATAACTGCAAGATCGGGATTATACAAAAATTAACCTTAACTCATAACTTACAGGGTTCAAAATCAGCAACATAATCTGAAGAGGCCACATCGCAGCCCGGGTCTTCTTATTCTCCGAATAACTATCTTGTAATATATCGAATAGTGTATCACAACATCTACTTAATTCTTCGTTAGGCCGTGATTGTATGCGAAGAAATTCCTGAAATTTTAAAAAAAAATTCCTAATTCCTCTCAATACTATTACACTCTTTATAACATGTAATCTGTTTATAACGTCATTCGTATATCGAAAAACTTGAATAACGTTTACATGAATTAAATTTGTTTAGTTTAACACAAAGCCCATACATTACTACACTCTTTATAACGCAACAGCCATTCTCTATTTGAGGTGCCGAAAATTCTAAAAAAAACCCCCGGGCCCAAAAAACCCCCCCCCCCCTTTTTTTTTTTTTTTTTTTTACCCGTGCCATTCTCTATTACATGGCCTGGTTATTTTGGTCTTAGATACTAAACGCACCATCGTCACCTATCTTTTAAAATATATATTTATATACTTGGTTAAATTTGTTTCTTTTTTGTTCTCTCCATATAACGAAACTTTCTATAACGAAAAAAATATTAGGAAAATCACGAAGTAGATACCGAAATCTGCGGCCAAGGCCTAAAGGGTTGTAGCGCCATTGGATTTATTTTTCAGCAGCACGAACGTCCAAGCCTCATTTTTAAGCTCGTAGGTTCGAATCTAGGCTGTGTCAACTGACTTCTGAATTTTCTGCACATTTAACATCGTCCAAAAAGTCTTCCGCGTGTGACAGACACAGAAGTTAAAAATTACTACACCACAAATATACGAAGCCAAGACCAAGTGTAGCAGTGCGGAGTGCCACTGGTTTATCGTTACAGGAATATTTCGACAAGAGACAAGAACAGCTAGATATTTAACATCTTTGTTTTCTTTTTCTAAGATATATTTCATTATTAATTAAAGGTCTAACCTAAATTTTACTCAGGCTACAAAGTGAACAGCTTCACAATCAACTACAATTTAAATTTTTCCTATCCACACAAAAATAAAGAAGTATCGTTTGTGATGTTGTAGGGGGTAATGTCTGGATATACTAAACCGATTTTAAAAATTATTTTACTAATAGAAAGTCTATATATTAACCCGCAGTTTATGTGTCGCGGTTGCCTGTGCGAAGCCAGAACGGGTCGCTAGTAACATGTACACATATATTTAGTTAAAATTTTACTACAATGAATTTCTTGGAGTCATTATTGACACTCGCGCAATTGTAAAATTTTACCACCTAGTAACTTTTAGTACCTAAAAGTTACCATTACTGTACAAAGTAAAGTAAAACGTTTCGTGGCCACCTAGTGACTCTTTATACCTAAAAGTTACTGGAAAGTCGAAAATAATATTGTTATGTAATACTTGAATGATCTCTTACACAATAACTTACCTGAGGATATGTATCCATCCAATTCCATACTGCTTTCTCGAGCGACATAACCAACACTGTCGGCGTGTATTTTCTTAATAATTTGAACTTTTGAATACATTCTAAAACAATATTATATATTCTATAGCTCTCAGGTAACAATTAACAAGACACATTACAAACAGAAAAATATATTTAACTAACGATCATAAATATAATGTATATAGACCAGTGTTGGTAAATTGGCTTCAGCGTGCGACGCTCATCCCTGAGGTCATGGTTTCGATCCCCAGCTGTGCAGACTTTCTTTCTATGTGCGCATTTAATATTCGCTCAAAAGGTGAAGGAAAGCATCATGAGGAAACAGGCTAGCCTAAGACCCGAAAAGTCGACGGGTTGCACAGGAGGCCGATCACCTATTAGATTGACAAAAGATCATGAAACAGATACAGAAATCTGAGGCCTAGACCTAAAAAGGAACAAATAAAAAACATTCGTGACACACAGATTTTCATAACACTATAATAATATATTTTTTTAATTATTACCTGTAAAAAGCCGTATAAGCCTCAATATATCAATATTAATGTGTTGTATCAGTTCTATATCAATATAGTCGGGGTTTTCATCTGAGCTAGTTGCAAGTTCCTAAAACATTTTTAAAAGAAATTAGAATCGCTATGCGTATATGACATAAATTTATTTTGAGTCTGAAGGGATTTTTTTATTACTAGGAAAACATGAGCACACATATTTAACTAAATCAAATACTACTGAAAATAATTTTAATAATATACAGCAAGTACATATGTAACACAGTTAGTTACTTCATAAATAACACTTACCTGTAATCTAGCGCTGATTCTATTAAAGACAGCGTTAAAGAAATTCAAGCTTAATGCAAATAATACTTTGCTGCCCAGTTGACGTAATAGCGTATTGTGGATGTTTGCTTCATTTTTTATATCTAGAAAATAATAATAAATAAAGTTAATGTTATTACATAGCCTTGCCATGGATTACCATGGGTAACATCAATGGAACATGGAGATTCGATATGAGACAATAGTCATTATTAAGTTTTGCTTTTTAAAGATAATAAATTAAACAGTAAAAGACATGTTTGTTTTGCATGCTTGAATGTAAATTATCAAATCGTAGTATACATACATATATAATTGAACAATTCAGCTGTTATGAAGTATTAGGAATTTTTTGAGAAAATATCAAAAACAAACAACTACTTAAAAGTAGTGAGTTACTTAATAGTAGTAACTATTCCAATTGATAGCTGAAGTTGCTATTAGATTTTTCAAAAATATCACAATAAAAAAATTACACTTATCTATTATTATATTTGATTAAATATATAAGACTATATATCAGCCTATTATATTTTTAACCAAATAAAAATTTCCAAATATTGCAATAAAACCTGAATCTAGCTTACCTATAAACTGACAGACTTCCCGCAACAATATCTTAACATTCATTGCCTCTTCATACTTGGCTGTATCTTTGGGCTGTGAACTGAGGCATATCTCTAATGTATCTAGAACTATTACCAAGCTATCATGATAACCCTTTTCTATTTCTGTTAGAGGCCGAGTTACACATGTTGCTAGGGTGGGCTGGTACTGAAAATTATTATTGTAAAATAATGAGGTAGTCATTATACTTCCCGGAGATAAATGTACTGATATTATAATAGTGTTAGCGGACTGACGTCATCTTGGAGCAGAAACTTATATAAGGCGAAGCAAAACCGGCGTAGACTCACTTTTATTTGAGACTTCGTGCGGAACGGACGTGTTACTACCCTACCCTCACTAAATTTTAAAAGTGTAAAAGTACCTACACGTTCTAATCTTTTGATTGTTGTTTTTTGTAAATTCAATTTCGTGTGTATTCTTTTTGTTATTAAATTAAATCGGCTTCTGTTAACTATTAATAGTAACTATATATAAGTTGTACTAAGTGTTTTTTAGCCAACATGATCAGTGAGACTCATGATCTCACTGATCATGTCGGCTCATGAGTTGGTACAAAGTAGAGTAGTTTTTAAAGTTTTTATAACGATGTTTTAAATAGTCATTTAAGTTGGAATGCATATTTTACAGAAATCATAATACAGTTTTATTATACTATAATAGAATAACTGATCAGCAGAGAGGTAGTCATGAAAATCTAATTAACACCGCTCACATGTTAAAAAATACTTACCAATTCATTAACTCTCTGAAGTATTTTTGTGAGGCCAGATATAACAAGGGAAAACCTGTGTCGGCTGATCTGCACCAAACAAGCCTTGCATTGCTCCTCATTTATGCGAGAGTGGAGATTCTGAGCACCAGTTTTATATGGCAACTGTAATAAATAATAGATAAAGTGCTACAGTAACGGAAAAATACAAAACGTAATTATTAAGTATTATTTATTTGAATATAGAAATAAAATTCAAAAAAAGGTTTGATTTTTTTGGACCACACTATGTTCATTTTTTGAGGCAAAACGCTCCTATTTATACCAAAACAATGCGTCATATATTTGTAGATTAAACTCCGTTTTATACAGTAATTTTTATTGACAAATCCAATAGTAATTCACAGCTCTAGTGCGATTTTATAAATGATTAATTGTGTGGGTGGTGTGACTAAACTTGAAATGTATCACAAACTAAGATTACATTTGTTAGAAGCGAACTTGCGTATTATTTACATTGTGTTCTTTACAAATGAATAGTCCGGTGTATACATTAAAATATTATTAACGTACTAGTAACGTAATTTAACTTACTTGTTCTTCGAACCTTACAATGAGGGTGTTCGCCCATTCTCCTGGTTTTTGAGTCCCCATTTTCACATATATTAATTAAGTAATTCATTTAATTTCTTTCTAAATAAAAACATAATAAATGATCCACCCTAAAATCGATTGAGATTTGAGACTTTTATTTATTAGAAAAGCACAGACAATGTCGTCTAAAGGCTAAATGACGGTCTGTCATTTACTGGAAAGTCTGCGTCAATAACGATACTATAATGTATTTTATTAATTTACTTTATTATAGTTACATTTTTACTAAAATTAAATATTGTTTAATTTTAACAGTGTTGTGTAAATAATCAAAACAGATCTCATTGATATAATTGAATTAAGTTAAGCAATTATAATAATTTCTACAGTTTCCTTATTTTATTTGACAGATACTAAAATAGTATATAAAATCTGACGTTGACATTCTTAATTCCAATAGAAATTCTCAAACTTCAAAATAAGAATTTAGAAAAGTCATTTATAAAGTTATTCTCGTTACAAATAACAATATTGCAAACCTTATAGTTATTTTAATAAAGTGTTTTAATTACCAATAATTACTCTTAAGTTTAGTTATCATTTCAGAGCGGTTACAGTTTTACATCCAAAATCTAATAGAATTTATCGCTAAATATGATGGTAAGTTTTAAAATTGGGGGGCGTTTCAGTCCAATAGGAAATATTAAAAATTATTGTTATCAATTCCTGATTGTTTAATGTCGTTATTAACTTAACATTAAATACTGTTCGATTGGGCATTTACTCATTGATTTAATGTTGAGTTCAAATTTAAATAATGTGACGTGGATGAAAGCCAATTATTGCTGTTCTAGAACACAATATTTTACCGCTACTTGTTGTTTTATAGTAATAATTATCAAGTTCGCCTTGTGTTTGGTTATCACTGCCATAATTTAAAATTCCAGTGGTAAACATTATATTATATACTTCATTATTTATATATTTTTTTGGCTCTAGGAAGAAAAAGATAAGTTAGTACCTTATTTTTTTTCAGGACTGTGTAGAAGAAACTAACAATGATCCCCTCACAGCACCAATATCTTCTCCATCATCAGGAGATTCTACTATGGATAAAAAGAAACCCAGTGAAAATGTGTCCTTAGCTGATAACAGTTTGCTGGTTAGTCATACATATATTTTTGATTGTGTGTCACCTTCAGTATATATCTGTTATCTTTTCAAATTTGTTTGTATCATAATATATTTAACTAAAGTAAACAAGAAAGAGAAACAGTTGTCTTTAATCAAGTTAGCCCAAAGAAAATAGTCTGTATTGATTTTCTATAAAATAATGAATAAATAAAATTGTAGGTGGATATATCAGATGCACTCAGTGAAAAGGAGAAAGTAAAATTTACTGTACATACCAAAACAACCCTGCCTGAGTTTCAAAAGTCAGAATTCTTAGTTGTCCGCCAGCATGAGGAATTTGTATGGCTCCACGACAGATACGAGGAGAATGAAGAATATGCTGGGTATATTGTAAGTATAATTGTAATGTACCAACCTCTTGTTGTACTCCATAATAACTAGAATAATCTCTATGCCAAAGAAATTTTATTAGCATGTGTGTGCTGTGAGTCTGTTATGGTGTAAGTTTAAGTATTATTTTATAGTATATTGATTAATTACTTTACTATCACTACTGGGGTAAATGAATAGCTTTAGCTAGATATTCATGATCTGGCTAAAATTCCTATAAAACCAATAATAGATTGGTTATCATCTAAATATAGCCATTTTTAAAGGTTTTAAAGGCAATAATTTTTTAATTCTCAAGAATTATGATTTTTAGATCCCACCAGCACCACCAAGGCCTGATTTTGATGCTTCTCGTGAAAAACTGCAGCGTCTCGGAGAAGGGGAAGGTGCTTTAACAAGAGAAGAATTCCTGAAGATGAAAGAAGAGTTGGAGGAGTGAGTATTATTTGTTTTAACGGCCTTCTTTCTTTACTAGAGGACGTTATTTTGGTGAAAAAAAACAACTTTTTGAATTTGCCACACTGTTGCTTGCGTATTTCCTCACGCAACTTTGTTATTTGTCCTGCGTACAAGTCCCCGTAATGGCGGCTTAAGGAATTCGATCATAACCACTCCTTGGCTGTCCCAGAAAAAACAACCCATGCTCTTACCGGCGTATGGAATCGCCTTAAGTTTCTTCGGAGTTCGAGATGCCGGTCTTTTCCGAATCTTGGAACTGTTTTTTCGTTTCCGGGTCATAAAGGTGAAACCATGTTTCGTTCATAGTCCAAATTCGAGCCAAAATTTATCAAGATTGTCTTCTAACACACCCAAACAGCTTTATGAAATTGTCAGAGTTGTTTGTCACTGCGCATCAGGAGGCATTGGCACCCTATGGCGGTGGGAAGGTGATTAAATTTTTAGAGGCAAAGTTTTTATAGCGAGTATTTAGGCTATAAGTTTGAAACCAATTATAAATAGCTTAACTTAGTATTATGACATTATAAAGAATAATATGACATTTGCATGCTTATTTATAAATGGCTGATTGTGCGGATTTTTATAATTAATCGATCTAATTGTACCACTATCTTAGCAAATAAACGATTTTATTATTATTATGTGTATGGTATTATGGACACTTCCTATAGAAATCTTCATCTCTTCTACTATACTCGTAAAACAAACGACGATCCGCCAAGACAATGTATTCAACTTTTTTAATAATTCGTTCAGTCAACTACTGAAGGGCGTCCCGTGGGGGATAGTCATTAATTGAATTTCTTCCCCGCTTGAACTCAGCACACCAACGGGCAACCGTAGAATATGTAGGAGCACGAACCCCTAAAGTTCCTCTCAAGTCTTGATTTACCAGCTCCATAGTTTTCAAGCAGTTATATTTTCTTACCTTCAATTTTACCCATATTAGAACACCGACACGACGAAAATAACTTCTATTTTTAAAAAACAAAAGAGAATTGATTGTTTTTTTTAATTATAATAATTATATCTAATGTTTGGGCTATCCCTGGCTGTTTTTATTTCTTTCCAAGGAGAATGTATCCCATTAGCACTATTTATTACACCTCTCGTAAATCTAAGGAATTTTGGTTAATTAATTTCATGATTTTATGTCTATTTTAGATTGTATTGTGTACTCTTGTTATATATTTAATAAAAAATAAAGTCAAAATCAAAATAACTTTATTCATATAGGTAAACAAGTACACTTATGAACGTCGGAAAAGAAGTTAAATTAATTCTAAATTTAGATTTACTACCAGTTCGCAAGTCAAGGGCGTAAGAGCGGGCATGAAACTTTCCGCCACTCTTTTTAATCGCTAAGTTTTGCGTCATACATACTGTTTGAACTGGAGCAAATCAATCCCAAGGATTATTTAAATATTCGTCAAATTTATAAAAAGCTTTATTGATTAATTAACGTTTAACGAGAGCTTTGAATTTATTTAGTGATAATTCTTTAATTTCGCTTGGAAGTTTGTTGAACGAATACAATTTCCATATAAGGAGTGGTTTATCTTCTGGAGCCTGGTTGGTCGTACGCTTAAATTAGTTCTGTTTCGAGTATTATACTGGTGAAAGTCACCATTTGTTTTAAAATCGTTTGTGTAAATTTAAACTATCATTTTATTCAGTGAATACTTGGCAACATTCAAGAAAACAGTGGCAATGCACGAGGTGTTTCTACAGCGTCTGGCGGCGCACCCAGTGTTTCGTAAGGATGCCCATCTTCGCGTATTTCTAGAATATGAGCAAGATTTGTGCGCAAAACCGCGGGGCAAGATGGATCTTATCGGTGGCCTTGTAAGTAATTTTATTAAGTGCATGTCTTGGCAAATTTCCAGGTCATGCAAAATGAAAATAAATTTTTATGTCACCACTCTGAAAACAATCTCTAGATAATTATTTATACCAGTAATAGCATGTGACAGTCCTCCCTCCGTACCGGTTTAAAGTGTTACGGAACCTCTGAAAGTAGTACACGTCCCGTTGAACGGGACTGTCCCTTTTTCCATTTACGAGTCCCGGTGTCCTCGAAATGAACTGTGGGACGCATAATTGTCCCGTTTTCAGAGAGCGCGCGAAAATTTAAGCAGCTGATTATAAAAAAATCGTGCCAAGAGTTTCATTCTTATTTGAAATCGCCACCAGCTATATCAAAACAAATTTGTTCTTCTAATAAATATAACTAAATATTTTGTAATTCGTAACTAAATCAAGAAAAGCGTACGACAAATGTTACCAAGACTTTATGACTTGGAAACCTATAGCCATGAGATTAAATAAAGTACTGTATGCAAGTGCATATAATTAGGTATTAAAACACTCGTGTAGTCTTATTTTGAAACTAAACTCATGTTTTAATACCCTCTATTATATGACAGTTGCATAAACTACTATTTTTTAATGTTTTGTATTTGGGTTAATCGGTGTGGTTATTAATGTGTCGTTCTATCGAATTAGTAATAACTGTGAAGATAGAATAATGATGTGAATAAATAAATAAATAAACTCTGTCCTGTATGAGTTCCGAGGAAATTCTAATTATTTTTATTCTAAAAAATTTAAGGTCCGTTCAATGACGTCAACGACGGATGAAATATACCTTGGAGCGACTGTTCGTGATGTCAACGATTTCTTTGAACAAGAGACTGCTTTTCTACAAGAGTACTATTCGCATCTCAAAGAGGCTGTGGCCAGGGTGGACCGGATGACAGCAAAACACAAGGGTGAGTTTATACCTGTTAACACCAGTGAAATATGGTTGATTTTGTGCGAAGTAAATGTAAATTATTGATTTTACCAAAAAGTTTCTTTATATACATACATATCTCTTCTGTGATCTAATCAATCTATTTAATAAAAAAACCAGTGGCGCTACAACCTTTTTATTTCCAGATTTCTGTATTTGTTTCATGATCATTTGTCAATAAAACACTATTTTGACCGGATTGAAGTTATGTATTATTATAAATTTACAACTATTTAAAGACAATACTATCATTTGTCAATCTAAGTAGATCAGCCTTCTGTGCCTGTGCCTTCACACGCCATCGACTTTTTGGGTCTAAAGCAGTTGGGTTTCCTCAAAATGTATTCCTTCACCGTTCGAGCGAATGTGAAAAGATAACACTGCTCTCTCTCTCTTTAATAGGCGACATATTTCTACCTTCTTGTATCTCTTTTTGTAATATCAGCAAACTAATTCTTTAACTTAACAAATAGAAGTATCGTGTTAACGTTTATTTCCATTAAGGAAGTGTTCAAAAATTATATTTGTTATAATAAAATATTTTTTTCTTGTCAAGGACAAACCGAGTTTTTTTTTTCAAATTAAAATTTAGGAACACAAAAAGATCAATCCCCACGAAAATGTCCCCAAGTCCGCTATAAGTATTTACAAGCAACACTGAGTAGGCCCATACAATCTAAGAGAGACAGCCAGATATATTTTTACAGAAGTAGCAGATGCTCATATAAAGCTGTCATCTTGTATCACACAATTGGCGACTCGAGAGCAGCCTCCCACCGAGAGATTCCTTACACGCGCCGCTGACACGTTTGACAAGTGCCGGGTACGTACAATATATTTGCAAATAATTATTTTTAAAAATACCCTTAAAATGCAGGTACAACAAAAATTTAAACTAAAAAAATCCTATACTAATTTATAAAAAAAGGGTGCGTGTACTTATGTACGCGCGTAAGAAGTTATACTTCTTTGGTATTATTAAAAATAGTTTTTGATTGCATGCAAACAATTAATTACAATTAAATAATCAAAGACTGGAATTATAGTCAATAAAGTTCAGTTTACATTTGAAAAATTAAATAAATAAATATTTATTATTATTCTCTTACATTAAGTGTAACATAAATTCAATTATTATTCGAATGTTGTTTTTAAATTATGTCCAATGCCGTAGCATCTTCCGTGGGCAACTTCATTCTGTTAATTTTGTGTCACGGTGCGCGCGCATCGTAAAATTTCACTCTCATCAATTTTTCATAACGCGCCTAAAGAAGTATAACTTCAATTAGTGGGCAACTTCATTCTGTTAATTTTATGTCACGGTGCGCGCGCATCGTAAAATTTCACTCTCATCAATTTTTCATAACGTGCCTAAAGAAGTATAACTTCAAAAAAAAATCAGTACACATTTGATAACTAAATTATATAAAAAAAATATCATAACCTTATTAATATGAAAGATATAATACGATATGTTTGAAATTTATGTTCTATCGTGAAAAATTATTTGCAGAAAATCGAAGGTCGTATGGCATCAGACCAGGATCTCAAGTTGGCTGATACACTCCGATACTATATGAGGGACACCCATGCCGCTAAAGCAGTGCTCGTTAGACGTCTTAGGTAAATATATTTTATCATTGCTATGTCGCATATTCATATTATTTACTGAAATAAAATTCGTATACAAAGCTTGCAACACTTGTAAAGCTAATCTTAGTTCCCAATTTAGAATGTGGGTAAGTGCCCAAACAATGGACGTCGTCGCTCTATTGTTGTAATTATGGTACGTTAAAATATTTAATCAATTAATTAATTACAAAATGGTGATAATCTTATCTACTATCTATTTACTATTGCCATCCTAAATTAGAATGAAAGAGGGGGAATTAAATATTGAGTTATCTCACCACGAAATTTTGAATTTGTGATATGTATATTGATCACACAACATTTTACAACGATTACAAATTATATTTCGGTAAAATCTACATCTTATTATGAGTACAACTTAAAGTGTTTAGAGCTGGGAACTCTGACACAGGTATCTTCCTTAAAAGGGTCCCCAAATCTGACAATTTTATTTCATGTTTATAAGTACAAATTTTTATGAATATTTTTTTTTACATCGAAAGGTTTTTCGTGATCAAGTAATACAAATTCAAAATCATTTTTTCATTTAGGTAACACAATGTACACTTATGAACGTCAATAAAAAAGACATATTAAATGCTTCTAATTTTAAATTTATTTACTGCCAGTCCTCAAATCAAGAGCGTAGATCTGACGAGAAGAACTGGCAATAAACTCTCGGCCTATTATAAAAATCTCTATAATATAATTATTTTTTTAGATGTCTTGCAGCCTACGAAGCTGCTAATAGGAATCTCGAACGCGCCAGAGCTAAGAATAAAGATGTTCACGCCGTAAGTAGAAATATGAAACATCACAGAACAATGCAAATGAACACTAATTGACACCAAAACACAATTTGACAGCTGACATTGACAATGACATCTACTATCGCTATGTTGCATGATTTCCACAATATTTACAATCAGCTGTTAACACTGGTTCTTTAACCAAAACTTTTAGTAGAATCTCACCCGAAAATCGCTCCTCTATTTAACTGCTTTTTTGGTATTGCTTACCTGTAAACTTTACCACTCTGACATTCATCTTTTTAGAACAGTTTTCTTTGGGAGCCTTAAAGTATTACGTAACGTATTTTGGGAGGGGGGGAGGGGGCTTTGTAAAACGTTACGATGCGGGGCGGGGATAGAATTATGCATTATAGTTAATATTATTTTCGACTTTCCGGTACTTTACAGCACATAATGGTAACTTTTAGGTATATAAAGATCACTGAGAGGTCACGAAACGTTTTACTATTGAATACAGAAAAACGTTACGGGCGCGTAAAGGGTGTCAATAATATCCAAAAATTGCGTGACGTAATACTTGAACGCTCCCTTTCTCACTTTAACACAATTCTTTATTATCTTACACATACATTGATTTTCCAAGAAACAGAGAAGATTTCATACACACACACATCCTTATATAGACAATTATGCCAAAATTTTGTCACTTCTGAATATCACTCACGAAAATATTTTATTCTTGCAAGCCGATGGAAGTACAAGAGGTATGCACGCTTATTTAAGAATATTATTATGTCAAACAATGTTGCCCTAGTGGTTTCAACGTGCGACTGCGCCTTGGTGTCCTAGGTTCATTCCCCGGCTGTGCACCAATGGACTTTCTATGTGCGCGTTTAACATTCGCTCGAACGGTGTAGGAAAACATCGTTAGGAAACCGGCCTTAGATTCAAGAAGTCGATGGTGTGTGTCAAGCACAGAAGGTTGATTCAATGCGCAAGTGGCCATTAGAAATGATACAGAAATCTGAGGCCCAGACCTAAAAGGTCGTAGCGCCATTGGTATATATTTTGTCTAAGAGTTACTCTCACTAAATTAATATAAATAGCTTAAGCTTTTTCAAATATCATATTACCTATATCAAAACAAATTGCTAACTATGTACAATTATGAACGTCAATATTATATATATTATTCTATATACAATATATTTATAAAAATATTCACTTAAGCTTAATTGCCAAGTTTTTTGTTTATGTTTTTGACGTCTGACATTTTGAAAATATTGTTTTTTTTTTAATTTTCTGAACAGTTGATTAATTACAAGAATTTATGTATTAATTAGGCGGAACAAGCTCAATCCGAAGCCTGCGCCAAGTTTGAGCAGCTCTCAGCGCGCGCTAGGGAAGAACTCATCGACTTTAGGACCAGACGTGTTGGGGCTTTTAAAAAGAGGTGACTTATATAGACTTTAACTGAAGAATTACCCCCTTATGATTTAGATATTAAATGTTTTCTGTGTCTTCATCAATGCTATCTCAAAGAAAGTGAACGGGTTCCTTCACCTTTTTAGTTGAGTCTTGCGAGCTTTAATATAAATGCTGTTTTTTTAATAAGATTTATGTTTTAAAAAATATGTGTGCATTATTAAATAAATATAATAATTTTTATCTTCCGCCTTATTCTACGTTTGTAGAAACATCAAAAATAAAATGTTGACTATAGCTAACTTCAAGGTGTCGGTTTTTTATGACGGTGTGCGCGCGCATCGTAAAAATTTTCTCTCATCATTTTTCCTAACGCGCCAAAAGAAGTATAACTTCAAAAATATGCACACGTCGCACGTTTGTAAAGGATATCGTTTTTTGTCGGAGAAATACCACATTTTTCACGATAATAAATATAAAATAACGCACGGTCTCAGAACTTTGTCCTGTGATTTATTAACGATGTATAAAATTTCAGCCTTGTAGAACTAGCTGAACTGGAGATAAAACATGCTCGTGCGCAGCAGGAACTTTTCAGGAAATCACTGCAAATGTTAAAGGAGTGTCAATAAATAGATATAAGGATTATGTGCAATTTTTGTTAATTATATAAATGTTTCTAAGGGAGAAATATGTATTCGCATTGTATGTAGTTATTTACGTGAAAATATTTATCATTTCCTACATAAACGCAGGTTTATCAATACAACTTTGCAGCAAAGACGAGATAGTATAATAAACTTTATTGGGTTTGGCATTAACACACCCTTAGTCACATGGTCCTTCAATAGTTTTAACTGGGCCAAACGGGGACCTTACGTTTCGTAAAAGTCGAATTCAATCGCAAATTCCATACATTTTTATAAATAACCTGCGTTTTAAACTTAAAATATTATTAATTTTAACGATAACTGATGTATGCCTTGATCACAATATTTAAATCCAGTGTTATATGGAACGCAACAATATCTCATTAATAAAGCATAATTTTGAGAACTACCCACAAAAATTGCAACTTTAGAGGGTAGACGACCAATACTAGAATAAATATTGTGAGCAAGTATTTTTATACGTAAACTTTGTATACATATAATTATTGGACCCGATTTCTGGAATCGCTTAGTGGGACGTGGGGTGCAGTACGGGTCAGGTAAGCTTGTGGAACTATTTGTGACACTATGTCTCTCTTATGTATTAGTCACATTCCGCTATGATTTTAAGGATTTTTTAAATAAAGTACTGATGTTGCTATAATTTTTCTCTATGCTTTAAGCTTTTTAAAGAAGTTTGTTACATTCAGGTCTGGGGCCATATAATATACTGTCGTCAATTTTTTTTAATGCAATAAAGATCAAAGACTTTTCTAAGTGCGCCCATTTTTGTAACAGCATTAAAAGTGATTTTGAAATTAAAATGTGTTTAAATGTTTTTGTCTATATTGTATTTTTTAAAATTATCTAGTAATTTAAATTGTTTTTGGCCAAATTTAAAGTATTGTTAGTTATTTTGAATGTAAGAAATATACGAATTATACTTGTAAATATTTGTTTTAATTCCCTTAACGTGAAAAAGAATTATTAACCGAATTTGAATTTTTATTGTGCTCAATCACTAGATTTACGGTTAACGTATATCGTGGGTTGGAATCTCGGCAAAATAATCATTTCTGGTTAGTTCATGGAGCCTACCATGAGCTTTTTTCCAGTTAAAATGCTGACGAGTTTAGGTTCCTAAATTCAATAGCGTTTTTGCGTACCATGACCTGTAAACAGAAGCGTAATGGACCGAACGAAAGAATAATTTTCTTTGTGGTTCTATGAAGTTTTTAAATTTAAAAGTCAAACTTGCTTCGACATATTATTCTATAGTAATAAATGCAACCTAAAAAGTATTTTTAATAATTCATCAATCACAATAAGCTATTATGTTTTAAGTATATATGTAATTATTGAATCAAAAACTATTCCTTTGATATATTTTAAACGTAAAGTTTTCAGGTTTGATACAAAAGTAACTTTTGTAGAAAAGCGAAACGGTAAAATTTTGGTTCAGTCGCGAGGTCATAGTACGAATTTTCAAACAAAATTCAATGAACGAAATCTGATTACCGCTGAGGTAACGTGAAAACAAACGGGTTGGTTTATTCGGATTCATACTTTGAATAAGAGATGCATTAGTACATCTCTGTAGGTTGTCAATTGGCTCGCAATAAGAGCTCATGATAGGCGAATTATTTTGCCCTTAAATTGATCTAGGTTTGACAACAACGTCCCCAGAGAGTTATATAAACATATGCCGCTGCGTTTAACAATGCGTAGCTAATGGTATTGAAGCCCCGCATACCATTACCATGACAACTACAGGCCCAACAAAAAAGCGAAAGACGAAAGTGATTTTAAAACTCTCATTGCTCAATTAGCATTAATTTTACTCAATATTATATCATTTACTATTTTTTTGTATAGTTTATATTGATCTAAGAGGTAAGTCAATGATAGTATATTTACTAATATTGTGGAAGCTATGTAAAAAAAATCTACATACTTATTTAAAAGCTGTGTCTGGCTGTTTAATGTTTTTAATTAAATTTTTCTTTATCAATGGTTGGTTGTGACCCGACAAGTCTTACGGTACAGTAATCAAAGTTAGATGTAAATTGTTTATAGCAGAACAAAGATGGTAACTGCGCCTCAAAAATTTGTCGTTCGCCCGTTGGTAAAATTTGTAGGAGGCGCTTCAGAAAAGCTTGCGGGCTCGGTTTTAATTGTTTCGTGTTACATTCCCAACCATTACATCGATAGCATATAAAAATATGTATCTAAAACCAACAAGATATAACGAAGAGTGCGTTTTCAATTGCCCACTTGCCCTTTTATCAAAAAGTTGAAAAAAAATCAACAAGATAAAATGAAGAAATTTTTTTTCAATAACTTTGATTTTTTATCAATAGCATATAAAAATACTTAAAATCAACGAGATAGATCGAAGAGTACCTTTTCAAATGCCTATTTACCTTGAGCTTACCTATTTAATATTATTATTAAAAATTGGGTACATAAATTATTTTCGGCATAAATTTTAGTATTTTCCCCACAATAATACCTTTACGAAATTACAGAATTTTACAAATATTCCGTCAGAGGTTTTTCTTTGAGTGTTTGATCAATATGAGGAACGGTGCATTAATCCCAGTCCTGGTTTCGTTGCTAGGCAACGTAAATGGGAAGTGGGTAGAGGGAAGAATTAATACAAAGGAGGTACGTCTTTATATCCAAGGCACTTCATAGAATTTTCTAATTATGACACTTGTTTATTTATAAAATTTCCTTCTTAAAATTAAACCTAAAATCTACTATCAAATCGAAATATATAATTTACCAACATCATTCCGGAGTTATCTGATAGATTGCAGGGAATTTAAAATCGAAACCCTGTAATATTGACTTTTTTCTATTTTAAGAGCGAAGTTCCTAACTATTTCGTTTAGCCTATTTTTTGATACCTCATTGAGTAAATTACAATATAAACATTGTAAAATGTACAGTAACAGATACATTATTTACAATTTTCTTAACCTACATAATAATAAAAATATTTAAAAAATTAAAACAAATTAAAAAGTTTGGTCCCTATGGCAGTGCACCTTTAACGCTGGCAGCAATTCCTCGCTGTATTGCGATACTTATTCGTTGAGCGAGGAAAGCACCAGCTGTGGGGTCACCGGTACTATCTACCAGGCCCCAACATAAATTAGCGCCTGTGCACTTGAACACCACGGTCCCAGAGTCTAAACTTATATTTTTGTTTAAATTATACTTTCAGAATTGGGCTTTTCTGGCGCGCTTCTGTTTTCTGTCGCTAGAGGGCGAGTTTGAATATTTGATAGAGTTTGAACGGGACATGGGATCTCCCAATTTACTCTTGTATTATGACGATGAATCTCAATGGCCGGCTGTGTATCATAGTAAGCGGGTTAGTATTTACATTATCAATGACCAATGACAAGTCAAGCGTATCATACAAGAGAGATATATTAACTGCTTATTGTCCGTAAACATAGAACAGCGTCTTTTAGCGGTTTTAGACGAAACCAGCTAAATGCTGGAATAACCTGCCACCTCCAATCCGCGATATCCAAGGCCATTTCAAAATAAAATGAAAAGATATCTTTTGGAATGTCAGTCGGCTGGGTTTCCCAAATTTCCAATTAAGTTGCACTGTCTCATATTTTATGTTTATATAATTTATGTTAATAATAATTTTATTTTTTATTTTAATTGTTAAAAGTTTTGTTCTGTGTATATAGGCGTCACTCCAAGGTAGTATGGGCCCACTGAAAGTCAGTGTTGGTGACAGCAACTTGAAGCAGAGTTAGGCCCATTTTTGATTAAAGTGATTGTGTTTGGATTTCTTTTATATCTAAATTATAAAATTCTCGTGTCACCATTCTCCTCCGAAACGGCTCAACTGATTCTTATGATAATTTATTTTTTACATATTAAGTAAGTCTGAGAATCTGTTACTATCTATCTCATACCCCTAAGTGGTAAGGGGCGTCCAGCCCAATTTTTAATTTTTAGATTTTTTTTTGTTTTTATTTTTTTATGAAACAGCATACCAAAAAACATTCAACCCCTAATTTTCACCTCTTTACCATCAACCCCTATTTTTAATTATTATAGATAGTTATTTTTATTGAACTAAAAATTTGTTCCCTACAAATACGTTTTCCGGGTCAGCTAGTATATATATACATTATATAAAATAAACCCACATAAATACATGTGTGCTTTAATTTTTCTTTATTTCTTATCTTTAATTATGAAATGTCAAACGCGTTGTTTCGTATATAGAAACCGGAAATTGAATAGCGCCATCTTATAAGTAGTTAACAGGAAACATATTTCTGTGTATGTCTTTTCTGTCTAGAGTGAGTTCATTCCTAGGCGATTTTAAACGATTAACAACAAAGTTAATAGTTGATATACATTTAACTACATATTTTCGTAAACATAATACCATTTCAGACATGTCAAGACCGTGAATCGGTACTTAATAAAGGCGGGCAGAACCAGATGGTTAAACTATCACATTGGTATCCGGACACCGAGTATTCAGGCTGTATCGTCACAAAAGCTAACAAAGAATTACCTGCTTCTAAAAGGTTGGTACAATTTAAAACCTTTTAAATTAAAGAAAAATCTTTCACATAAATCAGTAAATTTCCTACTATCTTCATCATCAGGTAATTAAGAGAACAGTCTAAGTTTCATCAAAATCCGTTCCCTAGGTTTTAATCTATGGATATCCACGTATTTGTGTTTAATGATAAAGGTAAAATAATGTTGAATTGAATTTCATTTTTTGCTTATAATTCTCCTGTGCACTTTCAGCACAACACAAAAACCGACAACAGCAAAGCCAACAAAACCGAAAAACACGTCTAAAAATGATCTTCCGAACGATCCGGGCTATTACGACCAGTTTTTAAAAACTACGATTTCACCAAAAACGGAAGTATCTACCAAAGAACCGAACACTACGTGGTACGAGTTGATCCCTGAAGATTTTAATTCTACCACAGAACTGCCAGATGAACTATGGGAGAGTATTGGTCCAGTTACAAATGGCAGTAAAGAAGATTTAAAAGATGTCGAAATTTTATTTGATAATTACAATCACACTGTATGTACAAGTTAACATTTTATATAATTTAATACAGAAGAATCTAAATCAAATTATTATATATATATATATATATCATTTAGCGAACAATAAAAAATAAAATAATAAAATATGTTTATCATGGAATATAAGATACAGGTATCACTTATTCCACATAATTAAATTTGTTCTCATCGACAAAGAAAACAGAGGGTGTAGGCCGAGAGAAAAATCCGGCGTAAAAAAATCGGTTGTCTAAAAAGTCGGTTTACTGACGATAGTTGAACATGACAACGTCATAGCCGATTGTGCCTCTTTGTCGCTCGTTCCGCGCTCTCGCTTGCACTTCAAGCCTTAAATGGAACGCCTCAGAGCGAGATAACGCCGCATGAGTCATATTTTTTCGTGCGTCAGCCGGCTCCATCAAATTATAAGACGTTGTCACGTCAAAAACTCTCGGTACAAAATATATTATGTTACATTATATGCTGCAATAATCTAGAGAATGTTAGATATAATTAATAATTGAGTGACTTAGTGATGGATTTATCAGCAGGCCGAGTAGGCTAAAGCCCAATGTGAAAATTTGGGAAATGATATTTTTTTCCTACTTTATAGAAATCCAAAATATTTCTGCATAATGGTATTCTGATGTTTTAGTCTTCAACAAATTTTGCCGATGACTTTCCCCTATCACTTGTCATTGTTCATTCGGTATAGTAATCTTCCATATTCTAAAGTTAAACAGCTAGTTCCCCCTCAGCTCACTCTTTGTATGGGTGAAAAGGGCGAAATTTCAGAATATGTATTTCCCTCTTCCGATAATTTTGTGCTCAAAAATAAAACCCAAAAATTATTAAACGTGCTATTGCACTATTATACGTGATATTGCAATGCAACGAAACTGTTGGATTGTAACGGTGGACTGTAGTAAAACGAATTTTAGGATTAAGAAATTACTTGTTATCAAGGAAACAGACTTGGATAATGTATATTTTTATATTTTAGCACAAAATAAAGCGATCAATAGAATTATACGAACGATATCGACGACGACGTCTCAATTCAGATTCGTATAAAAATGGGTACAGCGAAACAGAGAGAATGATTGTATCATGTCACAACTCGAGAAGGTTTCGTTCGGCGAGAGAGAGGTGGTGGTTCATTGCGATTAGCAATTGCGATAGTCCAAAGGTAAGTTAGTTATATTAGCTTATAGTTTTGTAAAATAATTAAACATCAGGGAGGAAATGCTGCCAAGATTAAAAGTGTTCCTTTTGCCACAGGGAATCTTTTAAAATTTGTTTTCATTTTCTACTTATCAATTTTCATTATTATTATTAGAAGAAGAATATTTGTGTTGGAAATAAATATAAATACATAATAAAACTTATACTACATATCTGGCGTAAAAATACCATTCTATAGCAAAATTCCCTCTTCTTCAGGGGGGGGAAATAGAGATAATTTGTGGACTGTAGACCATAGTCACGGTTCAGATCCGGCTCGAGGACCAATGTCGGGGTTGGGATAAATTACAAGATATTAAAGGGAATATTTATTTTATTAGCAATGGACTAAACTAGTGGGGTGGGAAGAGATTGGGATAAGAGTCCGCCCGGTACGAGGTCTGAATGCGAACTGAACCAAAGTGATTGTATAATAAATTCAGTTCTTGTGTCATTGAAATCACATACACACAGATGTAATATCTGTCTGTCCGAATTTTATAATTTGCTTATTTGCAGGGTCTGGACGTGAAATACAAATTTTTAATGACAAATGGACCTGAAGGTGATTTCTGGCATCGGCATTTTTCTGCGGATGAATTTTGTAAGTTCTTGCTTGTGCCAATTTGAAATATATATACATATATTACTTTTGATTCGTTTTTAATACTGCTAATAAATCAAATCCCCTTTAAAAATCTTCAACACGGAAGTATATCAAAAAACTCCAATTTTTTTCAATGGATTTGTTGTTTTAAATATTTTGCGTTTTAGTTGTTCAAACCTGCGTATTTTATTGGAATAATACCACAAGTCAGCATTTACTATGAGCGCGGACATCCTGCGTTTTCAGAAAATAAAAGAAACATATAAAAACTCGATTAAGATACTATTTTTGAAGTAAAAATTCTTTAGGGTAAAATTTTTACGGAGGAAACGCAATAACAATAATATTAGGCTCACGAAGATTTGCAGCGTTTTTGTCGAAGAAAAGGGAGAGAGCGATTTAGACCGATTGAAAGAGAGTGAGAAGGGCGAGATATCTTATAGAAATCACAATAAAACAAATAAAAGAATACATTATGTAAATGTGCGGTCTTACTGCTAATCTTCCATATGTAATAAATATATATAAAAATAAAGCCTTTTTTAAATTTCCATATCCTTAATTTCGATTTCAAATGTTGTTAGTATTTACTTATAAGAGTTATAGCTAAATGATAGTAGGAATATGTTAGTTTCCTGTGAATATGGATCCTTCTTAGGTAAAGGCTCCAACCCTTTCCATATGACTTTGCCAATAGTCGGTCAGTCTTTTCCTGCTATTTCCATCAAGTCATCAGCCCACCTTCTTTTTGACCTGCCCACTGTTCTTTTCCCGGGTCGTCTCTTCCATTGCGTCTTTACAGGTTTAATAAAGACAACATGATTCGTATATAATGTTTAAAATTGTACTTTATTTCAGATGTCCTGCCAATTCTATTGACCTACACATTTGCGTACATAATAGTGATGGTAGCAGTAGTGATGTGCTCCGTCGAGCTGCGCTCGCGACACCTTTTACACTCGACGTATAAGTTGTTCCTAATATCGATAGTGGTACAACACTGTGGAGTATTGTTACAAACGCTGGCAAATATTCGATACGCTAGTAATGGAGTTGGCGCACCTAATTCGAAGATTATTGGTAAGATAATTAGATCAGTGCCAAGTTAAGCTTATGATTCTCAAAACTAAAGCGAGCTTTCGTATCGTGGTTGTCTAGTATGTGTATGACGCGTGACTCGTAGAGAAAACATCGTTACTTTTATTCATTATTCATAATTGTAATGTAGAGGGAGGGTAAAACTTGCTGAGTTTCTTGCCCGTTCTTCTCAGAACAAGGCCTCCTGGTAGTTTTGCGAACGGATGGCGTAGTCTTGCTCTTTCGCGAATTTTGTAAACGTTTAAGCATTAACATTCATAAGCATGCCCTAAGACGCATCTAAATTGAATAAACGTATTCTGATTTGATTGATTATGTATTAATTTTTTGTTACTTACATATAAAGAAAAATTTCTAACGAAAATTAAGTTCGGTGGCGGTTGTATATGGATCAAATAAAGCACTTTGTTTGAAGCTGGGTAACAACTGATAATATGTAGTTTCAAATATGGGTAATGGGCTTATAACTAACGTAAAATCATGGGTGTTGCGGGGTTGCGACGCTGACAAAAAGTAACTTGACTTATCTAAGGGTTCACAAATCTAAATGTTTTTCGACAACGGAAACGAGAATGTTAAAATACAATTTATAAGTGTGGTAAAATTAAAGGCTCATTTTGACTTCAAGTGTGCGATGGTTGTTTACATTTTGTTCAGGCTTCTATTTATTAAATAAAATATACATTTATAAACAAGAATAATCCTAAGTTGGATTAAGGTTTAAGATTAAGCCTTACTTGTTTATAATTGATTCATTCTGCTTTTACTCGCGTGATTTGGTTCGCTTGAGTACGTGAACAAAAAAAGATTTACTTGTCTTGCCTCACTTGCATTTATCACCGTTTCAACTAACTCTTTAGTCTGTTTCTATAAAATTGTATTTACGTTGTAATAAAAAGGACAGATTAGTTGAAACGGATCAATTAGGCTAATATTTTTTTAATAACAATTATTTATTTATTGCAAGAATATGGTACAAAATGTTAAGGTGATGCCAGGATTACGGATTACCAGATATTTGCCGCATGTTCTCGGCTTTTTGAGATATCTTTTGATTTCTAGGTCAGTTTCTCTGCGGGATATCGGAAGCCACCTTCCTCTTGTTGCTAATACTTCTAGCCAAGGGCTATACGGTCACCCGTGGTCGCCTCAAGGTTGGATTCACGGTCAAACTGACTGTGTTCATGTGCCTCTATGTACTGACATACGTGGTTATCTTTATATACCAAGCTAGGGTAAGAAACTCTAATAAAAAATAATATATATATATGTTTTACTCGACTTTATAACTTCTAATTTTACAGGCATTTGATCCAGGTGAAGTGTTATATTTGTACGAGAGTTTGGCAGGATATGCGCTCATAGTTCTCCGGATATCCGGATGGTGCGCTTTCGCGTACGCTACATATTTTACCGCTAGGAAATATCCGGAAAAGGTGCATTATATTTATTTATGTATAAGTAATCATAACAATCATACAGTATTTAAAATATCTTAACCTACTTAGTAATAACAAAAAAGAAAATTAAAACAAATTTAAAAAATTTGGTCCCTGTGGCAGTGTACCTTTAACGCCAGCTCTGGGGCCACTGGTTCTAGCAGGCGCCAACGTAAATCTTTAATTAGCGCCTGTGCACTTGAACCCCACGGCCCAAGAGTCTCTACTCCAAAGGGAACAAAACCAAAGTTGGATGAAAGACTTTTATTATTAACTTATTTTTATTCTATATTTAAACACCGATTTAGAAAACTAAACTTAATGGCCATATGAAACAAACACCTACCACACCCATTATACACAACGAAAACCTACATATAGGCTACACAAAAAACGCACTTTATTTGCCCAACGATTTCACTCCTTCAGATGCCCTTACATCGTCAACCACTTTCTTAGAAAAAAAAGTAATGAACATTTTGTTCGATCGATTTATAAACGTTATACATTCAGTAACAATCTTAAACTAAATCTCAACCTGTCCTTTGTTGAAACGGAAAGTATTGTTCTTGTGCAACAGTAGTTTCATTAGAAAATTGTTTTATGTAGAATTAATTACGTCAAGTACAGTGAATATGTCAAATGAAAGAGACTGCCCATGGCACACGGAATTCTAGTGTATGGGCTAGTGCACTTTCTTTTTAAATATATCCTTTTTATAATGTACAATAAAGTTTTTCTTTCTTTCTTTCTATTTTAGATTATACCCATATTAAGTTTTAGTTAGAGTTAGTAAAAAATTCTTAGTAGTAAGTCGGGTTCTTGTTATGTAGAATTTATTAAGTTATCTAAAATAAATAATATGTCAAATGGAAGAAACTAGCTACAGGGAATCTTAGTGTGGGCTAGTGCATTCTCTCTTTTAAGTTTTAACTATACCATTATTAATCACGTCGATCAACTTAAATCACGGAGTAGAAAGCTGTATAAAAGAGCTGGCGGCCTTTGTTATATGGTGTCATGTCTCTGAAAAAAAGCATGCTCCTCTCTCATAGGCCAGCCACGCACCCACTTAAATGGGCAGCGAGAACCCTATATTGGCGTATCGTAGGCTCGCCCTATAACAAAAAAGGTTAGAGATGACATGCCATAATTGTATGTGTTATTTATAATGTTTATTTAATTCTAGAATATGTTCTACTGCCCTTTTTTCATCTGTGGTACGTTGTGGTTTTACGCGGGACCGCTGTTTATACTCACTGCTAACTCTTACATAGGTGAGATTATTTATTTAAAAAAACCATAGACTATTTATATAGAAGCGTAGCGCAACAATTGTTTATATATTAAATATTTGTTCATATTTTAGATAAATGGGTGCGCGAGAGTGTGGTGACAGCTGTACTCTTATTTATAACATTCTGTGGACACGTCATGTTCTTGGTGAGTAATAAGTTAAAAGATCACCAAATTAAAGTTTTTATTAAAATAATACATCAGTGGCGCTACAACCTTTTTAGGTCTGGGCCTCAGATTTCTGTATATTATGTTTCATGATCGTTTGTCAATCTAATAGGCAACTGACACACTTGACTTTTTGGGTCTAAGGCAAGCCAGTTTCCTCACAATGTTTTCCTTCACCGTTCGAGCGAATGTTAAATGCGCACATAGAAAGTCTATTCGTGCACAGCCGGTAATCGAACCTAAGACATCAGGAATGAGAGTCGCAACACTGATCTAAATATATACTCGTAAACTTTTAAATACATTATTAAAAACTTCATTAAAATGCCTAGTAAAAGTCTCTCGAAAGCATTACTTACAAAATTATTTAAATTATTTTTACAGCTGTTAACCCTACCGGTTTTTGCAAATAAAAATTTCCCATACCACGTCCGCACTACACAAATTGGAGTAATGGAGGTAAGGATAGTATGAATATTATAAACTCTTACAAAAAACCACGTTCTAAGCTCGATTACTGTTCATAAAGTAAAATTTAATACGCGTTATATGAATTCTGGCAATTTTTTATTAATTTTTAATGAATTCTTTCAAACCAATGTACACGGCCAATCAATAAGAGGTCGGCAATAAAGTTATAAATGTAAATACCTAACTGTTACCAAAATCACAGCTTGAATTCTTCTGGGCAAGCTTTCCACGATGTTCTTAATATCGTTTTTTGCTCAATTTTTTTCATTCCACTCCAATTTTATGGACGGCAATGCTCGCACCTTCCTCGCGACGTGGACATGCTAGAAGTTGAGATCCGTCTTTTAGATTGGCCATCTAAAGGTCCTGCATCAATCCAATTGAGCATGTCAGGGCTGTTCTAAAGGGACTAGTAAGATCAATGCAACCTGCTGCACAAAACATTTAAAAAAAGGACAAACGGATTTTACCTTAATTGACGAAACATGTCCGATTGCTTTACCATTTTTGGTACTGAATTATTTTATTTTAAACAGGTGACTAGCAACCCAGCCTTAGATGGCTTTGGTCCTAACGCATATCATCCCGAGACAGCAGCCGGCCAAACAGTTATCATTCCACTCACGAGGTATATAGAATTTTAATAATACCTTTTTATATTATACAGAGTAAAATGAAATCAAATTTATTTTTGAAGTTATATTTCTTCTGGCGCGTTAGGGAAAAATGATGAGAGTAAATTTTTACGATGCGCGCGCACTTCGTCACAAAAAACCGACACCCTGAAGTTAACTAAATACAACATTTTAGTTTTTTCTATTGTTAGTGTCGTTTTTTCTACAAACGTAGAATAAAATTTTTGAAAATATTTTTAACTTGTTACGCCAAAGAAGTATAACTTCTAACGCGTGAACACACACACGTTTCTTTTTAAATTATTTGTTTTAAATTTTCATTTCTTGATGGCGCTGGAAGTCTTCCACGGTCCGCTTTATAGGACATTTTCTTTTGCGAACTACTGAACTGCAGCATCAACTTCCAGTGGGCTCTTGGGAAATACGATCATCAATTGTTTAAAAAAAAAGAGTATCTATACTTCTCTCTCAAAGGCCGGCAACAAACCCACTAAAATAGATGACCGTGGGCTGCAATGACTGCCCTGGGCGTACCCGTAAACTATAAAAAGAATAATAATAATAATAATCTACCATTTTCAGGCGAACCGAGGAATTAATTGGCAGCATCTATAATCAATACATGGCAACAGCGCCTCCGCTGTCACATGAAAACGAAACGCCAAAACACAACGGCGTCAACAGAAATTCTTTTTCAAAAAATGGTATTACTCGACAGCCCAGCAGCGAAACAACCACATCTTCAGAGATAATCCCACACATAAATGATAAGGACATATTTACAGTCGAAACACAAATCGCGAAACTCGAACAACCAGAGTCACAAGAAAATGACAGTTCGATTGTGTTGCCCGAAAATGGGGTTAATTTGCCGAGTAATGGGGTAAATCTTGACTTACCCAACGTGTTGAGATCTAAGAGAAACATCCTAGAACCGATTAGAAGGGATGTGCCGTCTTGGTCTTTGGCAAAAGGTCCAGCTGTTGTTGCAATGCAAAAGAAGACTGATCAAGGTAAATAAATTTATCACAATCCTATAATATAAATTACAAGTTTAAAAAATGGTTGTTTGTAAAGTCAGTTTACGGATCTTAGTTTAACGTGACAACGTCATAAAAAAAACATTGATAAAATGATTGCATACTTTTATGAATTAAATTTAATAATTTTTATTGAATTATCACTATTTTATATGGATACAAAGAAGTGAATCCTCGGAAGCTTATGTCAATCGAGTGGAAGAGAGATAGAGGCGCAAGCGTACAATGAGCGTAACCGGACAATGAGTCATGCTTTTTCGTGCGTACAGCCTGTGTTCTTTCATCAGCCGTCGTCACGTCAAAAATATTATAAAAAAGCGGTTCTTAAGGAGTTTAATAATTTATACTCTTTAAAAATCGTTTGACTATTTGGAGAAATTATATCTAATTGAGCCAGTCCATTAAACTATATAAGCCATTCGGGGTCGCCAATAAAATGTAAATATTTAGAATACTACTTTTATTGTTTTTTTGTCTATATTTTTTTTGTTTCAGATAACCATTTACCACCAATATCAAATGGTAAAAAAGCACAGACAGTAAAAACTATGCAAGCCACTTCTGGCGTCATCAGCACGATACACGAAGGACGCGAACAAACTTATAATCGAACCGACGAGCTATTCACTGTAACTAAAAGTTAAAGATTTTTTATCAGGAACAATTTTTTATTAAATTTGACTAAAAAATCTGCGTCAAATATTTATATGAAAAAGCCTACTTTAATTGTATTTGATGTCCGTTGTACTGTTCATTTTACTGATTTCGTTATTTAAGCTGGAAGAAACTCTGCCTCTCAGCGGCAACTAATATTTAATCTTATAGCTAATCATTAATACAGTGGACCCCCGGTAGTTCGACAAAAGTTTTGCAGGTCAGTGTCGTACTGCCTAAGACCGTATAAAGTCCGGATTATTTTACAAAAGAGCACCTTGTAATCCGACAAACTACAGATCCAAAGATTATATTTTAAAACAATTGGTGACTTTCACCAGTATAATACTCGAATCAGAACAAATCTAAGCGTACGACCACCAATCTCCAGAAGATAAACCACTCAAGCGAAATTAGAGAATTATCACTGAATAAATTCAAAACTTTCGTTAAACGTAAACTAATCATAAAATTATCGTCATTAATGATGAACTTACAAAAAAAAATTGACATTAGGAAATAATTTTGTATTGACAAATATACATAGTAAAAATAAAAATCATTTATTAATTTATGCTGTCAAATTCAAACTAAGCAATCAGAATTAAAATAATTCCTACGCGTCGAGCAGTGTTGGCGCGTACAAGTTGCAACCTGCTCAATCTTACATTATTTCCATAAGCGAAGATTGTCAAAAAATATTCAATAATAGATAATGATATGTCGGATTACCCGGGATCCACTGTGCCTCTTTAGTGTGTTAACAGATCAGATAACCCTCAAAACTTGACACATTGAACTCATAGTAACTTTACAGTCGTGTTAATTTATTATCACTATGTAACACGACTATGTTCTTTCTTAGTTTTTGCAAAGAACTTTCAAATTAATATTTTGTAAATATTTTAAGTCACGTGTGATATTTTCTAGTCCAGCAATAAAAATCTTGATCTCAATTTTGTTTTATTTTGTTCAAAATTGAAAGCAAAAAGTCGTAGCATGAAGTTTACGTTGTATTCAACAAGTATTCGTACATATGGACGTACATATGGATTTTGTATACTTCACGTAGGTATAATTTGTTTGGCCGTTATTTTTTTATAATTACACAGACCCCACACGTTGTCCTCATGATATTTAAACGATTAGGATATTAAGCAAAGTATGAAAGTACCGACTCAGTCCATCTGCCGGCTGATTTGTGAATCTAAACCATTCCCAATCCCTAACACACCAAAAATTTCATCAAAATCGGTCAGTGTTTGAGAGAAGTTCAGTCACATACACACGCACAGAAGAAATATATATATTAAGATAAGGGGGCAAACGATCCGATGGGACGAGCAGTCATCGCAGCTCATGGACACCGATTTTAGTGGTTGCTTTACCGGCCTTTGAGGGAGGAGTAAACTCTTTCTTTAAAAAATTGGAGGTCGTATCTCCCAGGGAAGTCCTCCACTAAGAGTCGATGCCACAATAGAAAGTGTCTTGTGAAAGACTATCAGCCATCAAGGTGATGCTGATAAAATTTTGAATTATTTTGATTTGTTTCCGTTAAGTTACGACAATAACAGGTACTTAATAAATAAAAAAACGAGTATAGGTTAAAATATATATTACAATATAACATAATTACATATTAAGTACTAATTAATTCACGTGAACAATCACAGATTACTTGATACATTAGAAGCATTTTACTTTTTTTCTAAGTACACAAGCAACATTGACTAAGTGTTTTAAGTAATCTGTGGTAAGGCTTACTAATTGACTAAAATCACAAAATTATCTACACAATAAAATAAAATTCTGCTAATTAAGGAATTAATTAAATACTGTTACGTTTGAATCACAATATTAACAAAACCACCCTTTACTTTAAGTAAATAGATAATTAAAATCACATTAATGGATTGACTCTGGGTACACACTTGTCACGTGACTGGGTATAGAAATTCAAATCCAATTTCTAAAACTAAGACACAAATTGTGTCAAAAAATTCTGGAAATAACACTTCGAAACGTTCTTACAAAACGCCAAGCCATTCTATGTTCTCATTCTTGACACTTGACATTTCTGACAGTGACATTTAAGACAAAATTGTGACTGCGAGACAATTACAAATTTCTTAGAAAACTAATTTTCTAACCAGTTTCGTGGTTTCATATATAGGCAGCACCTTTTAAATTATAATGCAGATATACTAAAATAAAACAAATATTAGATGTACAGCTCACATATACAGAGCAGATCTAACATATGTAATAGCTCACATATCTGAGTGCGTATAAAATGCCCGAGTCTTGCCCTTACAGCTTAAGAAAAAAATTATAAATCTCGTAAGTACATAAAAACCAACCAACACATTGGCGTTAGTTTAAGAGAAAATGCATTAATTTAGTTTATAACAATCATTAACGTTTACACAAACTTAGATCATTATATCTGGTTCTATATTTGTACTGTATAAAAGTAATATCAACGCTTCAAAAATGACTATAGTTCTCGCCACATCCGATGGATTAGATGCGCAGGAGTCGCTTTTTAAGACTTCGAAAAATTCCTAAACGACACTTGTATTTTAGTTTAGGGTGCTAGTTTAAAATTCTCGAATCTCGTAGACATTAGGAGTATATTTATTCAATTATGAAATTATATAGTAAAGGCAAGGGAATCAGTCTTAAAGTACCGATAAATTGACGTACTTTGGTATTGCATTGTATATTTTAAATAGTGATTTCGAAATATGGTAATAAAAACATATTTAATTTAGGGTCAATTTATACTGGCGCAGAGCCGAAGCACATCGAAGCGTCACGTTACTTCTGAAATTTTAACAAGACGCGCTAATTCCGAAGAATGCGCGTGACCAACGCTGATTAGTGCGCGCACATTCTACTCCCACTAGCGAACCTTCGCGTCATCAGTCGCGTGAAGTTGGCCTGCATCGGCGTTGATTACGATGTATTCGGACGAAAAATTAATTTATATGAACGCCTTCGTGCGTATTCGCTTTAGTTGTGAAGAATTTCGCTTCGATGCGCTCGACTCTGCGCTAGTATAATTTGCCATTATTTAAATTGACAAAGTGAAGTCTATGTAAGTATATTAATAAACAGTTCACGAAAGCACATAAGCCAAAAGTAGTTTGACACTTTGTAGTCATAGTTTTAAACCTCGACTCCATATGAGGTCTTTAATATTTATAATTCTCAATGTAAAATTCGTTTCAAAACCACTGTTAATAAGCATTTTATTATAATAAAATTAAGTTACATTTTGATATCATTCGTAAAACATAAAAATAAAAGTTTTATGTAAAAATAAAATCTCGAATACACGATAACTAATTAGTTTAAGTACTGGGGCTTTTGCATTTAAAAACACTTACTATATATAGTGAATACTAGTACAATTCCATAATAATCCCTCCATAATAATCGCTAACTTTTCATAAAGATATTAAATTGACATTAACGTTATACAACGCGGACTAAACATAGTGCATGTAATAACGGTAACCATAGTAACAAACTCAGTTTAGTCCACGTATTATAAGGCCAATAAAGATTAAATTCGAATAATTTCGCAAGCAGGTACACTTTAAATACAAGTATTAAGTAGTAAAAACTTCACAATTAAAGGTTTCGTCTTGGTTTTCATTGTAATTTGTGTACCAAAACATTCAATTCACGCTTATAAAACAAGACTTTTACAACGTGGACTATAAAATTATCGTGTTCGTTACAAATTACAAGAAAATCATATCAATCGCGATACTGTTTATTGCATATCTATAGCCCACGTTTTTTACGATAAACGATTGGTAACAAAGATGTTACCTTTAGATCATGTTTCAAAAGGTCATCCATATAAAAACTAAATCAGATAAGACTCACTTCATTCAGTGTGAGCAATTCGTTCGTATCTACGGATTGTCTAAGCATTGTGTAAAAAAACCACTGATTTAGTTTCTATGAATGTAATGTAAATTATTAATTATATAAAAACGTTAAATCAAGAAAGAGTTTTATTTCTAAATGCATTCTTGGAATTAGCACCGTAAGACTTCGACTATGATTTTTGGTGTATTTAAAAATAAATTCGTCGTAATTTTTCTTTAACACTATGTATAGACCGAAAAAAATTAACATCACAATCACAATTTTTATAATTTCTATTGAAATTCTTCTTGTGTATTATATATGGGAATCTATACTTTAAAAGGCAAATATTGTTATAAATTTAAATATTTGAGGAGTGTATAAGGCAGTGTTAAATACATCATAATAAAAACTAAGCGTTCTTTTTCTGTTGAAGTTTCTTGTAACTCTGAAAAGAGATAAATCTATTTTAAATTCTTAGAATTTTTTTAACTATAATTTATAACTGTATTAGTATTTGTAATTAGTATTAAATGCGCACATAGACAAAGTCCATTGGTACACAGCCGGGGTTCGAACCTACGACCTCAGGAAGAGGTGAAGCCCACACTGTTAAAAATCAAATAATATTTGGCTAAACAAATTTGAACCTTATAAGATTATTAAAAAAGTACCTCTTCCGCCATTTTGTACAACATGGCGGCCGTCTCCGGTCCGGTCTGTTCCACTAGCACCTTGAATATGCCGCCTTCCGGCTCACTCAGCTCGGATCTGAAATATCATAACTCTAAATGTTTATTCCTATTAACAAATAATAATGTATTTAAACACATTTCACTAATCTTTCATCCCTTTCTGTCAAATCGTGTTAACGCTTAGATGAAAAGAGACGGTAAACAGTGCAACGGTGATTTATTTTTGTGGGTTTTCAAGGACATTATGCCTAATTTATTAAAAATATTTGTAATGTTTGCGGGAAGTAGATAAAACAAAAAAACTATTAAAAAAGTATTATAAATGATTTAATTAAAAGTAATTTTGGACTACATTGGTCATATAGTATATATAATAGTGGGAACAAAATTTTAAATTAACTAGAATTTATCAGTTCCCGGTGTGATAACGACTTTTATTGAGTTGCACCGAGCGATTCCAAGGTTCGGACATCAGCTACGAATATTGAGAGAACTATATGTCAATTGGGTAAAAAACATGGAATCACCATTGGAAGTTACTGATGCACACAAGACCTGGGAAGTATAGAATACAATTAATTTTGAAAAAATAAAAATGTATCGAACTAACCTATTAGAATAAGTTCTAATCCTATCTTTGGACAAAATGAGTGTCTCGGATTCTTCATGTCGTTCACCAGATGATTGGAATGCAAAGTTTTCTGGAATTGCCAAAGGAGCCTGAAATAATTCCAATAATATTTTCGTTAGAAATGATCGGTTCTATTTTACCAATTCATTAATTATAATTATTCTGGCATTGGAAGGGTCCATGGGCACTTAAATCGGGTGAGCATCCTGCCCGTTTGCCCCCTGTTCTATAGAAATAAACGGCTGAACCGAGAATCAATATCTACTGTCTATTTGTCTGTAACCAAATAGGTTATTATATAAATGATTGTTATGTCAATATGGTTTATTTAATATGTTCATAGAGCAGTGTAAGCCTAGTGGCTTCAGCGTGCGACTCTCATACCTGAGGTCGTAGGTTCGATCCCCGGCTGTGCACTAATGGACTTTCTTTCTATGTGCGCATTTAACATTTGCTTAAACGGTGAAGGAAAACATCGTGAGGAAACCGGTTTGTCTTAAACGGCATGTGTCAGATACAGGAGGCTGATCACCTAGTTGCCTATTAGATTGACTAATGATCATGAAACAGATTCAGAAATCTGAGGCCAAGACCTAAAGAAGTTGTAGCGCCACTGATTTTTGATTTTTTTAAAATATGTACATGAGTCAAATTTACCTGGCTTTTGGACAGAAGTGCGCGTCGGGGCTGATTCTCTACTTTCGATTGTGCAGTGGTCGTCAACAGTTCAAATGGATGACCAGACTCGACGACGCGACCTCTGTTAAAGCAAACAGACATTATATTATAAATAAAAAATAAATTGTGCGTGTACTATGCGTACACACGTAAGAAGTGAAACTTCTTTACGATCTTATTTTTCGAAAAATGATTTACTATATGCAACTTTACAGAAATTCGTTAAATTATATAAAGTTTAACAAAAGGCTTTTATTATCATAGACATGAATACAAATATTTCATTTACATTATTACTACGAAGATTATTATAGAATTTCATTGATTGTAATAGAATTATTACTATCATTGAAAAACGTGACGATTTGCTACAAAATTTCTCCCATACGTCGATAAAGAAGTTTCATTCCAACGCCGATAAAGAAGTTTGACTTCAAAAAGCAACATGGCGCGTAACCGAAAAATGTGACGCGTAACGAAAAAATTTTACACTAAATTTTTTTCCAACCTCGATAAAGAAGTTTCACTTCAATAAAAATATAATTTCTTCATATGGCTTCTGAAAAAATACATGCGTAAATAAAACATATTATTGATGATCCGACGAATCGTGTTAACGTATAACACGTTGCGAACGTATTTCGATACGTATACGACCAAGCAAGCATATCTTAAGGCTTAAGTAAACATTAGCCAGTTTTTTAAATGTTTTAATAAACGCTACGGTGAATATCTTACAGGCCGTTAGTTAAACGGCGCTGTTTAGTTAAGAGGTTAGGAGTGTTGATTGAACGGCTAATTAAGCTAGTTGGCTGCGACATATATAATATTCTATAAATTCCCAGAATTTTTCGGAAAGTCCTTTAGAATTTCCGCTAAAAAGCTGTGCATTTTGTTAATTATTTCCTATCCTTCTACCTAACCTTGTAGTTATAACTTTATTCCCACTTCTCCGTGTTACTTTTAGCTGTCTTTTAGCACAGGTTGCCTAGAAGAGATCGCGTAGGCCGATGGCACAAAATTTTTAGTTTTTCATTTATTACCAAACAAGTGTACCTATAACTTCAAGTAGCTATTGAAAAAACCTTATCACTGTCACAAACATATAAACACGAGAACAAATCACTCACTTGTCCATCACGATAACTCTGTCATAGTCCATCACGGTGTTCAATCGATGCGCGATGGTGAGGACTGTGGAACTCGCGAATTTACTGCGAATCGTGCTTTGGATTTGACGATCAGTTCTGGAAATTAAGAAAATTTATATTAAAATCTAAATAAAATAATGAATTCATCAAATTGTGCTTAAATTGTCATCTGTATATTTGACTGTTTGCAATGTGGTGCTGGAGGCGTTTGTTAAGAATACCATGAAAAAATGCACCAACGCATAACCCAGCTTCGTAAAAAAATCCCGTTTCAAATTCATTTTGGTAAAACAATGTACACTTATAAACGTCAATAAAGAAATACATATTAAATGCTTCTAATTTTAAATTTACTGCCAGTTCTCAAAACAAGGGCATAGAACAGACAAGAAAGAACTGGCAACAAATGTCCGCCGCTCTTTTTAATCGCCAAGATTTTTGTTTTACAAAATGTTTGTAAGGAGCTGCAACCATTACACCATGTTCATACTATATGCCGACAACGCATCATTTCGTACTTTGGTCACTCAATGCGTAGGGGCGACGAGAACCTATCATCGTGATAGGCAATACCGAAGGCAAAAAATCGCGTGGACGTTCGCCAACGAAATGAACTAATCAAATCAAACACTCGTCTTCAAAATTATATACGTTGTGAAAGAAACGCGAACCGAAATTGGTGGATGAAAATTATTCACGGCAGATCTTACTATACAGCTGTCCACGATACTCAGATATGAGTTCGTGACCTCACAACATAGGCAACAAAGGATTTACAAACTTAAAATCATGGCATCGCTGTATACTTATAATTCACCGCTATAATGTGCCTTCGTGATTTATTTATTTGTTTAATTATAAGTAATCTAGTGGTTAACAAAATTTAATTAAAAAAAAAAAATCTATTTCTAAATCATTTAGATAAAATTAAAGTGAAATGCCCCAACTCGTAAATAGATCATTAATTGTTTTTAAATAAACTTTTAAAATAAAATAAATAAAAACACTTACTCCGTGTCTACATTAGCGGTAGCCTCATCCAAGACAAGCACGGCTCGTCTCGCCAAAGCAGCTCGAGCCAAGCACACGAGCTGTCTTTGTCCACTCGATAGGTTCCCCCCTCCATCCCCAACTCGAGAAGAGAGCCCCCCTGGGAGGGCCGAGACTAGCGATTGGAGTTCTACCTATAAATATGTATTATTTTGGAATGTATTTTAAAACTTTAGTATTCCTGATGCAATTCCGGTGTTTGTTGTTTTATTTTGGCTTTGCCTTTGGTCTTGTCCTCAGATTTCTATTTCGTGATCATTTGTTTTTTGAAGTGAAGTGCTTCTGTAGGCGCAAGAGGGTAAATATTTACGAAAACGTCACGAAGATGTGCAGCGTTTTTGTCGAAGAAAAGGGAGAGCGCGATTGAGACCGATTGAGAGAGTGAGAAGGGCGAATTTAAACCTTATAGAAATTCTATTATCTATATCTATATCGTAAAGAGAATTTATGAAATATTAGTATTTTATATTTTATGCAAAATAATTTATTGAAATTTCAAATGACGAATTGTAAATTAAAATACCACGTGTTTTTATTATCGAAAAAAAAGAATTAAAAAATTAAATTTATTATTTTTATTAATTATCGACACTTTTAATATTTTAATGACAATTAAATTCATTAAATTTCTAACATATCTTGCTTTCCCTCCCTCTAAGTCTCGGAATCTAAAGTTTTAGATCTGTATAAATATGAACAAGACTTAAAAATTAGTTTGCCAAAGAAGTTTCACTTCTGACATGTGTACTTTGTACGCACGCACTTTTTTTTAATAGATAGTTTTACCGGTTCAGTCCCCAAGTGCCACACTTTTTTTTATTGTTTCCACGAGCGAGTGTTAAATGCGCACAAAGAAAAGTCCATTAGTGCAAGTCGTGATTCGAATGCACGTGAAGAGATATCACAAACAATTTTTTCCGATTCAACGTGAACAAATATCCCTCTATTTATAATTCTGACCAAAATTACCTCATGCAACGCAGCGTGTATTTGTGCATCGCTATACTTCTGTTCTGGATCCAAGTTGTCCCTCAGCGAAGCTGCGAATAATGCCGGTCTCTGTGGCAAAGCGCAAAGACGGGATCTCCACGCGCGAAGACCAGCCAACTCCGCTGACACCCCGTCCACTGATACCTTTCCAGTTATCTTGTTCAATCTGGAAATTTACATATGTTTAAGGTTTCGGCTGGATATCTATATATATATTAGAAAAATGGTCTTCGTTTGAGGCTCATTCACGCCTAAACCACTGATCGTATCGACATGAAACTACTGCCTAAACATTTTCCCTAGATGGTTTATGGCTATTTATTTTTTTAAATTCCAACGTTCCTTCATTTTTTTATAGCTGTTTTACTTTTATGAAAATTTATACATACGGACTTCACCGCGGAAACATTCGGGGAGGCTTCCTAGAACTAGAACCTCAAAACGTCAACATCTGTTAAAAACTCGATTATCGAAAATTTTCAATTTTCTTAGCGGGAATTTAAAAAGAAGAATAATAAAAATATGAAAAAATAATAATAATGAAACATAAAATTTTATCTATTTTAATTCGCCCAGCAAAGCGGGCGGCTAACGGCTAGTTTATTATATATAAATATATCGCGGACTTTTTTGTAGATATTGATGTCTTCTAAAAAACTGTAGTACATCACTTTGTTCTATTGTCAATAGTTTCTGCAGCGTATACGATATAGGTAGTTCTTCATTCATATCTATAACTATATAGCCTGTATAACACACTTAACAAAGAAAAGTATTTTAATAAGTTCTATAGTCACTTCTAAATAATCTGAAATAGTTTTTAAAATCTTGTCAAAAAGTCGGACGTAAAACTGGATTAGAACAACAATTTTAAGCTTACCTAAACAGAGCTGCAATAAGAGAACTCTTTCCTGCTCCAGTTCTTCCAACCACAGCAACTTTTTCCCCTGGCCGTATTGAGAAGTTAACACCCCGAATGGCGTACGACGTTTCATCTATCTTAGGAGCTGGTTCTGTTGCTTCTTGCTTCGGCGGTTTCTCGTACTCCAGTGATACATCTTCGAAGACTATTTCTCCTGAAAATGTCAATAAATATTATTAAAAAATATATCACAGCTTTACTTTGTACAGACTCGAAACTATTACAAAAATTTCGTTTTACAACTGAAATCCTAGACAAACAAAAGGAAACGTCAGCGACAGCTCGTCACGTCACCATTACATAGTTAATTGCCAGTTCTTCTCTTCCGTTCTACGCCCTTGATTTGAGAACTGGCAGTAAATGTAAAATTAGAAGCATTTAATGTATATTTCTTTTTTGACGTTCATAAGTGTTACCTATATGAATAAATGATTTTTGACTTTTTTTTACAAAACACGCTAGGCCAATTGGGCCGTTTCACGTCTTCCCACAAATATCTCGTCTAGGTTAAGTCGAATTCGTAAAATTAATTTAAAAATGTTTCCCAGAAACAGAGAAAGAGAAGCAGGGCAGAAACTATACATTTGTTTTTTTATTAAAACAGTTTTATAGACATACCGTGATCAGGCCATTCTTCAAAGTTCAAGTTCGGACACTCAGCTTTCAACGCTTTCTGGTCTGGTTCTACCGGCATCTCTGGAGGTAGATTGGTGTATTCTAGAATTCTTTCAACCTGAAATAGACAAGATATTGTATTTTAAACTTAAATTAAAGCGAAATCGTACCTTGGGGCTAAATTGTATTTGTTCATGGAGAGAATATTATAGAATTTGTGGCGAACAATAATACCACTCCAGTTTTCCATCGAGTCGGTAATTTTACCGCTATGTGTGACGGAACGGGCGCGCTGCCTGCAGCCTGTCGCAATGCGAGCAGCGGACGGTGCGAAATTATCTACCAAACGCGAAAGTTGTGTGCACGAATACCATTTGATAATTTCAATATGAGCGTTTAAGACTTTAAGAAGTTTTTTTTCCTTCTGTAAGAAGGCAGTATAAATTTAATGACAGAAATCTTACTCTCGTCGCATTCTAAAACAGAAATAGATTTGCCGGGAATTTAAGCTAAAACCCAGAAATTATTTACTAAATATTCAAAAACGAGACGGCCTAAATATCTTATTATTGTAATTTGTACTGATTTTTGCAACGAAATGTGTTAAAACGAATGTCTTAACCATTCTTTGTATGGCACACGACTCAAGCAAACGTATCTGTAATCTACCAGTCCAATAATAGAGATATTTAACATATTTAGTTATTTGGATAATTTTGCATACATATATACCATTCACGCATTACAAGTTGCAGCTTTAAAAGCGTGACAGAATTGTATTGCCAGTTCTATTTCGATTTACGCCCTTGATTTATGAATAGACAGTAAAAATTTTGAAACTTTTTTAATGACGTTCATAAGTGACCATGTTACCGATGTTACCGTTATAAATAAATGGTATTGTTACAGAATATGTTGTAGTAGGCACTCGTTATTAAAGATTGTCTGTGGGTGTACTGTTCCTGGGTCATCACTCATCGGGGTGCTTTAAATAATAGCAGATTTTAGTTTTACTCTAATTTACCATTCGCGTACAACAAAAGAATATAAGCGAAATAATGAAATGTCACTTGCTATGTAACGAATGAATGCAATGTAACAGTAGAAGAGAGTGCCTTCGCCTGGCTATATTCTCGGGGCGTAACTCCGACGATTTAGGAATTCGCCACGCTTATAGTTTTATAGTTTTTTTTTTAATTTCTTCTCTTCTCTCTTCTTTCTTAATTTTTTTAATTTAAGAAAGCCTTAGTGAGCATAATGTACAACCTTGGCTCGTACACTGGGTTAGTTTTATTAAAGGTAATATTTGCTTTATAAATAAAATTATGCTTACAGATGTCATCTGATTCTCGACTTCAGCGGTTTGCCGCATCCCATACTGACACATACCCACGAGACCTATCACTTGAGTTATCGCCAGACCCACATTTCCACCCATCGTTCCTGAAATTATCATTTTTTATTATAGAATAGTCTTTGTCCAACAGATTTATTGCCTTAGTTTTTGGCCAATTTAATAGATCTCATTTGATATCTGTGAGTTTAAGCTGCTTTAAATCTCGATTAAAGCGAATGAATCGATACGGATTTGTTTATATTAGTGCGACCACATGAGAAACACTTTTCTCTTACATTATACATACCTATTCTAAGTGTTATATTAATTGTGTACAATTTTCTTAACCTACATAGTAATAATAATAATTAAAAATTGATAAATAGAAAATAAAAACCAATTTAAAAAGTTTGGTCCCTGTGGCAGAGTGCCTTTAACGCTGGCAGCATTTCCTCGCTGTATTGCGATAATTATTCTTTGAGCGAGGAAAGCACCAGCTCTGGGTCACTAAACTATCTACCAGGCGCCAACTTAAATCTTTAATTAGCGCCTGTGCACTTGAACCCCACGGCCCAAGAGTCTCTAATATAGTATTATGTCTGTTGTGGTAAACTTCAATAAATAAATATACAATGTGTCAGATGTGATCTCTTAAATTGGCCGTACTATACACATCGAATGTTTGCAACCTATAAATAACATAAAAACTAGCAAAAACAAAATCATGTTTTAACTTTTCCAATGAAGATAAAACTGCAACTCACCATCGCTGGCGAAGAGGAAAAAGCTAAAAGTGACGGTAGCCAGATAAAGACAGCAGACCATGTCCATCCAGAATCCAAAAGCTCTATTTGTTGTGAGTACCAGGGTCCACGAACAGCTGTGGAGGTCTTGGAGCTTGTCAAATTCACGTGCGAGTGTTCGTTGCTGTTCGCCCGTCGAACGGATCGTGGCTAGGCCTGACACAGTCGCTGCCGCATGGTTCAGGCTTTGACTCCGGGCTACAGAAAACAGTGTAAAATTAATTCCTTTATTTGTAATAAAATACAATAAACTAATATAATAGTTGTAACACATACCTATAGCTTCAATTCTCTTTAATTCTCGACTGGTGCTGAGGAACAGAGCTCGTAAGAGAAAGAGAAGGAAAGCTACACCCGCCGTTGGGAATAGCAGCCACCAGTTCACTAAACACACCACTATCAGGATACCTATAACTTCCAGGAAGAACTGAAAAATCATTTTATGAAATTTAATAAAAAATTAAATATACATTTTTTTTTATTTAAACTTCGTTACATTAAAATAAAACAAATAACATAAATTATTAGGACTGCAATGGGCGGTCTTATCGATAACAAGCGATCTCTTTCAGGCAACCCAAGTAAGAAAAAGAATTAAGAATAAAGTGCAAGAAGTGCATATCGAAATCAACAAAAACAAAATTATATTATAAGAAGGGTTAGAACTGTCAGATATGGTTTTAGTGGTATTGTGAACTGGCTATCTCATACAGCCTGAAGTATCCCAATGGTAGCGGGCTGTTCGGGGTATTTCTCCGAGAAGTCGCGGATTAAGTTTAAGGAATTAAATATTATAACACTATCTGGTAAATATATTCTTAAGGCCTTTTTTGTGGCCAAAAAAAAAAAAAATTTTTTAAAAAAAGGGGGTGTTTCCCCCCTTTTTATAAGGAAAAAAAAAAATTTTTTGGGGGGGGGCCCCCCCCCCCCCCAAAAAAAACCCCCCCCCTTTTTTTGGAATTTTTTTTTTTTCCCCCCCCCCCCCCCACCAAAAAAAAAAAAAAAAAAAAAAAAAAAAACACACACCAAAAAAAAAAAAAAAAAAAAAAAAACAAAAAATATATTAAATAAATAAAAAACAATTTAAACTTCCGGGCTGGGGGGGCTTTCTTCACCCCCAATTTTAAAAAAAAAAAAGGGGGGGAAAGGGGGGGGGGGGGGGGCTCCCCCCCCCCCCCCCCCCCCCCCCCCCCCCCCCCCCCCCGGGGGGGGATATTTTTTTATTTTATTTTTTTTTTTAATTTATTTTATATTTCCCCAAGTTTCCCCCTCCCCCACAATTTTTTTTTTGGTGGGGGGTTGTGTGGGGGGGGGTGGGGGGGCCTCCCCCTCATTACGATAAAAAGGTATAATATAACATTTCTGTATTTAACCAGATAATCACAAGGTTATTGTTCGTGTCTAGAAAAATATTAAATTTGTAATTTTTTAAGGGAGTAAAATTTAAGATTAAGAGGTAATAATCTACATTACAGCATAAATAAACGTCAAATAAAAAAATAAAATAAATCAGTGGCGCTACAACCTTTTTAGGTCCTGGCCTCAGATTTCTGTATCTGTTTCATGAACATTTATCAATCTAATAGGCGAGTAGGTGATCAGCCTCTTGTGCCTGAAACACGCCGTCGACTTTTTGGATCTAAGGCAAGCTGTTTTCCTCACGATGTTTTCGTTAACCGTTCGAGCTAATGTTATATGCACACATAGAAAGAAAGTTCATAGGTGCACAACCGGGATCCAACCTACGATCTCAGGGATGAGAGTTGCACGCCGAAGCCACTAGGCTAACACTGCTCATTAATAAACGTTACAAAGCTAAAATCAGAGTAAATGTAAAAAAAAAAATGTAATTTAAAAAATTTGGTGATATTACTAATAAATGTTGGAACAGAGCAGAAAAATGAACTCACTCCAAGACAGTCCACCAAGGCGACGGGCAGCAATGTGTCAACTTGGCCCATATCCTTCGAGAACCGGTTGAGGATCCTTCCAGACGGATTGTGGTTGAAAAACCACATTGGTGCATTCGTTACCCCCCTGAAATGAGTAATTTATGTCAATGTCGTTCTAGGATTTCTTGTGTTCTTTTTTCTGTTATGATACTCCTCTGATTGCATCCGTTTCTTCGATGATTTTTATTTTATAGACAAGTAGGTGGCCTTCTGTGTCGGTTTCTACACAATGTTTGTCTTCACCGTAGGAAAGTGCTAATTTTGCATATAATAAGTTCCTGCTTAAGCTACTATGCCACCACAGTTCTCGAACGAAATGTAGCTTGTAAAAAATATTTCTGGTTAAAAATTTGATTCGATAATGGTGTTACACACTTCAGCGTAAGTATGTAACGCAGCAATGTAAGAAGAGAAAAGAAAGAAATGAATCTCTGAAAATGCCAGCATCAAGCGTTTTCTTTGGCGTTAACCCTACCTTATACGCCCTATATAAAGATTTATTGACACAAAGCTAAACAATGAATAGAAGCATGATGGAGAAAAAACTTTCTGACAGAATAATCACATCAACTATAGAAAATCACACAAAACTAAAAGATGTAACTATTACGATTAAAAAACTAAAACGGAAGTGGGCTGGGCATACCATCAGAGGACAGTCAAAATGGAGCAAGTCATTAATGCATTGGTACACAGGTCACATGAAGAGGAAAAGGGGTAGACCATTCCTAAGGTGGGTTGATGATATAAGAGCCGTGGCACATGGACCCGAACTGCCCAGGTCAGAAATTTATGGTGGGATTTGGAGGAGGCCTTTGCCAACAAAAGGCAAACAGACAAGGTTGTCGAGGGAATGTAAATATTCACCTATATTTAAGTTAATTTTTTCAACACTAAATATGTATATTCTAGCTTAAGTAAAATTGTATATTGTCTGAATAAATCTTTTATTATTATTAATCTAAACAATATGCTGTCTCCGACACTATCGACATATTTATATGTTCGCTGAGTGAATTCACAGTAGCGATATTGTCTACATTATTTTTTAATTTTTCTCAACATTGCTGTATTGGCATATTCTGTAAGGAAGTATTTCTGTAATAAATAAAATAAATAAATACATACCTGAACATTGTATCATGGAGCTGTACAGAAGCACGAATGCAGGTGTTGTAGAAAACCAGCAGTTTGTTCCAGGTGAAGAACATACAAATGCCGATAAGTGAGGCGTATATGTAGACACACTGTTCGCGTGTTAGGTGCCAACGGTTACGGGGTAGGTTTTCGTATATAACTAGAAACAAACCAAAAATTATTAGGTTTCCGTATATAGGCTAGAAAAAAAATTTATTAGGTATCCGTATATAGGCTAGAAAAACCAAAAATTATTAGGTTTTCGTATATAACTAGAAACAAACCAAAATTCTATATAAAAGAGTGTCGTGTTATTTACACTATTATAAATAGTATAACTAACGGCTGAACTGGTGTAACAAAATTGGAACTGGATTCCCTGTGTCCCTGTGGGCAGCTATAGCGACCATTAGAGCAGATCCGGGCCCCACTCCTATTTTCTGACGGATGAAATGTGGACGATTGGGTAGTGTTGTATGTACTATGATCGTATGCCTACCTCTGCTGCTAGCTTGGTCAAACGGCCAATTTCCAGGTATCAGGTAACAAGTACACAAAAACATTACTTACTTCACTAAATTCTCATGGCTGATTTTTATATATGTTTTCGAGTGTATAGTTAAAAATAAATTGTCAATACTCCCAGACACTTTCCGTCGGCCATATTGCTTGACAGACGCTTTAAGGGTCTCAAAATAATTAGTCAACCTCGCGTAAATTCCGAGCGCTCCATTTTTATATATGTTTCATCCGACAACTATTTTAAAAGCTTTGACAAGAAGACAGACCGATCCAAGGGCCAATCATCCCCTAAACTAAATTTTAATATCTCTGTGAGTGGGAGCGCGAGAGATTATCTACGCGCATGTAATAGAGACTGCGCTGTTAAAGCCATGAAAATTACCAACAAGCATTTCACCGTTTTGGTACGTTGGATTTTGTTGGTGATGTAGATGAAGAAGATGTATTCAACATAATACAAAAATTTATCTGTGATGTTTAACGTTCCTGAATAATTGATGTAGATGCCGCCAGACTACAACAGAAACGAAAATAATTTACCTGATTGTTCTTCCAGCGACTCACTGACAAACCCCGGTAATTGATCTCCATCGAACCAATGAAAATCATATTTACCATCTTGTAGTGTCCAGCCATTGTTTTCGGGGTTGAAAATATTTATCATCTTCGTACTTGCATTGTTCCAAAGACTAGCGATATAGCTAGCCGTCGAAACTGTTGCCCAAAGCTCACTTTTACAAGGTGGTAAGTTACTGGCATCGAAGTTTCTTAAATTCTTTCCCTGATTGAATTCTTCATTTATATCAGATACCATGTATGTATTAATAAACAACTGTAGTCTGGCAGCATCTACACAATTATTCCAGGAACGTGTAAACATTTATTTATTTATTTATTTATTAACACTTCGCTCCCAAAAACATAAATCAAACACAATACAAAAAAAAAAAAATTAAAAGGATGCAACGGGCGGCCTTATCGCTAATAAGCGATCTCTTCCAGGCAACCCTAGTTAAAGAAAAAATAAAAAAAAAAAAAACATATTCGTGCAGAAGTGCAGTAACAAATGTTATATAAAAAATATATATATATACAGAGTACCTTAATCTAAAGTAAAAAAAAAAAAATAACAATAGACTAAAAACTTAAAAGCTAATCTTACAAATACATGGACAGCAAATAGTGATGTAAAAGGAAACATAAGATTTATACAAGTCACGATTGATCAGGATAGGATAAGGTTAAGTAATGATTATACAGAAGAGTTTTAAAAGATGACAGAGAGGTAGCCAATCGTCGGAGTCGGGAGCGTATTCCACAACTCAATGGCGGAGATCGTGAATGAATTGCCTAAGAAGGATGAAGTGTGAGATGGAATTTCCAATAAACATCTATTAGAAGAGCGTAACATATAGTTAGAAGGACCTAAGAATTTAAAGTGACTTTTGAGATAAGAAGGGGTTTTCGGATTGAAAAGAATTGAGTATAGGGAGTTGAAGAAGATGAGCGTGACGTCTGAATCGAATAGGTAGCCACCCCCAGCTCCTCGGAATTTAGACACATGGTCATATTTCCTAAGACCAAATATGAACCGTATGCAGAAATTCTGCAGGCGTTCGATCTCTGTCAAGTAGCTCTTCGTTCAAATCAGTGGAGCATGAGTCCGCATAATCGAGAAGGAAGCGAAGAGACTGCGCTAACATAGTTTTAGTGCAGATAGGAAGGAAATTAGAAAGACGTTTCAGAGTAAAAGAAGCGGCGTAAAGTTTACGGCTGATCTCCTTTACTGATGACCCCAGGAAAACGTTTGGTCGAAGAAGACCCCAAGGTTTTTAACAGTCTTATTGAGGGACACATCTTACATCACAGATAAATTTTTGTATTATGTTGAATACACGTTCTTCTTCATCTACATCACCAACAAAATCCAACGTACCAAAACGGTGAAATGCTTGTTGGTAATTTTCGGCTTCTAACAGCGCAGTCGGTCTCACTCAGTCACATGCGCGTAGATAATGCCTCTCGCGCTCCCACTCACAGAGATATTAAAATTTAGTTTAGGGATGATGATGTGGCCCCTGGATCGGTCTGTCTTCTTGTCAAAGCTTTTAAAATAGTTGTCGGCTGAAATATATAAAAATGGAGCGTCAGAATTTACGTGAAGTTGACTAATTATTTTGAGACCCTTAAAGCGTCTGTCAAGCAATATGGCCGACGGAAAGTGTCTGGGAGTATTGACAATTTATTTTTAACTATACACTCGAAAACATATTTAAAAATCAGCCATGAGAATTTACGTGAAGTAAGTAATGTTTTTGTGTACCTTGATTACCTGATACCTGGAAATTGGCCGTTTGACCAAGCTAGCAGGTAGGCATACGATCATAGTACATACTAACACTACTCAATCGTCCACATTTCATCCGTCAGAAAATACGTGACGTCTGGCGGCCCTGGGATAGTCGACCATTATGATTCAGATCACAAATCTTATTTATATGTCTATCTCGCTCGCACTAGCAGTTCTTATGATGGTGTAGTGATGTGCGTAAGAATTGTAGAGGTGCATATCGATAAAGCGATAGGTACGATCGATTGTGTTGTTTCCCATTTTGTAAAACGTTGCGGGGCGAGGATTGAATTACGCGTTATTGTTAATATTATTTTCGACTTTTCAGTACTTTACACCACATAATGGTTTTAGGTATAAAGAGTCACTGGGTGGCGTGACCACACCAAACGTTCTACTATTCATATTGAAAAGCATTATTTGGGAATACCCACACAAAAGTAAAACAATTGTTTAAAAATATATGTAGTAATTACGACCGGTTTTTAGGAAATAGGAACCGGGTACAAGAGTGTTACCTTCAGGTGTCGTTGTAGCGTTGTTTCGTATCGCTATGACCTGAGCACTATTTGACTCTTCCAAGTTTACCCTGAAATAAAATGATGGTTAGAAAATATTCTAAACAACTTGTTTCAATCATAATCGTACTATAAGCCTTGATTAGTTATTAGTTAAAGACTGTTAACTGGTATTATTTAATTAATTTATTAACACTTTGTTGCAAACAGAACTATAATATAATTGGCTTAATTAAATGAAAAGGAGGGCAACTGGCGGCCTTATCGCTTTTGAGCGATCTCTCCCAGGCAACCAATGTAAGAAAAAAAAATTAGATTAGGCAAGCGCAAGAAGTGCAAACATACATAAGACATATAGTTATTTAGATTTAGAGATTTGGATGGCGTAGTCTTGCTCTTTCGTGAATTTTGTAAACGTTTTTGACATTCATAAGCATGCCCTAAGACGCATCGCGCATAAACGTATTTTGATTTTATGATTTTGAGACAAAAGGAATGGAACAAAACAGATCAATTAAGACATATGTAAACAGTGAACAGGACTTATGAATAAGGAAGTGTTATAGTGGAAAACTTACCATTCTTTCAGCCAGACGTCAGTAGACGAGTAGAACACCTGCGCTACTAAAAACAGTGAGAGTAGAAGTAGCATTGTAAACTTCCCACCGCCGCTCGCTATGTACGAAACGTACACGCCACTTGATACTGACCCCTTGTTTTGACTTTCACCTGTTGATAAAGAATTATATATCTATTTCACTCATAACATTTCAAAATTTAAAAAAAATCGAAATTCAAAATCATTTATTCATATAGGTAACACAATGTACACTTATGTACGTCAAAAATGAAATATATATGAAATGCTTATAATTTTCCATTTACTGAAAGTTTTCAAATCAAGGGCGTAGAATGGAAGAGAAGACTCCGACTCTTTTGAATCGCCAAGTTTTTTGTTTTACACAATTATTTATTTTACCAAAACCTTCTTTGTATGTATTACTCTTGTAATACATACAAAGAAGTGATCTTCAAATGCTAGTTTAAATAAACCGTTGGGCCAATTTTCTCTTTTATAGAAAAGGTGGCAAACGGGCAGGAGGCTCACCTGATGTTAAGTCACACCGCCCGCCCTCTCTCAAAATCAAAAAAATATGATATGATTCCTTCGAAAGTCGCCTGAAATATTTCCTAAGCCTTTAGGCTTAAGTTTACTTAATTAAAACGAATTTTTGACAATTAGTTCTCGGTATCAGTTGATACTGAACCAGCAGCACAACTTGAACATATCCAGGAACATAACACTTAGCATGAGAATTTTTTGTTTCTTAATCCTAAATAAGCTAGCAAATCATACGCACCGAATAAGCTTACATCTGAAGCAGCATGGAATGATTAATGAATGATTTATATAGCAGGTAACAAAATATACATGGCTCTAGCTATCTATTGTTATCTATACATACACAAATGTAGATTAATACACAGACTTTTACAAGCAATAGTCAAACAGCCCAACCCAGAAATAGTCACCATTTCATTTAATATTGTCTTTTATTGACATAACCTTTACACATTTAAAGAAAAAACTTTTTAACCGGATTAAAGTTATGTATATTAAATAAATTTACAATTATTTAACATAATCTTAAATTTATCCGACGTTTCGCGTGCTTTACAGCGTGCGTGGTCACGGTGACTGAAGACAAAAGGTGTTGGATGTCAAAAAGTATCACAGCTGTATAACTTTAATCCGGTTAAAAAGTTTTTTCTTTAAACACCATTTCATTTATTGAAATTGTTTGACTTGAACTGTAGTAGACAAATTTGAAGCACGGAAAAGAAAGATATGCTTTTAATCATAAAATAACTTTATTTTTAAAGACTATTGGTGCAGGCCACTATAGGAGGTCCTTTAAAAAAAACACGCGTTAAAAGTTATACTTCTTTGGCGTAACAAGATAAAAATCTTTTTAAGTTCTATCTTTCGCCTTATTCTACGTATGTAGAAAAAGTGACACTTACAATAGAAAAAATTTACTCTTATAATTTTTCCCTAACCGCCAAAAGAACCTCTAAACTAAAATTCTTTTTTTTATTTCATAGTATACCAATTAATCAACATTTCCAAATTATAAGTATTACAGCATATTTTTTATTTTTTATAATGTTTTTGTTTTTTACTAGATAAAATAAGTTTTTGTAATTTCTATCATAACTAGCAAAATATACTTAAATACGTCTCCAATACTTAGTTTATACGGTTTCCTATTAATATTAAAACAAGTTATATTTTGTTGTTATTCATTTAGTGGGGTACTTTCGACACACTAGATGGGGCACATTTAAGAATTGTACAACTAAATTTCTATGAAAATATTTTGTCGACACAATTCATTTTCATACAAATTAAGTTTTCGACTTCTACATACAAATAATATGGTAGGGGACCCACATCTAATGGGATTTACTCAGCTCGTAAGACCTATTATCAAATTAGATAATAAGAAGAAAAAAATTTATATATAAATTCTTTTCATCGGTGGGGGAACGCTATAGATAGTTAAATATGTAAAAAAAACTTTGCATGGACATCTCAGCCGTAGATATTGATAGCATCTATGCCCTACGTATTTTTAATAATGTACTATGTTAATCTGATCGTTTCATGATGCGGGTGGTTGTATTTAAGGGTTGAAAATGAAAAAAAATAATTTTATCAGCGCTCAGATTTTCTAAGGAGTTTAATCACAAAAAAACTCTTTCCTAATCTACATTTCGATGGACCAAACCCAACCATTTTCATAATTTCAAAAAAATCGCAATTTTGAAATACTCAAGCCTCAGATTAAGATATATGTGTTCATCTTTATGTTCTAAACGTACTGTTCATAATCTACGATTATCTAGAGGGATTCGCCTGATCTGACAAAAAAATTTAGAAAAACGTTCACCTAAACCATCCCTCAACTTCCCCTAATTCCATTCCTGGCGCTTAAAATTGATATTTTGAGTTCGCTAGTTCAAAGAAATAAATTTCTTCATTTGATCTCCCAGTCAAAGTCTATAGAAGTTTCATAGAACACTATTTTTGGAATTTTCAAACCCAATAAATTTAATGGATAAGCAATTTTCACGCGGTTCGGCATACCATTTTTATCATCCTCTAAGTAATTTTGCAATTTTAATTGATCGAACCACAAATTTCGGAGTAATCCCGAATAAACACTTTTTCGGGTTTCTTTCGTTACGATATTCTCGAACGAATCAACCGCTTTTGACCACTTAGTGGCGATCAACGTGGTTTTTCAAGCTCAAAGGCGGATTAGTTTTTGAAGTTGATCGATAAAGAAACCACTTTAAAAAAAAATATTTCTTAATTTTTTAAGATTTTTCAAAATTTCTCAAAATCTATCGTTTCGAATCGGTTCAAATTCACAGGAAATGTAATTTTGAGGGAAATATTTAGAACGCCGTTTAGTAGATTCCGATCGGTTTAAGGAAATGTAGCATCACGCAGCTCACGCATTTAACTTTATCGACGAATTTTTGTTATTTCGGCTTGCGGAAATCGTCAGATTATATATTTTTCATTATTCTTGAATTATTTCCTTCAAAATAAAAAAAAATTAGCTACGCTCCAATGTCGAGATGACGTTTTTTTTACAACTTTTTGCCCTCCCTTTTTCCGTCACTCTCAAATTGTCAGATTAGTGGAATATACACTTTTTAGGATGTAATTAACTCACCCTACCTTAATCTATCCTCGAATTTTATGGTCAATTTTTTTTTACTAATCTGATCCTGTCTCCTTCACAGCGGCCTTATATATGGACCTCATGTTTTGTGGAGGTACTTAACCGAGTACAAGCTATCCCCCTTATATTAATCTGCCCCTTTAGTAAATCCCGAAATCCCCTCTTGGCTCCCTACCATAATAAGGCATCTTGACTAAACCCTCTGGTAGGTAGGAAAGATTGTGTTAGTGTGCTAATTGCTAATATTTGCATTAACTTTGTCCTGTGTTGCTATCATTTCTATCGTCTATGTAAATATATATTAATACCTATTTTTATTATCTTTTATTAAGGTTGATTTTGATGCCTGTGAACCAGATGCTTTAAATAATTTACCAATCCATCAAATAGTAGTCAGTTTTGACACCAGAAGCGTTTCGACCCTATCCGCATGTTGTAAGAAGTAATAAAACAAACAAAATACACACGGCCAAAACCACAATTTATACACAGATTAAAAAATGTGATTCTAAATATTAAGATACCTAACTAATTAAAATTTGTTTTTCTTAAGAAAAAGCTATGTAATTTTTGTTCACTATAAGAAAAGTATTTTTATTTTTTGTTTAATAGAAGTTAAATCTTTTATTTTTGTGTTTAATTTCATTGCTAATAAATGAATTTTTGATTTATATTTGTCGCTTTAATCGCACGTACGGAACTACCCCACAGCGTACGAATGTACCCCCAACACTGTACGAAGGTGCCCCGTTGATGGGGCAGATTCGTACGTTTTCCAGATTTAGTTTAAATCATAATTATGGTTAAACCATCAGATGAAATCAATTGTCATTTTCTTATAAGAATCTCAGATAGTTAGACTGTAAATTTAAGCTTGCAGATGATTGATTCATGGAAAAGAAAAAATAAAAAATAAAATGTGAAAACCGTACGAAGGGTCGACCTTCCCCTATAACTTCAAAAAACAAAAATGTTGACTATAGCTAACTTCAAGGTGTCGATTTTTTGTGACGGTGTGCGCGCGCATCGTTAAAATTTACTCTCATAATTTTTCCCTAACGCGCCAAAAGAAGTATACAGTATTATTTCTGTATACAAATTACATGTGTGTATATTTTGGATGAATGTTTCAAGGAATTAATTATTATTGCTATACAGTAAGGCTAACAGAAATTGCATATATTTTTAAGAGTGTATAAAAACAGAATAATAAATACATACCTTCATATTTGGGATCTGAATTATTGTCTAAATCCAGATTGAATGACAGCTGTGATGCTTCCGACATTGACCGTTGGGAGCGAAGAACGTGAGAGTGCTCCTAAAACAATAATAATCTTCATTACTCAAAATAATTAATCTGACAGGCTTGTACTTTTGTCGTAAACTTGGCATTTAAGAATCCGGTTCGAAGGACCTTTTTTATGGAAATATATTTAAACTTACTTTAATTATTACTTTATATAAAAATTAAATAAATCAGTGGCGCTACCACCTCTTTTAGGTCTGGGCCTCAGATGTCTGAACTGTTTCATGATCATTTTTAAATGATGAATAGGCAAACCGGTTTCCTCACGATGTTTTCCTTCACCGTTGTTAAATGAGCACATAGAAAAAAAGTCCATTGGTGCACAGCAGGGGATCGAACCTACGACCTCAGGGATTATTTTATATACTATAAGTAATAATAATGAGTAGAACATAAATATACCTAAAACTGCCGTGAAAAATACAAGAAAATATATTTTATAAACTTTTCTAATGAAATTAAATCGATTAATTTCTATAAATTCTAATATACTCTACTAATACAATATAAACTACTAAGAATCTACTGTAGAGAAGAAAAAATAGAATACATGATCACTCCTTATAGTTTCGGCTTTCGATGGATCCATTTTGATAATCACACTGTATACCTTTAAATAGACAAATAATTATAATTATGACGTACGGAATTTGATATTTTTTTTATATAATAAATGACCTGTGTTTTGTAAAACAACAGCCTTTTGTTGTTGCAAGAATCGAACCCGCGACCACCGAATAAACAATTTCCAAAACCACAATAATTAAAAACACTAACCATACTCTCCTTATTCTCATATGACGTCACCTTCTGCTTCTGCTTCTCTTCTTCAACCCTTTCTCCCATTTCTATAAGCTGTTCAAACTCTGGTACGCCATTTTTGAGTTCATGGTATGATCCTTGTGCCACCATCTGTAAAAATGTATTGCTCGACTTACGGTTAAGGATAAATAAATTTTTTAAACTTTAAATCGGTTTTTTTAGTTACTGTTTTAAAACATATCTTATACTCTGATTTTTCATTCCGTAGAATTCTGACATTTCATAAGTGTTGCTACTAAAAAAGTTCTCCACCGGAAAAGGGACCTAATACAAAAATAACAAATATATATACCTAAGTATAGTTAAACTTTAAGAAAAAATGTTATCTTAACTTGTGCGTTTTTTACTGTTTGTGATGAAAAGGGACGTAATTATCACTCGCCGTAAAACCACTTTTAATGTGGAGCACCGCACTTAATAAAATGGATACATTAACTAACAATAACATTTATGTATAGACGATGTTCAGACTCGTATTGAAATTGAAAAATGTACCCGGCAAAAAAGGTTTGCTATCACTGACATGTCAAAAAATGATAGCTGTCAGAATTCTACGGAATTAAAAAGCAGAGTAAAGATCTTATTCATAAACATACAAGTCTCAAATACTTTATCAGTATTTTGTCTATCTTATTTATTCTGAAAGTGAGGCAAGAGCGACAGGACGTCAAAAATCTTATATATAAAATTCTCGTGTCACAATGTTAGTTACCATACTCCTCCGAAACGGCTCAACTGATTTTTATCAAATTTTATACACATATTCAATCGGGCTGAGAATCGGCTACTATTTATTTTTCATATCCCTAAGTGATAAGTGTTGTCCACCCCTTATTTTTATTTTTGGGACGAAATTTTAATTTTTAATAATTTTTTTATAATGTGCCATTAAAAATACATACTTACAACCCTAAATTTTCACCCCTCTACGATGAACCCCTATTTTTTTATTACAGTAGATAGTTATTCTAATTGACCTAAAAAATGTTTCCAAGAAATAATGTAGGTACATGGCAAAACAACGTTTGCCGGGTCAGCTAGTATATATATAGAATGGACGAGAAAAGTTTATTAAAAGGAGAATTAACATAAAATCCGGCTATTTTTACTAACCTTTCCCCCTCTCATGACGCACACGTTGTTCGCCTGTCGTGCGTACTGTACGTGATGTGTTACCAATACAACTGCTTTGTCGCGTAGAAAACCACGTATACACTCTTCGTATATCGCTTGGGCTACCTATAATAACATTGGTATTCATAAATCTGTAGAGGTGTAATTATTGTCTATATAGAAATTTCTTAATTCCATTTGTAATATTGTCAACGTATCATTATTTCGTAATTCCACTTGCACGTGGATCAATCAGTCGCCCTAAAACCGCCATGTAAGTCAGAGGACAATAAAGACAGTGAATTCTATTTCGGTTTTCATTTTGGTGTACCTTAAACACTAAAAATCCAAAGATCAAACGCTTAGTGCGCTTAGGAACTGGAACGAATTAATAATTGAACGAATTATTATTATTAACGAATTATTTTTATGTTGTTTGGAGACATATTACCACATACTGCCGTATTGCAGTTCATTAAGTCTTGTTTCTGAAGGTTATCCTGAGTAAAAATATTTCAATAGCTCACCTGATGTTAAGTGATACCGCCATGGACGCTCAATGCCACAAGGCTCGCGAGTGCGTTACCGGACTATATTTTAGTTTTTGTCGCAGACAAAATTTACACGAATTTAGGGAACGTAAGTATTACATTGAATCACGTTCTTAAAACAGACTAAATAAACTCACTATCTATGGATCTAGGCGATCGTCGTAAAAACTATTCAATACTACATAAAAAGTTTACCTTAGCATCAACAGCAGCTAAGGGATCATCCAATAGATAGACATCAGCGTGTTGGTATACGCAACGCGCTAGGGAAATGCGCGCGCGCTGTCCGCCCGACAGAGATGTACCTATAAATTAACTCGTAATAGACTTGGTTCTGATAGTTTAAAGGTGACATTATTCATATGTGTAATTTCTTTTTCAAATAAACGCTTATATCGATAGGAATAATAAAAACAAGGTTTTTAAAGTTAAATATTATTATTGACCCGGTGAACTTCGTATCACCTACATATATTTGTGTCAAACCTTTTTTTTAAACAGATCAAATATATCGAAACTCGGACAGCTGTGAAATATAAATTTCTGAAGGCATCTTTATATATATGACAACCGAATGACAATTTGATATTTCTAAAAAGACAGTGACACCAAATATTTCCCAGGAACAGTTTTTATTCGAAAATTCAGTTGTTGTGTTATTTTTTCTTTATTTATTAGTTATGTTTCCCATCCTTTAAACCTTCCCCGAACTTCCACAAATGTTTCAAGATCATAATTAGCCAAATTGGTCCAGCCATTCGACTTTTAGCAGGACAAACGAACAGCAATTCATTTATATATATAATAATGTATATATATTATTACTATTGAAATAATGTTTAACAAATTTAACAAGTTGTTTAAAAAGTTTTTATGGAAAAAAATTACTATAAAAATTTGTAGCAATATATTATTAAATTAAATTACCTCTTTCCCCTACAACAGATTTGTCACCATGTGACAAAATTTCTAAATCGGTTTTCAGCTGACAACACTTTATCACTTGCTTGTATCTTCTCAGATCTAAGTCCTGTCCAAATAATATGTTCTGGCGAACCTGTTAATGGATAAAGTCAACTAAAAATATATGTTTAACATATTTCATAACTAAAAACTGTTTTTATTGATTATTTTTACATCTAGAATTAAAAAAATCAGTGGTGCTATTTAGTCGTCAGATTTCTGTATCTGTTTCATAATCAATAGACAAGTAAATGATCAGTCTTCTGTGCCTGACACACGCCTTTTTGAGTCTAAGGCAAGCTGGTTTCCTCACGATGTTTTCCTTCACCGTTCGAGCAGATGTTAAATGCACACCACTAGGCTGTTTTTTACATATATTATTATAATAATAATGACGTAGGTTTATATAATTTTGATTATCTAATACGGTAAGCCAGTGGATCAATAAAAAATCAGACACACAAGAAAGTTTTGCACGTAATTCAAAAATGATACTTACGGACGCATCGAACAACCACGGCTCTTGCGCAGCGTACGCCAAATTGCCGCGCACGTTGAGCGTGCCCCTACTAGGTATGAGTTCCTTCAACATCGCCTGTATTAGTGTGGACTTACCAGAGCCCACTGTGCCGACTATCACCGTGAGCGTCTCTGGTTTTATCTAAAAATAAATTTGATTTAATTTCTCTCAAACCTATTAAACCAATAAACATATGATTTCCTTTTAATTTCTTTGCAAAGTAGTGTAGAATAATAATGTTTGTAATACTCTTCCCTCTTACTCTAACTGTAAAAATTGTCTATAATATTTGACGTGACAACGCCTAATAAATCGATGAACGCCGGCGGCACGCACGAAAAAGCGTGACTCACTGTCCCGATACACTCATTGTACGTTTGCGCCGCATCTATCTCTCTTCCACTCGATTGGCCTATGCGTCCGAATTTTAATGAATTATCACAAAATAGTGATGATTCATTAAAAATGATTCAATTCAATTCATAAATGTATGCAGTAAATGACTGTTTTTTTTTCTCAATTTAATTCATAAAAGTATGCATCAATATTTTAGTTATGACGTTGTCACGTTAAACTATCGTCCGTAAACCGACTTTACAGACAACCATTTTTTTAATTATATACATTTCCAGAACTTATTTAAATTTTATTAATTTTAACACTACTACAGTGACATCAACTTGAAAAAAAACCCGAAAAAAACAGTCTGCGGTGTCGTCTGCGCTGTCATCACTACAAATGTTCGTGTACATATATAAAAACCTAACTTAAATTAAAATATAAAAACTATTTAATTTAATACATACCACTAAATTAATATCCATCAAAGCGGGTGTTTTTCTATCCGATACATCTTCTTCAACATTTTTCCAATATACCGTGTAATCCTTAAAATTGAGTAGAATTTCTGGTTTCAATTGTTCTAGATTTGATTCTGATTTTATGTAAGCCTGTTGCCTGAAAATTATATTTGTTTATAATAATTAATAACTACTTAATGCATGAAATAGGATGAAGAGCTAATATTATGTAGAATGTAAAGTATAAAGCTACATGAGAGCAGTGTTAGCCTAGCGTGCGACTCTCATCCCTGAGGTCATAGGTTCGATTCCCGGCTGTGCACCAATGGACTTTCTTTCAATAAGCGTATTTAACATTCGTTCGAACGGTGAAGGAAAACATCGTGAGGAAACCGGGCTTAGACCCACAAAGTCGACGGCGTGGGTCAGGCGCCTACTTGCCTATTAGATTGGCAAATGATCATCAAACAGATACAGAAATCTGAGGCCCAGACCTAAAAATTTGCCATTGATTTTTATAAAGCTACATGATAAGGCCACGTGGTACGTTACTTATGGAAATAATAACAACAAGTGGAGCGACAACCATATTGGTTATGGTCTCAGATACAGAACTGAAAAAATAGATAAGAAATTACGTAAGACTTACCCATTTCCAATCTTTTCAAACACACCATTACTTTTCATTTCTTTCTTTTCAATATTAATCAAATCGACCCCATCTTGATTTTCAACTTCAGGTAATAATAAAAATTCTTGCATCCGCTTCACACTGACATATGCCTCCAACGTAAACGTGATTGCCAGTGGCAAAAAATCAACTAACGTATATTTCAACATTTCATAATAGGAGAAAATAACAAAAACTTTGGCGGCAGTTAAATCGTTTTTGAACGAAATAAACGATATTATACTAATAAATATGGCAACTTTTGTATTTAATTTGACGCACGATATCATAACCGCCCGCAGCCATGACATCTTTTTTATGACATTCATTTCTTTCCTGAAAAATTACACAGTTATTAATGAAAATCATAGATTTCGGCAATTCATCGACTCTGAGATTCAAAAAAGAGAAACTTTGGAGGCAAATCTGAATTTGCGTCATTGTCCAAAGAGTAGTCGTGGTGAGTATTTACGATTGGATTGTAGATCCTGAAGGTTAGAAATGTAAAACGAAAGAGTTTAAGAGTGGTTCGGACGGACGTTAAAACTTGACACATGGCAGGTGTGAAACCGTATTGCACTAGATATTGTTGACCAAACGCTGTCAAACTGAGCGCACAATTGTTGTACCAATGAAACGCGCCATAGTTTCGACTTTTATTAATCTTCAACCCTGATTGAACATTTTTTTTCATAACTAGCACAGAAATCCAATATAACTTAGTTCATATATGATTTTTTTAAATAGTATATGGGTGGAAACGAGTCTACGGGACACCAAAAAACGACAGTCATTGCAACCCATAGACCTATTTTAGTGGGTGCGTGCCCTCAAGGGAGGACAATACTCTTTCTTTAAACTATCAGAAGTATTTCCCAGGGAAGACCACCATCGGGAGTCGATTCCACAGTTCGCTAGTTCGAAAAAAAAGTGTCTTGTGAAGCGGACCGTGGAAGGCTTCCAGCCATCATGGTGATGCTGATTACGTTATTAAATCAATTACTTTATTATTGATATATAAATAATTAACCGATTTCTGCTCATTTACCGTATTTTAAGCCGCGCAGGTAGCATTTTACAAGTTTTCAAGGCCGGCAACGCACTTCCGAACCCTCTGGCATTCTGAGTTTCCATGTTATCACTTAACATCAGATGAGCCTCCTATTACATAAAAAAAATACGTGGCAAACATAAGGAAACACTTTGCATACTCACTTCCGAGCTTTCCCAATTATATTAGCAAAAGCATTCTCCCATGCGTACATTTTAATAGCCTCAATACTTTGAATCACTTCGTTCATCAAACGAATTCTGTTGTCCGTACGAACAGCTGTTTTTTGACGGAAACGACTTGAAATCTTTCCCAAATAACCTGCAAATTTATATAAAACTATGCTTGTAGTATTCGTCGTTCTGAACTTTTCTACCCACGACTTAATTAACTGAACACTTAAATGGCGGATTTTAAAGCGATTACAAAACTTGCGTTAAAAAAGTACGCCTCTACTGCGTACGCGCAGTGCGCGCCAGACCACTGCGAGTTAGCGATTGAAATATGAGCACTCGTCACCCACCGAACGCTATCACTTCCCTTTCGCTAGCCCCTACTTGAAATTGATCTTTACTCTTAATTAATCTTTACTCTTAACTCTTTACATTCTTAATTTTTGTACATTTGTTTACGCTGTAATTGTTATTTAATTGTCCCGCTTTAAATAATTCACTAATTATTAAACTTAAAACAGTTCATAAAAAAACCTGGGTAAACGTATCGCAGAAATTTAGAGGAACTAGAGCGGGCTAGAAGAACTGGCAAAGATCTCCGCCACTCTTAAATCGCCAAGTTTTTGATATAGAAATTGTAATCGGAAACAAGGAATTTTAGAACAGTATTAGTCCAGCAGATGACATTTTGCCTACCACCCTAAATTATTGCTCCACAGGAGTCGAACCAACGATGTCAGTGGGACAATTACAATAATTAAAAACACAGAAACTACAAGTATTTTTAACCTTTAAACTGTCAACCGCAGTAAACTTACCCTGTAAAGGAATGAACATGATCAAGAAAGCGACTCCAATAATTGAAGAGATCCCAATCTGGCGATACATGAGGTAGACTATGATGACACTCTCTATCGGTGTCCTGACCAGATCAATCATGAAGAGACTGGCCATATCGAATCTTTGGGCATCCGTCGTCAGAAGATTGACCACGTGACCCGCTAAGCCTTCGGAGGCTTTGCCGCCAGCTGTTAAGTCTAGACGGAGAAGCTGAAAGCATATGACTCAATATATTGACTATATTTTAGATTTTTGTTTTTTTGTGACTATGTTGGTACGAATATCTATAACTTTTTGCTGTGTCAACCAAAGTCAAATTGCTTTAAGAAGATATTACCTTTCTATAAATTAAAGAACAGCAAGCCACCCTGATCTTCATACTCATGTCCAAGAGAAATAGTAACATTGGATGGATAAAACTGGCGTTCATCGCCATAAAACTGAAAATAATATTCACAACAATTATTACTGCTACATATATCGTAGGTCGATTATAGAATTCATCATTTCACGAAATGGCGATTGAAAACTCACAAAAAAATGGTTGTATGTAAAGTCGGTTTACGGACGATAGTTTAACGTGACGACATACGTAGTAACAAAACATTGATGCGGCGCACGCGTACAATGAGCATAACGGGACAATGAGTCATGCTTTTTCGTGCGTGCAGCCGGCGTTCATCGATTTATTAGACGTTGTCATGTCAAAACAATGTTACAACATTCACCTTATTCACCATAGGCGGGACTTAGAGCTGAGTATGACTTCCGTATGTCATAAACATACGTACATATATACATTATACGTACGGGGTCATACTAGTATTAAGTTTCGTCTATGAAACCAACACTAAGTTGTTTTTAATTCAAATTACAGTAATCCCCCCTATAACGCGATTTCCGACCCCCATATAACGCGGTATTACTATATATCGTATCACCTTGACGTCCGTCGTTCCACAACTGAGCGTTTTTTCTTAAGGCAATTGCTGCACCACTATGTGGAACCAGCTGCCCACTGAAGTATTTCCGAATCAATGCTACTTAGGGTCCTTCAAGAAAAGAGCGTACCAACTCTTAAAAGGCCGGCAGCGCGCTTGCGAGCCTTCTGGCAGTGCGAGTGTCCATGGGCGGCGGTATCACTTAACATCAGGTGAGCCTCCTGCCCGTTTGCCTCCTATTACATAAAAAAACGCGATTTCCTGTAACGCGGTCCGGGTCTACGACGTTATAGTGAGGTTTACTGTAATACTAAAGTTTTCTCATTTGTTTAAATTTTAATGAATATATAATATATAGTGGATATATATAACATAATAACTAACCTAACAACTCCAAGCGCATACAAGTACGCTTCGGATGTACTGACGCCGGCGTGAGACGGCGAAAAGTAATTAATAAGACCTTCGAGGCACATTGGCGTTGATATTCTGAAAATATACAATACACCTTCAACTAAGGTACTTCTCTTTCCGTCAAATTACGTTTACGCTGTGACAAAAAGAGATAGTTGAGAACTTCAATGCAATTAGACTAATTAAATTTTTACGAATACGGGTGTTGAGTTTAAAGAAGTTTATGAAAAAAAACATATGTGCAATTCACACGTGGTAGAAGTGAAACCTTCAAAAATTTTGGTTTCAAAATAATGAGACGAATGGCATTTTAATTTTTCAGTTTAATATCAATTACAAATTTTGATGAAAACTAAAATAGTTAATGTTTGAAAGTAGATGAAACGAAAAAGCGACAGTAAAAAGAGACAGACACATAAATTCATAACATTTAACGTGGGAGAGAACGAGATAGAAGCTGTGTGTATTTTTTGTAATTAAAATGCATGTTGTGTGCACAGCTGCTTTATGTTAATTAATTTTTGTCAATGTATAGTTTGTTAGTGGAAGTAATAGGATTATATTTTATATATTTATAGAATAGACATTAGCTTACCTAAGTGAAGTATCAACTAATGCAAATATTATATTCGATACAAGAAATTTAATTCCATATATCCTTATTATACAACGGAGCAGTGATGGCTTTTTTGTTTTATCTGTAACAAAAAATAATGGTTATAGTAATCTAAATAATTTAAATTGACGGCGTCTGTCAGACATACAAAGCTGATCACCTACTTGTTTATATGGTTGTAGTGGGTGCCATATTATTTTTTTAATTTAAAATGAAATCAAGTATTAATTTAAACTTAGCTACTTTTTTATGTAATAGGAGGCAAACGGGCAGGAGGCTCACCTGATGGTAAGTGATACCGCCGCCCATGGACATTCACATTGCTACAAGGCTCGATTTTGCATTACCGGCCTTCTAAACAAGCTGTCTTGTTCATAAGTTTTCATCAAAAAGTTTTTATTACAAGCGCTTTGTGATGAACTAATTAGTAATTATTGGTTATTATTAAATCTCCCAAACCAATATAACTTATGACGAAAGAAATTGGTATTACGAAACCTCAATATTAAAATATGATAGCTGTATGGATACCTTGTTTCATAACTTCATTTTTCCATACTTCACTCATTACATCACCGCGTGGGGCAGCTCTGTGACCTGGAGTACATCTGAAAGCATTTAAGACCTGATTAACAAGCTATCACCCGGCCCAAGGCAAAAGGGAGCACAGAATTCCCCAAACAGATCTGGCAGCGATCATTGCAGAGACTTGGAGTGAATTTAAAAATAGATGCCCAACAAAGAGTCAGTAACACTAAAACTAATTTTACTTAAAAATTATTTTAAACATGCACCATTCACCGCTGACTAATTCTTATCTTATATTTATATTATAAGAGCAGTGTTGGCCTAGTAGCTTCAGCGTGCGACTCTCATCGATTCGATCCTCGGCTGTGCACCAATGAACTTTCTTTCTATGTCCGCATTTAACATCTGCTCGGACGGTGAAGGAAAACATCGTGAGGAAGCCGACATGTCTTAGACCCATAAAGTCCACGGCGTGTCTCAGGCATTGGAGGCTGATCACCTAATTGCTTATTAGATTTTAAAAAAATGATCATGAAACAGATTCAGAAATCTGAGGCCAAGACCTAATGAGGTGGTAGCGCCACTGATTTATTTTTTAATTATTATCTAGTTACCCACAACACAGGACCTCCCTATGTTGGGACTAGAGATAGATGAATTTTGTGACAGCCTTATTTATGTCATGAAGTTTTTATTATTTATTATTATTACTCTAGAACACGGGCCTAAGACAGCATTTTGTCGCTATAGAAAGGTTACATTAAATACCTGTAAACATCGGATATGCTGAGCTGCCCTTTTCTGCCCTTTTCGAATAATTGTCGAGTATACCTGTAAAATCAATAATAAATATAACATATAGTAGATAAGAAAGAACATCCTGTGGCGTACACACACTGTACATACTTAACGTGTTAGAAGTGCATGGAGCAAGGAGTTTATTCGAGAAAAGAAAATTTAAAATATCAATAACACTAGCGTTATTGATATTGTCTTTGATTAACATAACTTTTATTCATTTAATAAAACACTATTTTGACCGGATTGAAGTTATGTATTATTATAAATTTACAACTATTTAACATAATTTTAAATTTATCCCGGTCACGGTGACCACGCACGCTGTAAAGCACGCGAAACGTCGGATAAATTTAAAATTATGTTAAATAGTTGTAAATTTATAATAATACATAACTTCAATCCGGTCAAAATAGTGTTTTATTAAGCGTTATTGATATTTTGCTGAAATAATAAAGAGGAAAGATTTGATTGTTTGCATTGAATAGACTCTGAAACCACTTTCACCATTAGAACCGATAAACATATGTAAATATTTGGCTATAAATTATATAATTAATATTTTCAAAAAAGTTAGGATATGAATATACGATACCCAAGGTGTGAAATATTAGGTCCTTACATATGAAATTGGCGTTTTGTATGGGAGGAACAAAAAGTCGAATATTTTTAAATATAATATATTTAATTAATCAAAGTATGAACCATTGTTTTCTATGCACTTTTGCCATCTCATAGGTAGTTCATTGATCCCTTTACTAAAAAAAAACAGTCGGACGGGAATCAATAAAATCTGTGAAGGCGATGTGGACTGCCCCATCGGAGTAAAATTTTTTCCCTTGCAAGAAGTTGTCCAAATTTCGAAAAAAATGGTAATCTGTTGGAGCAAGGTCCGGGGAGTACGGAGGATGTCTTAGACATTCCAATTGAAGCTCTTCTAATTTGGTAGCCGTCTATTGTGCAGTGTGTGGTCTAGCGTTGTCGTGAAGTAGCAGTGGCGTGGAGCGATTGACCAGCCTAGGTTGTTTAGCCGCTAGCTTTTCCATCATGGTTTGCAATTGCTGACAATAGATATCAGCCGTAATAGTCTGGCCAGATTTAAGAAAACTGCAATGAACAATACCGGCACTAGTCCACCAAACGCTTACAAGTAACTTTTTGGGGTTAATTTTCGCTTGGGGCAGGATTTGGCTGGCTGGCCAGGATCCAACCATTGCGCTGAGCGCTTCCGATTATTGTAAAGAATCCATTTTTCATCACAGGTAATGATTCGGTTTAAAATACCTTCATTATTGTTCCGGTTCAGTAATGTAACGCAGCAGCCGACGCGCGTTTGCCGGTTTGCTTCAGTCAATTCGTGAGGTACCCATCTTTCAAGCTTTTTAATCTTCCCAATTTGCTTCAAGTGAATTAAAACAGTTTTATCACTAACACCGCAGCCTGCAGCTAACTTGTGGTCTAAGATCCCGCTATACAACGACCTTCACCGAGATGCTTATTTAATGAAACGTATTTTATATTTAATTTAATATGTCAATAAATATAATCCATATGGGTTGTCTAGCAAATTTCAGTCCAGAGTATGTTTAATTAATAATTTAAAAAAAATATTTTTTTAAACATTTCACCGGTATGATTATTAGATAAATTCTATACCAATCGAAAGTATGAAGCCCATAGAATATGCAAACTTTATGCTGCCCATTCTTTTCCGGTCACAACTATCGGGTTGCCTGGTATAAACAGGTAAATCTGTACTAGCATTTTGCAACGGTCTGTTTATTGAATGAAATTTAAATGAAATTAAAGATTATTTTATTCTGAACACGTTGGTATAGGGTTGTCTGCGAAAAATCAGTCCAGAATTGCGGTTGTCGAATTTTAAAAAGTAAAATATAGCTAAAATTATTATGATTTAAAATTATCATAGCTAATACATCTTCTACATATATATATTAAAATATTATTTTCGTAAATTTCATGTGGCTTAATGCAACGGATCCAATATGCGTGAAATTTGAGCCTGAGAACTGCGGACGGTTCTTAGATGAATATTTAAAACCAGTAGGATTCATTGGGGATCATACACCTTTAAAGATAGAAGAAGATGACGAAGAAGATTCAGAAGTTGAAGATCATAGTTTTATGTCCTATGACTCGGATTCTGAATAATTAAAAAAAAAATTGTATTTTTAATTTTTTACAATAAATAGAAGTAATTTTTGAAGTTATACTTCTTTAGGCGCGTTATGAAAAATTTATGAGAGTGAAATTTTACGATGCGTGTGATTATAGCGTGCGCGAGCGAGATAGGAATAAGACAATCTACAAGTAAAAAGAAATAGAATATGCGTGAAGTTCGTATGGCAAGAATTTTGAATGACCATAATGACATTTGTCATTTACCTTTTAAACAAATAAAGGAGTTTTAATTATTTTTTCAAATAAATTTAGGAATGCTTTTTCACAAAGACCTATTGTTACTTAGTTAAAAGGTTATGAAACATACGTAGTTATTAAATTGAATGAATAATATAATATAATAATAAATAATTATTATTATTAATTAATAATTGAATAATATACTAAATATTAAATATTATTAACGTTAAATATTTGTAATTAATTATTTAATATTTTAAAAAAATAAAGAAAGCCAAAGAAGTTTAACTTCTTACGCGCGTACATAAGTACACGCATCCTTTTTTTATTTTGTCTTCTTATAATAAAAATAAAATTTGCAAGATTAAACCTGATTAAAAAAAATCACTTTTATGGGTTTTGAATTTTTTCCAATAGTTTCAATTGATTTCAATTTCTCTGTTTACATATTTTATAGATTTATAATTTGCATGGAGTAGGTAAATTTTTTAATTTTTTTCAATCAATATTTTTAATCAGGGTATTATTATATATGAATCACTACAACCTTCTTTTTCACTAAAGATGTATATATACTTTAGTGTCACAAAAAAAATATACACATAAATAATTAATTGATTAAAAAAAAAATTAAATAACTATTTCTCTATTTAAATAATAAACTACTCCAAAATGATGCATAATTATACGAGTCCATCGCTATCCTTTTCTTTTCCAAGCCCAAATAGCATGCGCACTCTCATTCTTTAAGTGGGCGGACTTTAAACAGCTGCTATGCTGTGTCCTCTTCTATCGCATGGGATGGTCGGTTGGGACCTCTCAGTCGCACACATTCACTTGGAGCAATATTTTACTTTTTAAAATTCGACAACCGCAATTCTGGACTGATTTTTCGCTAACAACCCTATACCACCGTGTTCAGAATAAAATAATCTTTAATTTCATTTAAATTTCATTCAATAAACAGACCGTTGCAAAATACTAGTACAGATTTACCTATTTATACCTGGCAACCCGATAGTTGTAACCGGAAAAGAATGGGCAGCATAAAGTTTGCATATTCTATGGGCTTCATACTTTCGATTGGTATAGAATTTATCTAATAATCATACCGGTGAAATGTTTAAAAAAATATTTTTTTTAAATTATGAATTAAACATACTCTGGACTGAAATTTGCTAGACAACCCATATGGATTATATTTATTGACATATTAAATTTAATATAAAATATGTTTCATTAAATAAGCATCTCGGTGAAGGTCGTTGTATAGCGGGATCTTATACTATTGGACGTGGTTTGCGATGGATCCGCTTCAACAATAGCCTTCAATACTTCATTATCAACTTGGGTCTCAGGCCGTCCACGGGGCTTGTTCTGCAGGTCGAAATTTCCAGAACGAAAGCGTTGGAACCAAAAACGAACAGTGTTTTCTTTTGCAACATGACCGCCATACACATCATTCACCCTTCGAGTCGTTTCCGCAGCACTAGTGCCATGGCGGAACTCGTACTCGTAAATAATGCGATACTTTAAGTTTTCCATTTTGTAAAATGAGTGACGAAAACAGAAGAAAAAAACAAATGAATGACGGTCATCGAAGCACAAATACATGAGTAAATAGCTGTACAAATTTGAATTTGGAATTCTTTACCAGAGGAGAACATCGTGATTAAAGTGGCCAGTACGAAATACGCCAATTTCATATGTAAGGAAGGACCTAATATAAACCAATAAATATTCCTAAATCGCTACGCTGTGGAAACAATTGACAATAGACCTGTACTACAGTTTTATAGAAGACATCAGTCTAGAAAATATAGTTTGGCTTTTAAGTCTATTTAAAGAGGAAAGATTTTACCGAATTAATGCAAATGAAGATAACTGCTAGTAATAGATAAATACAAACTGTATTCATAATTCCGCCATACAACAGTTGGAAATAATATATGTACTTGGTATTGTATACAAAAATATTGTTAACATCATACAGATATATAAAAATAAATATTCTGAAAACATTTGCAAATGAGGGTAGACAATAAAATTGCACGAGGGTACTCACCAAAAGCATGTTTTAGAAAACAAATTCGCTTTCTCCCGCGGGTTCTGTTCTCTCTCCGTATCAAAATAACCGGGATCCATTATGGGACTATACACTTATAATTGCACTTTATTATTGTTTCGTATCACGTTTAATCCATGGCATACTGGAACAAAAAAGACTATATATAAGTATTATTACATTCCTTTTCTTTCTTTTTCTGCGACTGTGGCGCAAACTAGCTGCTGTGGTCTCTGGCAGAATGACCAGCGCTGTGGAACATTCTGCTACTCAGCATAATGCTGAGCCAGGGCCACACACATACTGTATTGGAGTACAACGTGTAGATCAAGTCTCGTAGAAACCCACCAGATTGCAGCCATTGAAAATACCCTGTACCCGCCATGACGGGTCACAAACGGGGAACAAATTACAATACACCTTCAAAATGTTCTCATTTCAAATATGCAAGTTTATCTAGGGCACGCGTCAAAGTCAATTTGAAACCTCTCAACAATATATGTATATAATTATTTATCATCCATTGTCACCTTTATCTTTGAGCACCTGAATTTATAGATGCATATAAGACAAACATTAAGCCTTGTGTAACTAATATAATCAAATGATAGAATAACTAAATGCCTGTTTCAATATGAATAATGATAGTTTTAGAACGTAATTATACAAACTATATTCTGGTATATATTTAAACTTTTTTGAATATATGTCTTCACATCATTGAACAGTAAATCTAACCTAACTTTAGACTAATAAGTAACTTAAGGTCCTATCCCAGCACGGATTCCTGTGTCAGTGTCTCGGGGTGGACTGCGGGGCGCAGTCGAGAGCTGGAGCACTGAGGCGCGCCGGCCCTTAATAACAATTAGTTATGTAAAACATTAAATTCATGTAATTTTATCATTTTTTTTTTCTGAAACGGATTACTTGGTTTGCGATAAAATATATCGTGTACATTTCAAAAACATGTTCGATATACATTTTCGCCATAAAATTAATTCAAAGTGTCAAAAATTTTCTATATTTGGATTTTTTTCTATCGAGCGAAGTTATTTAAATCGTGTATCGATATTTCGAAATGGATACATAAACTACTCAACTCCACTATATATTTTTTCCATTCGCCCCGCTTCAAGAAACGATGACGAAAAATGGAAAATAACAATGTACTTTTTTGGAGTTTAGCGATCGAATAGGTCCTTAAGTCTAACCTAATTTACTTAAAATATTTAACATAAGTGTCCAATAACACTACTTACAGTCTCTATTATGGGGAAGACACTCTGTTCTTGTGTTCTATTTTTTCAATTACCACTATTTAGCACTTAAAATTGGATTGATAGTAAAGGGGGGGGGCCGCGGGGGGGGGGGGGGGGGGCGCCGGGGGGCCCAAAAAAAAACAAAAAAAAAAAAAAAAAAAAAAAAAAAAAAAAAAAAAAAAAAACAACACAAACCCCCCCCCCCCCCCGGGGGAGCGGCCATAAATAAAACAAATACCTAAAAAACCCCCTCTTCGTTGTCTCTTCTTTGTTTTTTTTTTTTTTTTTTTTTTTTTTTTTTTTTTTTTTTTTATTTTTTTTTTTTTTTTTTTTTTTTTGTTTGTGTTTTTGGGGTTGTTTTTTTTTAAAAAAAAAAAAAAATAAATTTTTTGTTTTTGGGGTTTTTTATGGTGTTTTAAATACCCCTTATTTAATTTATTTTTTTTTTTTGGTGGTTTGTGGGGGTTTTTTTTTTTTTTTTATTTTTTTATTTTTTTATATTTTTATATTTTTTTAATTTTTATTTATGTTTAGAGGGTTTTGTGTGGTTGGGTGATTTGTTTAAAAAAAAAGTAAAAATTTAAAAAATTTATTTTTTTATTTTGTTTTTTCTGTTTTTTTTTTTTTTTTTTTTTTTTTTTTTTTTTTTATTAATATTTTGGGGTGGGTGGGTTGGAAAATAAAATTTATATATATTTGAGGGTTTTCTAAATAAAAAAATATAATAAATTTAATAAAAAAAATATTTTAAAATTTTAAAAAAAAAAATAAATTTTAAATAAATAAAAAAATTTTAAAAAAAATTAAAAATTAAAAAAAATTTATAATAATAATAAATAAATTTAAAATTTTAAATAAAAAAAAAAAAAAAAAAAAAAAAAAAAAAAAAAAAAAAAAAAAAAAAAAAAAAAAAAAAAAAAAAAAAAAAAAAAAAAATGTGCTTTCGTTGAAATGATTAATGTATTTGAAATTTTCGCCTTTTCCTCTCTTTTCCCTCCTTTTCCCTCTTCCCAAATAAAACCCCAAACCCCCCCCCCCCCCCCCAAAAATTTATTTTTAATCCTAACAATTCAACCTTTTTATTATTTTTATTTTTTCTTTAGATTTTACTTTATTTTATTTTAGTTATAGTTGCGTGTTATTTTGAGTTGTTTTTGTTAATTCTTGTACTTTATACTAGGGTTGCCTGGTACAAAATCGCTTGTTAGCGATAAGGCCGCCCGTTGCCTAATAACTTATGTAACCTGCTTTTTTATTTATTTTTATATATTTATATGTTTGTTAAGGTAATAAAGTATAAAGACATAAATAAATAATTTGATAAATATATACTTTACGTAATACTTAATCAGTTTAAAAAAAAACATTTTGTAATTGTAATTTCCATATTTACTTATATGCCTAGAGAATCATAGTTTTGTCGGGAACCGAATTCAGTACCCTCGGATTACCAAAGCTATGTGTTAATAAGTTACATCTCTTTAAATTCTCTCTAGACAAGGTCTGTCAACGAAGTCATGACAAAACAATACAATTCATGAATCACATTTGCACAATAATTTATGGTCAAAGCATTATCAAATAGACAATAGAATTAACAACCTTCACTTCCCAGTAAGGAAACGATATTAACGTTGAACAATTTTGTGTATTTCTTTCGCAGAATCCGATAGAATCTGTTACATGATCATTTTTCAATCTAATAGGCAAGTAGGTGATCAGCCTCCAGTGCCTGACACAGGCCGTCGACTTTTTGCGTCTAAGGCACTTCACGGTGTTTTCAAGAAAATGTTCAATGCTCACATAGAAAGAAAGTCAATTGGTGCACAGACAGGGATCGAATCTACGACCTCACTTGTTCACAAACACATGTATTTCGTCTTTTACTTAGCGTAAAAGTGTCGGTAAATGTTTGACTAACCGATTGGGGAAATCCCCAACAACAGGAAAAACTCAACGAAAATCAACATACACAATGTAAAAGTCGAGAAATACGTAATCTACATACAAATAAGAAAAACTAAAATATATACTTATTCACAAGGCTTCAGTTTAAACATTAATACATAACGACTACTGACTCACAGTACGACAACATCATCAGATTGCATAACTAATTGGGAGTGTATATATAATGGCGCGTCTAAACGGGCCATGTTTTGCTGCAATTGATGGCTGCAATACTGTGGCCGGCAACTTGCAAACAATAGCAGCCACACTATGCAATATTGCAGTAATGTCCCGGCCATATAGCCAAACATGTTTTGTAGAGCCACATATGGCTGATGTTGCCCCGATGGGTTGCCGAACGATCGTTAGGCTATCGAATTCAACTGCAATATTGCACAGCCAGTTCTATTGTTGCTTCAGTCACTCTCTTTGTTATGGCATAGTGTATCCTTTTCTACGCGACATGACGTTTGCGATGAGTGAAGTGTGCCTGTTGCTATATTCTGTTTTGCGATCAGCTGCATTTTAACGTTAGGTTACTACGTAAAAATGACTGCTTTTGACATTCTAGTAAAATTCTTGAATAATTTATTATCAAGGCTTATTTCTAGACTCATATTGTCTACAGTTTCACGCATATTTAAGTAAGGTCGAATCCACGATCTCTTCTTTTTCTGTTTCTTTTTTAAAACAATATAAGCTGCTGCGACAAGTGTGATTTCGTCAGCCATTGTTGCCGGTTTGTATAGCCCATTTAGGAGGCTGCATCATGGGCCATACTATTGCAGACATATTGCAACACACTGCCCAGCCATAGATTGTTCGGCCATCAGCTGCATTAAAATATTTTTGTAATGGCCGGGCAATTAGTTGCCAACAGTGCAGCCATCAATTGCAGCAAAACATGGCCCGTTTAGAAGCGCCATAATATGTAATGTTAACTCTATATTTTAAACTTATGTACAGATTAAACGCTAATTAATATGATAATTGAATGTATGAAAAATGTGTTTTTTGCATTACATACATATTCAGATAACATAAATACATACATATATACAGATACCGGCAAACATCTTGAACAAATGTCCTTGCCTGCGCAAAAGCGATTTTTAGGTATCAGTTGGCGGGAGAGTGACGTGTCGATCGCGTGATTGGTAAATCAGTTGACGTTTGTGTCCCAGATGCGTAAACTTTCCCCCACTCCTTTATTAATGCTTAAGAAGTTTGCCGGGATCTATACATTCACATATAACATAAATTAAGGAGGAAACGGGTGCTAATCGCTAACGATCTCTTCCAGGCAACCCTGATAAGGAAAAATAAATACTAAGCGTAAAGTTTAAATAAAAAGAGTAAATAACAAGACATACACAATTACAAAACCAAAATAAAATAATAAAAACTTAAGAGTCATGAATCACAATAGGTTCTAAAATACATAAAAAATAATATTTATTTATTTCCTATTAAAATAATACAATAGAAAACTTATCAATATAAAAATTCAATTAAAAACAATATAAACAAAACGTGAATACAAAAAAACTAAACCTTTTTATAAGAAAATATAATTCTTTTGCATTCAGCCAGTGTGCTACTAAATATATCCGTCTCACATGCAATAACATTCAGGGTTATATATACCCGACCCCGTTTTTTCTGGGTATGGTGGGTTTTGCCCAACTACGCCTCAGAAGAGAGCTTTCTTTGTCCGAGTACTTATTTAGGAAACTTACGTGACGGCTGGATAAGATATAAAGGATAGACTAGTGCTAGACAGGCTTTTTCTAATTAATTTGCGATATTTGTTTTAAAATAATTGTTGTTTGTCATAGTCACTTTGCATGATGATTTGCCATTTTAAAATA